CCGCTGAAGGTGATAAGGGTTGGGAATTCGTCTACTTTAGACCGCCTCAATGAGCATTCAGTCTGATACGCATAAAGACTAACTTGCTGGCTGGATAGGGCTGTTTTATCGCATCACTTACACTATGACTCATCCTTGGAGAGATCTCATCCCCTTTGAAAGCAAGGTGTAGATAAATGGATAGACTTCTTTGCTTCTATCCTACCGTACTTACCAATGAATATTTGTTAGTAACCATCCACAAGCAGACAATTTTCGACAGAAGTCACTTCTTCCTGAGTCTATAAATCTTTCCATTTTTGTGACATTGTAGGTCGAGGTTTAGTAAGCGGAATCTGTTGTCATGTTCAGTTTCCGTTGTGAATGTTATGTCCGGTGTTCGTTTCACGAAAAAATATCCAATAAATGAGAGGCATGGGGGGACAGTCATGCAAATGGTTCTGGTACATTTGTCCGCAGTGCAGGAAGCTGCCCGCACTCTGCACGGAAAGCCTGAAAGAGATGCTCTCCCCCATGCAAAGGATAACAACATCCCGGAACAAAGTAGGGTCAACGCTAAAAGAAAACATGGAGGGACCTGGAAACAAAGCTAGACCTCCAGCTGTGCACAAGCCACGACGCTTGGGGACCACATTAGGTCGAGTCTCTGTATCCCTTACCCAGCCTCAGAGAACGACAAGCGCATGGCAGAAGACACCGACAGCTAGAATCTCCACGAAACCCTCCCCGAACATCCCGGACACTGTGACAGAGAAGGAACCGGTAGAAATACGCAAAACACCCATTGGGAAGTCGGGCACCACCCACAACGAATGCAGGCCACGGGAGGACTAACCCGATCATCTTGTTCAACGTCGAAGTATCGACAGACTCACTGTTGATCGAGAGACGACGGTTTGACAGCCAAATGTGGACCGCATACTGTCAGATGTTGGGGCTCCCTCCTCTCTCTGTAACACTGTGTCGCCTTTATCGCGGAAGCCGGGCACCCCTTAATTAGACACCCTTTTAGGTGTGTCTTCGAAAACTGCCAGAAGCTGGAGACACACTCCTTCTCTCTCGACAACCGGACGTTGTTAGTGCCTGCAAAATTCCAGCCAGGCCTGACAAATAACGGTTAATAAGAGGGGAGGAAAAAAATTAGCTGTTGGGAATCCAAACAGAAACGACACCATAGTTGTACGTGGGATTCCAGAACTGCCAAGTGGCCGTTGGGCCAAAGATCGGCACCTTCACGACGTCCAACAATGGCAATGGCCCTCAACCAGAGTCGACAGAGTACCAGCCATCAGTGTCAGTAGACTTCCGAAACCAGAGCATCTGAAATCCACACCCACTCCCAGACTATCCCCCATCAAATTCGACCCTCACGCCTTGCGCACAGACGTTCTACACGCATGGTACAGCATAAAAGACTTCGTGGGTGGTTCAGCGCGCATGTGTGAAAGTAAGCCTAGACTCACTAGGTAAGGAGAGAGACGGCAACCACAAAACTCTGAAGTCAGTGGTTGTCACACAGGCACTGACCAGTGAGTCAGATACATCGGGTAAAGGAGCCCCTGTTGCCACAGCCCCGCCCAACTTCAAAATAAAACGCGGTCAAACGGAACGATGCCAGTGCTATGCGGATTTGCGACGCTAGACCCAACCACCTAAGGGCTTCTCTCGAGAAAATACACAACCAGCTCCCCTCTCACCAGACACATCCTGATATGTAAGTACAGCAACGTTAGTGGGGTTACAAGGGAAGGTAGAAGAAATGAGGACTCTGCGTGAACATCAGCACTCCGAAATCATATTCATCACCGAATCCTGGCTGTCACCGGACATCTCCGACGAAGAGATGCATGTTACTGGCATGGAACTCTTCCTCAGGGACAGAGAGCACAGGGCAAGAGGGCGAGTGGCTCTCTACGTAAGCTCCCGTTTAAAGGCAAGGGTGGTTAGCGATACGGCCTTAACCCAGCTCCCAGAATCTCTATGGTGCTACTTCACTCTCCGCTGTACCAAATACCTGCTCGAAGTCATATGTCGGTCGCCCACCAGCTCCCCTACACAAAAGGAAATGGTCATCAGGGCAATCTTAACGACTTCCTTTGCAAATTGCGATTCCGCAATCATTGCGACCTCAACACCCCGTCCATCCTCTTTGAGATGGAAGGAAAACGCATCAGATCCTTCAGCCAGAGGCTGAAGAATGCAATTAAGACCGACGGGTGGGTGGTACCACTAGCTGGGGGCCTAATGGAAACGCATCGCACCCTGATCACGTTTTGACAGACGGTGACCTCATTGAGGATGTGTGCATCCAACCTTCCCTTGGCCTCAGTGACCACACAATAATACCCTTTTCCATGATTACTAGGGAGACCTTGCAACCAGAGACGCACAACACCCTCTCTTGATACGGCAAGGCCAACTACGAGACCGTGAGGGACTATCTCATGAATGCATGATGGCCGGTAGACTGGGCTCATCTCACAGTAGATGAACACTGGTTGGAGGTGAAGAAAATAATCACCGGGGCCATCAGTCACAGTGTACCAGAAGTAACACACAGACAATCAGTGAGAACCTCATGGTTAAAGCGTGGGACAGAGAGGCTTATCCAGAGCAAGAAGCAGGCTTGGTTCAAGTGGCGTGCATCACACAGAGTCTGACTTCTTGAATTACAAAAAGGTTCGCAACCGGTGTAACATTAGAGTGCGTAGCGACAGATTCTTCTATCAAACAAACTTGGCGGCGAGGTTACAAAGCAATCCCAAAAACTTGTACCGCTTCATGTTGAGAAGAAAGTCGACCAGTAAGGGAGTGAATCTTGTCACAGGCCATGATGGGGTGTACTAGGCAGTCTAGAGATTGCTGAGCTTCTCAGCTCACACTTCCAAGCCTAACTTGGCACTGACACAAGATCCACACCGACTCGCTACGACACCGACCAGGTCGTAAATAACGATTACCCCTGTCACGTCCCTATTACAGAGAAAAAAGTGTTCGAGAAACTGTCTAGGCTACGTCCAGGCAAGTCCCCTGGCTGCGATAACCTAAAACCGGTGATCATAAAAAACTGTGCCTAGGTGCTTGCAAAACCAAGCTGCAACCTCTTCAAGCACTCAGTAGAGCCATGCAAACCCCCTAAATTTGGAGGAGCGCCATCTTGTCACCCATCTTCAAGTGAGGAGACAGAAAGAGCCCTGGCAGCTACAGGCCAATTGCTCTACTCCCTATTGTGTCGAAAGTGTTGGAAAGCCTGGTAGCTGACACTATCTGAGAACTCCTCAATAGGGAAAGCACAGTGCATACTGCTCAGCATGGATTTCAGAGTGGTCGCTCATGTGCCACCAGCTTACTAACCACCTGGGACGACTGGACACTAAGCTGGGACACCAGAGAACCGGTACATGTTGTCTTTCTCTACCCAGCCAAAGCATTTGACAGTGTCCCACCCACAGTCCTGCTTCACAAGATCATGTCAGCTGGTATAAGTGAACCCCCACTCTCTTGGTTCAAGGAGTATCTGGAAGGGGGGCAGTTCTGCACCAAAGTGAACAGGACGAGGTCGGGGTGGAGATCATCGACGTCAGGAGTATCCCAAGGAGAAACCCCAGGGCCATTTCTGTTCCTCCTGTTCGTCAACTATCTGCCAGCAAAATATCCTTACCCATTCTCCTCTTCGCTGACGACATTAAAACTTGGAGGGTGGTAAACGAGGAGGCCGACTGTACAGCACTACAAAAGGACTTGCAGCAACTCGAACTCTGGTCGTCGGAAAGTGGCCTGAGCTTCAACCTGGAAAAGTGCAAAGTAATGCACATCAGTAAATATGAAGCAAGTACAACCAACTTTCAGTACATGTTGAGCAACCATGCTATCACCAGAGTGTCCACGGTGAAATATTTAGGGCTCAACTTCTCCGACACCTTGAACACCAGCTCCAACTACAAAGGTATGACAACCAGAGCGAACGCCATTCTACATATTCTGCCTATAGAGCATGGCGCCCTCATCTCCGAACTCCTCCTCACTATTTTCAAGTCCTATGTATGGCCATATCTAGAGGTCTTCAATATGGTGGCCCCCCCCAACACTTCGAGAGACTCTAATCTCCTTGAAAAAATAGAAAGAACCACAACAAAATCAGGTGTGGAGCTAAGGGGAAAGACATATCCTGAAAGACTTAAACACCTAAACCTATTTACCTCGGGCTATCGTAGGAAGAGGGGTGAACTCATTATGGCCTACAAGATAGTCCATCAGGCAGACCGCGCAAACAAATCAATTTTGCCTGCAACTCAGCGGTCTTCACGAGGAAGCTCCATTAGGAAGCACACAAGAGGGCCAACACCATACTTAAGTCCAGTTTTTTCCCCTTGAGGGTATGTGCCCTATGGAATACCCTACCAAGACACGTTGTTATAGCTCCCTCAGTCGACTCATTCAAGAGACGGTTATATAGTTATGTCAACTCGCATGGTATGCCACGGATGTACTCAGGTAGTCACTAACCTCACCAGCCGCCAACTCCCTCCTACCTACCACTCACTATCTCTCTCCATGATACACCCAAATTACCTACTAGTTCCCCTGTAGGAACTAAACCAACGCTACCATTCAGGCAATACCTACATGCTTTTGTCTCTCTCTTGTTTCTTTTTTCACCCCTCCTTTTCTTCTCCCTTTCCTTTTCCCCCTCCCTTATTTTCTTTTTTCTTCTTCATTCTTTTGCCACTACCTTACTTTTCTATCTCAGGTACCTACACGGACAGGAGTCGCAACAGTCCCCGAAACTTCCGTAGCTCCCCAATCACTCTAAAAATTATTACTTACTAACCGACAAAACATCCACCTCACCGAAGCAAGGAAGCAGAGGGGATTTCCTCGTCCGCTACAGGAGTGAAGCGAACAAACTGAACGGAGCCTTAAGAACTAGATGCAAGAGATCAAAAGATACCAGTTTTCTATGCTCGCACCATCAATATTGGAATATTGGATTGAACAACGCACTTTTCAAGTATTACGCTACTATGTTGACATAAAGCCTATGCACATGGTTTCTTAGACCCGGTCACATCCTCACCGGCGCATATTATAAAATCGCTCTCCGTACTGCTTTCTGACTGAACACTTGTATAAATCATACTCAATTGGCCACTATGTGTAGCATGATAACAGAGCTCGGAGCTGAGGACTCACAGCCTTTGGAAGTGGAGAGCTTATGCGTCAAGTGTTTAAAAAATGTAAGTAGCCAAAGAAATGTTTCATGTTTTGTAGCTAAGGGTTAAACTCAGTCGACTTTTGTATGATCGCACTACCTTTTTACAGTAGAATAAAAAGACGGCGTGGTATAAACGAAAAAACTCTCAGTCAGCATTTTCGCGAGGCAAAACGGTGGGCTATGGGGAGAAATTGCGATGTTACAAAACTCTGCGTTTTTCGCCTCGCGATTATTGTCATTTCGCCTCTTGCTCTGGAAGTGGCCTCGAGTTTCCCCAGGAAAATGTTGAATGGACACGGTAGTCGTCTAAATGACAAATTAGACGTCACCTGCTGACTTGACGGCCTGTGGATTTGTAAATTCTCATCGTTACTTTCATATCTAACCGATTTGGGTTTCGTTATGACTTATAGTTGGGTATCGAGAAATGTTAAATTCAGTGATCATTTCGCGTAAATATGGTGTGTAATCTCTACATAATAAGGCAAGTACGTGAATAATGTGGGGGACGCGTAAAAGTCCGTTATGAGGCCGCATTTCCTCATTACTAAGCCACACGCTGAACTGTAGTAATTCCATACGGAGTGTAGCACTAAAGTTGTTCGCGACATTATGCTTTCCTTTTAGTAAGGAGTTAAAGTATGGAAATTCAGAAGAGACTACACTTGAAAATGTGCATTACCCCCTCCGAAGAGATCTTCGACCTGCTTGAAAACAACCTACGGGGTTAAAGTTATGATTATCCTTTGGAATTAGTGGTGGATGTTAAAACTGGAATTCTTACATCTTTGAACCACTAGCTAACAGAGAACCTTCGGTTGAACTAAACTTTAGTGGCGAGAATCCTTACGGTCAGCTTCTCAGGCTGCAGACGCTGTACTTTAAGGTTTTTCATCGATGTTCGTTGCATAAGCTGTTGTAACTACCACCTGTTGACACTTTTTTGTCTTGCTTGTAGGTGGGTAGGTACGTTGTTGCAGGAGGCGCGCAGAGTAGTGTGAGTTTGGTGGTGATTATGAAAATTTTGAAGGGAAAAGAGGAAGAGAAATAAGGTGAACCGACGACTCAGCAAGTACATAGAATGTACTTACACTGAATAATAAAAGATAACTAACAAACGGTAGAGCTTGACAACGAAGAGGTGAGGCAGTCTGGAAATCGAAACTGGATGGTAAACGAGTGAGGTTTCAAATGCTTTCAATTGTTGTTGAATTGAGATGAAGATTGCTAGCAATCTCGATTGTGAATTTGTTGTTGTAATGTCTTATCCCACCTGTTACAAGAAGATTTCCCTAAGAACAGGATAGTTTTTCAAAGGGTCTCACTTAATTCTGTAACAAATAAGGGTTTTTGTACTCCACTTAGTTGTTGAAACACCTGTATTATCAGCTGCAGCTCTGACAAACGTTAGTAAATCTTCTTCTAAGCGGTTGTATCAACACTACAGAGTTATTCGTTTCTTAGTAATCGGCAGGCTGGATGTGAAATTTGGTGGAATAGGCGATGTGATGGAAATGTGTCATTCTCATAGGCATAAGCATAAACGAGGAAGGGAACTTGAACAGCACTGGGTAAGTTAACCTACATATTTTTTGACAAATCAAGCATTCGTAATATATACGGTAGGGATACGAAAAAGGAATATTTTCAGTGGTTAAAGGATAGATCAAAATCTATTCTTGTAGAATCGGGAAATACCACATAAACATGCTCGGAAGTTGTACATGGCGTCATCTTAAATATTAACCCTTATTAAGTCAATTTTCAGAAGGAGCATTTCGTTGATCCACCAACTGTAGTGCACATAAGCACTTAAAAGTATATGGGTCGTCTTAGAAAGTTCTTAAAACTTTTAAGAGGTTCACAAGTAACACTACAATCAGTGGTATGATATCAAAGATGGCAAACCTGTTAAAAAGCTAGATGTCTTCATTTCTTATGTGAAACAGATTTGTAATTTGTAAATAGATTACCACCAACTATCACTAAGATTTAGTAAGTCCGGACCTTGAGGTTGCCAATCAAGATAAACGTCACTGTGCGGTAGATTTAGGAATCCCTGAACTATTGATAGGATGTTACTGATGATAAGTAAGCTGATGCACAATTCTGGTGATAACAGTTTCGGTTGAATTGAACGGAATCATTTCCCTGGTTATCGCCTTGGATTATTTTCTAATTCCTAGGGGTTTTTCATGTGACTGCATTTCCCGTGAGACTAAATTATGGACAACAGTTTTACTCTAGAGTATGCTTTAGTGTTAGATTGCACACCCTAAGACCTGATCACGACCTTTGTTTTCATTTGAGCTGCAAAAAGCAGTCGAAAACATAGTTGGGTTCCCCAAAATCGGTAAAAGAAACTCATTTCTGGTGTAATTCACTGTCATTTCTGCATTAAAACCTGGAGAGGAATGACCATTTTCTCATTTGTGCACTCAAAGTCGTTCGATAATTGCTCAGAACTGGCAAAATTCTATAGTTCCACCAGGTGGATAACTGGTAGTTGACATGTGTGGCATTTGGTCTACCGAGAACATCTGTCATTTGTTTTAATTTGTACAATGTAATTACCCTACAGTGCTGATACCATTGAACCGCCGACACCAGATGTTGCTCAGCAGGATCATGTGTAATCTAACATTTAGAATGAGTGTAAGGAGGGATACAGGATAGGTCTGGTTAGCAGTAAGATAGCCTGCTCATCAGGAATTTAACTAAAATCATAAGGTAGACAGTATGTACGCATTGATGAGTGCGAAGTTTTGACTCATCGGTGCAGAAAGTTGACTTTCAACCAGTGGGCTATGAATAGGCATAAGGTTGTCGAGTGGATTTTATTCATATCCATTCAAGGCCGTACTTCTGTCCTCTTGTAGTTCATCTCTGAATTGCGTGACTATGAGATTGAGTATAAAATCTTTCCTAAGTGCTAACATGATAGTCCTTGGATCAAAAAACCTCCCAATTATTCAAATTGTCACCCCCCCTAGATGCCTACATTTGTTGTTTATTAAGTTAATTCAATCGTTTTCATCTTTACTGTTTTTTTATTCTTCACTATATTAGGGGACAACACACCTGTTGTTAACAAAAATTGCATTTTTTAAAGAAGTTATTATCGCATCTTTCAACTGTCCTCATTGTGGATATGAAAATCGATCTGTGACTCCAGCCTCACGTATTCAAGATAAAGGACAACGTTTGACACTTACAGTTACAAACATGAAAGATTTGAACAGACGTCTTGTTATACCATCATGTTCAACAGTAAATATTCCACAATTGGATTCTACATTTCCTTTTTCTGATGGAGGTTAGTTTCATTCATAACCGAAGGTTCGAACAACATTCCACCTACCGAAGTTTAGGCAAACAGGTGATAATGTCATTAGCCATTAAACAACAGATTTGTAGCTCATTGCCTACTGCATGAACGTGCAATGGTTGATGAGTGGGGCAAGCCTTTTCTTGTGGTTTTTATCAGATTTAAATAACTCCACTAATTTCTGCAGGCTGTTAACTGGTAGTTTTAATCATAATTTCTTTTAGCTGAACATGATGACAGCTTAAGTTATTAAACTGCTGTACTGAACTGTTCACCATTTAAAATTTTTCATGGGGAATCAATATTTTTTCAAGGATGGAAGTATTTTTTTATGATATTTTAACCGTTTCCACTTGAATTTTGAGTCTAAAGACAGCGATTAAAGTGGTAGGAAACACATTGAAGAGTTTCTGATCTAACTAGAGGCAATATCTTTAAGGATCTTCCAAAAGTTTGACGAGAAAGTATTCTGTGGTCTATTTTCTCAGTATCCCTGTTCATACATTTGATGTATGAATTACTTAGTTGTTACTTCGTTTATTTAGAACTTTATTTGCAATAAACAAACCACTGTCTATCTTACGTATCATAAATCGGTGAAAAGAATGGTTACATCAAAGCATAAAACTAGTTTTTTTTTTAACGGAAACCAGCAGAATAAATTTTTGGGGAAGAAAAACTTTATTTTTGTCTCACTGTTTTCAAGTCTATTAGTTTGAGTGAAAAACAAGGAATAAAAATAACTAACTATTGTCAAGTCTCCACTGGTTAATTAATTGACTTACTTGCTTGTATGGTCTAGATGAAATGTGTAGTAGTGTTTATCGGGTAGCTAGAACCGATTTCATATCATTCTTGGTATACAATTCTCATTATTGTGTAGCATTTTAGATTTAATCTTCAATTAATTGTCAACTCTACTAGTCCTGTGTGTTTCTAGAACAGGTGGGAGTGAAATCAGCCATTTCCTACTTGTTTTGTTACAGTAAATACTGCTGACTAATCAAATCTGAAAGTAGTTGAAATTGAGTAGTGATAAGTCATAACTATTATATAGGTCTCATAGGCTGGTGGTAATCAAATGCTTCGACAACTTCGCTACCTAAAGTTTCTTTTTTTAGATCGGGATATAGAGACCTCGATTGTTCATGATTGTAAGCCACTAGTCAGTTAAAGTATTGCAGAACACTAGTGTTTCGAATGAGACTGTCTACTGATGTGAATTCGGTTAGACTGGAGCTGTGGCTCAGTAGTTTAGGGGGACGACTATCAACCAGTGAGTCACTGGTTTGAACCCGGCTCTACCTACCGAGGTTTACGCCAACCAGGTAGTAGTATCATTAGCCCTCTCACAATGGGTATGGCTCATAGCCTGCTGAACAAGTGTGCACAAGGTTGCTGAGTGTGTTTACACTATATATATATATATATATATATATATATATATATATATATATATATATGATTGAATTCTTTGTTTCTTTTGTCTTCCAAGTTCTGTCAACTGTTGAAGGTACCATAACAGCGATAATAGATAATTTGAATAATCTACAACCTGAAAGAAGGGTATGTTCTCATTCTTCACTTTCTCAAGATATGTATACTGTTAGGAAAGTGAACCAGAGTTGGCAGGCAAAATTGAAATTTTCATTCATCAACTGAGTAACTTACTGAATGTAGAAAAGCCATTTACACTTGTAAGTCTACTGGCATTTTATTCTTATCTCTAATTTTGTCAATGATATTCTTACAACTTGAAGTTATAACTCGCTGGTTTGAACAGTTTATTTTCAACTAAATAGCTCAACTCAACTCAAATCTCACGTTGTATGTTAAAGTTTAAGCAATCATGAAGTTCTTACATTATATACATAGATGTACATGTTGTTGCTAGCAGATTTTTGATTCGTATGAACACTTAACCAATGACTATAGATTGTTATAGTTATAGTTTAATTACTTTTGTTTTACACATTTGGATAGTTTATCTGAGAATTCCATTGTCAATCACTTGATGATTATTTCAAAATTATTTTTACTCCTTCTCCCTATTCGTTAACAAAATGTGTAATAACAGTCCGGTAAATTTAGATGTTTATAAGCTAAAATGAGAACTGAACAGGGAAAAAAGTTCGGTTAAGTAACAAATTCGATAATTAACTAGTCACTAGATAGTTCTAAATGATTATTAGCGAGTTTTTTCAGTTAAACTTACAGAAACAAAAGTACATTTTCTACAAGATGATTTCAATCTCCATTCTGTCTGATAAACTTCCGCATAGCATTGGTCGTGTGTGGTAGAAACACCACATGAGCAATGTAGAAGTCAGGTGAAGGGTATTAAGCAAAGAAAGTAAGACGGTTGATAACTAAGACGTAACACTAGTATATGAAATTCCTGTAAGAAGATGTCGAATGCCTAACTGGGTTCCTCAAGACTACAGGAATGAGCGATTTAGGTTCAAAATCAACATAGAACTTCATACACAGGTATATCGGCTCAAGTTGCTACACTTCACAGTAGTACACAAAGAACAGATCGATAGAAAACAAGTGATATCAAGTAGTGTGAAGTAATAAACATTCTGAAGATAATGGTTGTCAAGGAGTCAATACATCTGCGCCTCTGTAACCTGTTTTCAGCTATGTCATCTGGAGTCAGTCCCCAAACACTGACTCTTTTCGTCTCGGACACCCGGACCAGACAGTCTGTTTCTCCCCATACTCCTCAAGCCAACAGTAAGAGACTTCATAGACTGGTTCCAGGTATTGATCTGACCACCCTGAACCGCCTTCCAAAGATATCCAGCTTCTGACGAAATATACCCACCACCACTTATGCATAGCTGAAGCCGAAACTTTGCATTCAAAAACGTTTTGTGAAACCACTTCCTCTACTTTGGCCCTAACAATTCATTTTGTTGATTTTGTCAGTTTCACTTCGGTATACTTCTCTTCTGCTATCATCATCATTATCATCAATTTTCACTTCATCAGTAACATTTGACCCATATTTCACTATTTGATATCAATTCGTTTCCTTATTCATTGACCTATTTTACACTTTTCAGCTAAATTATCACCGTTCTACAATTCTTTGACAACATGTGTCTCTTATCTCACCACTTGTTATCAATTCGTTCCTCCTTATTCACAGTGACCCTTATTCTATTTCTTCCACTTAAACAAATACCACCACCTATTGTATATTTTGCATATTGACTGAGCAAATCTCTTTTTAGTGGAATTATCTGTTATTTTATCGAGTGTAAACACGACTAGTGTACAGCTTGATATAATGAAGTCGTTGGAATAAAATGCTTCTTCTTCGCTGATACATGCCTTGTTCATATCCAGCTTCTCCTAGCATGGGACATCAAGGTAGGTGGTGGCTTGGCATGTCCAGTTCATGTCCAAGCCATGTCAGTCAACTAAGGTTCACAACCTCACCAATCAACTTATCCATCTCTCCCCCCTAAACACCTTTATCTACTTTGATATCACTCCTTTTCTATCCACCTGTCCTGTGTACGCTATTTTGAAGTATGGCAACTTGGACCGATGCACTTTTGTGCGAGGTTCTACACTGATTTTATCTGTCTGTGTAGTTTTTGAATGGATATTGGAGTGGTTTAATTTACACTGGTTAACCACAGTGCCCTGTCATCAACCACTCGAAGTTTCTAACTTCTATTCTCTAACTCCATCCTCATAGTTTCTTAGAGCAGGTGATTAAGCTAACAAGTACTTCAACGTATAATCTATCATCCAGTTCCATCGGTTCAAGTTACCACATTTCACAGCAATATCCAAAGAGTTGAGTAGAAAATGAGTGGCATACAAGTAGACAAAAATGTATGAGAAAAGAGAACATATATAAATGAAGACTTGGAATATGACAGAGTTTATACATCTTTATCGTCTTGACCGACTTTCAGCCCTGCCACGAAGAGTGTGAAGTGATTGATAGAATAATGTGAAATTCGAGAGTGCGCTACTAACGCATTGAAATAATTGGAGTGAACACAAATGACGTCTGTTTTCCTCCAGACCTCGGGAATAGCAAGCCCGAGAAAACCAGGGTTTAGACCTGTCCGTGGTTGTATTGTCATCATCATCATCATCATCATCATCATCATCAATCATCAATCATCAATCATCATAGGACCAGGCATTACTGCGTAGCGATCCGAGTTGCCACACCGCATATCATTACATCAACTAGAGAGGTAGTGAGGTGAGGGATGAAGATAAGAGAATGCAGCCAAAAGAAATATAAAGTACGAAAGGAAAGAACGGAGGAATGGCAAAATGTGAGATTCGGTATGGCGTCGTTAAGATGAGGATAGTGTGTGTGTGGGGGGGATAGATCTGCGCCACTGACATCGGTTCTGAGCCATATCTCGTAGAGTCTCCGACTACTGGTTCCTCTTGTCCCACGGACCCCAACCACCTAGTCTGTATCGCCCCACATGGATTAAGCCAACAGTCAGAGACTTCATACATTGGTGCCATGTTTTAGTCTGGCCACCTCGGGCCTGGTTGTATTGACCAAACATTCACACTCCGTCAGGTTCTGAGACGCAAGCACACTTACCGATGCTCAACAATAGCTGTATTTCTCGACCTGAAGGCGGCATTTAACTCCGTCGATCGAGAAGTTATGACAGTGTCTATCATTGAAAGGGGTACCGGGTAAGTACATCACCCTATTGAAAGCTGTTTACTCGAACACCTATGAACGTGTTAAAGCCTATAGTGGCATATCGGAGGAGTTGTATACGTCGAGTGGTGTCCGTCAAGGGCATCCACTTTCCCTATTCTCATTCAACTTTATCATGAATGTCCTTATGGAGGCCTCCCTCTCGTCATCCGACCACAAGGATTGACCTGATCACAGGAGATATTTTGGTAGACCTAGAGTACGCAGATGACATATTCCTGTTAGATGAAGACGTTGGCGAGATGCACAGTCTTCTGAACACTGAGTGACGTTTAGAAAATGGTTGGAGTGCGTTTCTTCCCACCTAAATACAAATTGTTGCTCCAGGACTGGCCTTAGACGGTACCCCGACTAACAATAGAGTGAAGTGGTTGAACGCACTAAACACTTCGCTTACCCGGGAAGTCAGACCAATCGTGGTGGCTTAGTTACCGATGAAATTTCTTCACGGAGACAAAAGGCTCTGTTGGCCTTTACCAACTTACGCCATCTGTGGCGCTGCCACACTATCCGATTGTCTATTAACGGTCGAGTGCAGCATGCTGCAGTTTGCTCTGTTCTGTTGTATGGCTGTGAAACGTGTCCATTAAAGATAGAATATGTGAGAAGGCTTCAAGTGTTTGACCACCACTGCCTTCGTAGCATACGCCATATTTCATGGTGTCACTACATGAGTAATTCAGAAGTCAGACATAGAGTTTTAGGGTTAGGGTTAGGTAAGACAGTTGATGAGGTTGTGAACCTTCGTTGTCTGAGATGTCTGGCTGGGACATGTGTTACGTATGTTTAACCACTGTCTGCTTCGTCACATAATGTTGACCGAAGTAGGTTCAGACTGGAAGAAGGCTCGAAGTAGCCAGACTAAAACATGGCATCAGTGCATAAAGTCCTTCACTGTTGGTTTGTGAGCCATGTAGGGCGATATAGACTAGCCGGTTGGGGTCCATGTGACACCATGAAGGCATTCATCACGAAAAACCTGTGCGTCATAGCCATACAATAGGAGATAGTGGGACGCAGTGCAGTATACTCATTCTTCGATAGGTAGTTGGATATAGGCTAGCAACTGCGGAACAGGCCTCTGAAATCCGTGCTGAGATTTCGTCAGTAACCAACCCATTCGGAGTGAGAAAATGGAATATAGATCAGCTGAGATTTACTAAAGTCTAGAGGCTAGACTGTGTTAAAATGAAAATAAGTAGCTACAATAAAAATTGCGATGGATAACATCTTTCAGCTTGTGACTTGATGGCCTAGTGGATAACGCTGTGGCGTTTGAAGCGATTGGTCGCTAGTTCGGTCGTTGGGGGACAGTTTTATCTGGTTGAGTCCCAAATAGGACGAAAGGTGCATCATCCTGTATCCCACTGCTAGCCACTATCCATCATTGATATATAAGTCCTTTATGTTGTGTTCACCTTTCGTAAACTGAAGGCTCAATCTGTTGCCATTGGCTCTATTTTCTAAAGAAATCTAAAATGATAATCGTTGTGAAATACTCATTTCCATAATCATGACAGCTAAGTTTTTCGTGTAATAATCTTGCTAGGCTATCCATTACAGTTTGATTTGTTTAGGTCAATTCCTGTAAAGACTTGTCAGGTCTATTCCTGGTTAGAACAGAACATCCAGATTATGTGTTGTTGCTGGTGCAGAGATAATAAAGTTGAGATTGGCGTTGAAGGTAAATGCTACAGTCAATCTTCCTACTGAGGAGCTAGGGATTGCCAAGAGGCAGCTAACTGTACTTCTCATCTGTTCTAACTGTCTGGATTCACCCATTTATGTAGAGTTCCGACTGTCAGTCTTTCTTAATATGACGCAAAACTTTTTTTGTAGAACCGTAGTGCCGTCAAAAGAATTTTATATCCTATGTCTATAGAGTGTAGTGTAATCGCCGACTTGTTTTCTGGCTTCTTAACGTCTACTGAAATTTTCGGAATCTGCTTTAGGTAGAGTCTGTGCTCCTTCACTCTCACATTTATCTACTTGCCTACTTCCCTAACATATTCCACAGTACAATCCGTGCATCTAATCTCATAAACTCATTTGTCTTGATTTTTTGTTTAGGTACTACATCTTTAACTTTCATTGAGTTGAACGAAAGTAGACTCTTATGTCATGTTTCTTCCTATCTCTTTTAAGGTCTGCTTAAGATATGGGATTATCGCGGTGTTTATCCAGTTTGTTGAAGAGAGTTTCGGTACATTCCTAATTTCGCTTTTAAAACGTTTTTGTTTTACAAAATCTTTAGGAATAATTTTTTGCTTCGAGTGTGTGGCTAACCCACTTTAACTCCTCTTCCCCTCTTTATCCTCTTTCGTTGTAACAAGACGGTTAGCCTTGTTGATCAGATTCTGGTAATCTAAGTATCTCTCGAATGTGCTGTATATTATAATGCTGTCATTCCACCATACAGTATAGAAAGATTAATTTGGATAGGTTGTATTGAAGTTGTTTGATGAAAGTACTACTTTCATACTCATCATTTATATGACGGGAGAGTTCATCCAGACAACTGTGTATAATGATGACAAATGTATCGTCTATGTGCCTTAACCAAATTCTTGAAGGTGTAGAACATTCTGTTATTGCAGAAATCATTCTTTTTATGAAGGTATATAGGAGGAATAATTTGATAAGCAGTGACAAACTATCCAAGTATGGAGCTGTGGTTCATTGTCTTAGCGATTTACCTTTCAACCAATATGTCACTGGACTGTACATCTCTTCAGCAAGGTTGTATCATGCTAGCCCATCACACAATAGGTATAGTTCATTGTCTACTGCAATGTAGGCATGTGTATATGGTTTGTGAGTTGTTTTCGATGTCTATATGAGGACGATATCAGTTGCAATCTGATTATCAATCTGTGTACATAATAGATTATCCAATGTAGTATATATTGTTGTATGTGATTACTTTATACACTGATTCTGTTGTTGTTGTTGTTGACATAATTCCTTGGATATATGTAGGTGATAAATGATCCATCTGGGAATGGTTTTATTGAAAATTATCTCGCTCCAAATGATGATCCTCAAATTGAATTGATAACATATACACGGACATCGGAACAAGATGAATTACTTGGCCTACAGCCTCAACCACCAATAGATTTAATCAATAAATTGTCTGTACCTGAAACAATTGTTGAAGTAAGTTATGAGAATTGTATAGGATTCACTTTATCCAGTACTGTGAACACATACACATACACACACACACACACATTATCATACATTTGTCAAGTTTATTCTCTTCCACATTACACCAATTTTTCATGCTGATTTCAGGAGGCGACTGTTTTGAATGAACCTGTGAAACCTATTGAAAAAGATGAAGTTATGTCTTTGTCTACCAATTGTCCATCATGTAATAGTCCAATTGAAAACAAAATGAAAATTGTCGGTAAGTATAATAAATATCAAGTTATTCTTCTAGGTAATAGTATTATTATTATTATTATTTGTCGCTTGGGTTCTTAGTGGAACATAGAGCTTCACTAACACGCCTGTTCTCTCCAGTCTTTTCAACCTGGCTCCATGACTCCCCATAAGCTTTCATTTCTTCCTCCATGTCATCCTCGCCTTAGACGCCCAACTCGTTGTCTCCCCTTTGGGTTCCACTCGACCGGTTGGTCTGGTGTGTGATGTCCCCAATCAGCCTTCTCAGTGTATGCCCAATCTATCTCCACTTTCTTCTGTTGGGTGATAGGTTCTTGGTTGGTTCGTTCCCAGAGTTCCTTGTTGTTTATTCTTATTATTGTGGCCATCTGATCTGATCTTCAGTATCGAGCCAGTGTAGGTGACAGCTGTTGATGATGCATGTCAGTAGTTTGTCGGAAGTGGTTTCCGCGACAAGCCAAGTTTCTGAATCATCACAAGCACGACTGAATTGACTTAAGTGGTGTTGAAAATCCTGATGTTATTCTTTGTACTGAATGCAGTAGATCTGCACACTGATTTCAAATTGATGGAAGCCCATTTGCTGTCTTTTCGATGCTGGTTTTGACATCCTCTTCTGTGCGTGTGCCGCCTGCAGTTGAAAGGATGCTGTTACGTGGGTAGGTAAGTGGAAGAGTGTACTTCCTTCAGGTTTCTCCCCATAGACAGTGATTAGTACTCGTTGTTGGTGCTGTTTTTGCTTGGGTATCATGATCATCATCTAAATTCACTTGAAGTCCCGTTTACGCTGCTCCCCTCTTCTGTCAACTTGTTAGTTTCTGCCTATAGATCTTCGAGTTTGTGCCACAAGACATTCGATGCAAGTCATCGACGAAATTCAACTTTATTCGAGAAGAAACATACATAATTTATACATGGGTTTTCCTCAGAAAATGAAGTCTCAAGTTCATAGGTTGAATACTTATTCTCATTGGTTAGCTGAAGGACAAAGCTGTCCAATAAGGTTTTTCCCGCCCACACAGTAAAATGAAACCAAGGTTGAAATCCAAACCTTGGCGGTTGAATGTTGATTTTAATTTAGATCGACGTCTATCAGGATGAAGGTGATTTTGTTTGTTTTATTTCTTACTAGGTAGATATTAAAATATTTCATTGTATTGTTTTGTATCAAGACATGATCGCCTATTAGTTTGATCATTTTTTTCTTTTATTTCCTCTATCTCCTCTTGTTTTTGTATTCTAGATATTCCTCATTTCAAGGAGGTTATACTAATGGCGGTCAATTGTTCAAGTTGTGGTTTTAAAGATTGTGAAGTTAAGTCGGGTACTGGTGTTTCACCTAAGGGTAGACATTATAAACTTCGTATTACGAATATCTATGATTTGTCACGTGATATCCTGGTCTCTGAATCTGCAGCCATTAAAATCCCTGAACTAGAGTTTGAATCTATGGGTGGTACACTTGGTGGAAGGTTTACAACTGTTGAAGGCTTATTAGTAGCGATAACTGATCAAGTAAGCCTTTTTTTTAATCCTCTGTATGTGTATGTATTGTCAACATTTCTGATCATGCAGTCAGTTATTTTAAATGTAGTCAGCAACCATGTGCACATTCATGCAGTAGATAGCTAGTCACGCCCTCTATCGTGTGTGGGTGTGAGGGTTGAATAATATTACCCACCGGCTGCGCACAACTCGATAGGTTGGCTTGCGTTCGAACTCGTGACGCATTCAACCAATGAGGCACAGTTCCACTATGCAATAGTCGTTGTGGTCTGCTAACTAACTTAAAAAATCGACGTTAAACCTCCCACACAAATGAACCGGGTCCAGTTACCACACTTTACATTGGTACACAAAGAATAGGTTGTGATGGGTGCTACTGATAAGAATGCATATGAGTAGTATGTGTTGAGAGGTCGGAAAAAGTGATAGGCAATTACGAGCGAGGGGTAAATATTGAGTCGAAGTGCGGTCACCTCGTCATTTTTGTTTTCTCCAGTTATCACAGCTACTTCTGTACCCATCAGCTGTCTGATCACCTTTGCCAGCTCACTAATATTCATGTGTTGGGCTGCGTTCACTAGTCGTAGGTGCTAGAGAATGACATTTGGAACACTTTCGTTGAACTGCGCAACCAGTAGCTGTGCTTGGGAGTTCTTATCCAGAGTAGGAAGTGGTCGACTTCATGGCTAGTACGTCGGGATCTTCGTCTAGTCCAAGTTTCGTGCTCTGGAACTTCTGCATCACCAGCTCCCTCTCCACTGGAGTGTCAAACTCCGCCTCCAGTCTTTCAACCACTGTCTCCCAACTCTTTTTCCCATCCACGCGTCCAAAGCCGTCATATACCGCTTTCGCTCGACCTCTCAGCAATGTGTCAAGAACCTCTTGGATCACGGACACCCACTAACTCCGAGACTGACTGGAAATTCTTAAGAAAGACTTTGATGTCTCCATCCTTGAACACTGCAGACCATGGAATCTTCATCACGTCCACAATCAGAGATACTAAAGGTAGGAAAAGGGCAAAGAGTGAATAGCAGATGGGTTGTTTGTTATGACAATATATTTCACTTCCGCTTCTTCCTCATCCATCTCGCTTCACTGTTGATACACCCACCTGGTATTTTGCCTTTCTCTGTGCAGAATATTTACTCATTGCTTGTAATTGCCTACGACTTCCCACCTCTCAACACGGACTACTTATATGCATTGTTATCAGTAGTAACCACTACAAGGTGGATAGAGAAGACATGATATTGAAGTAGATAAAGTAGTGTGAGAGAATAAACAACCTGAAGATAAAGTTTAGTGTGAACATTCAAGTTTTAGAGGACCTCATGGGGTGAATAAATTTACTCCATTGTTACCGATTTTTATGTTACTAAGAGTCAGTCCCTAACCACTGATACCTAACGTATTTGGGAGCTTAACCAGTCAGTGTACATCGCCTCAAACGGCTGAGACTAACAGTAAGAGACTTTATCAACTGGTTCCTGCATCTTGGTCTCGACACCCTGAACTCTTTGCGCACCTAATCCACCTTCCCATAGCATGACACATTGAAGTAGGTAAATGTCCAAGTTATCTTAATCGAATATGGTTCACAATTTCATCTATCGACTTCCCTATCTTGCCTGTAATCTATTGGTTAGGACATATGATGATTCATTTTATTAAAACTATTGTCACAAATTGTTATCGACTATTAACTAGGCAGGATTGGAAATTGAATGACATCCTAGATGAAGTTAACAAACAGCTAACTAAAACTATTCTTCCCCCCACTCCAATGCAAATCTCGTCCCTTTTTTTCTTAGCTCGACATCATCGAATTTTTGTAAAATTATCTCTAGAAGTGCCTAGGATATTTCATATGGTACAGATAATTTTGTAACGTTGGACATCAGACACCAGGTGTTTTGTCCTCGTGCGGGACTCGTCAGATGGATGCTAAGGCGTTATCCACTAGACTACTAGGGCACACAAGCCACCTCTTGGTGTAATGGTGAGCATAGTATAGTTAAGATATTATAATTTGTAATTAAATCGAGTCGGTTGACCACTATTGGTAATATGGTGAGCTATAATATCTCAGCTACTCTCTATACCTGTCACACACGGAGTGGCTATCGTGGTTCTGGTGTTTGAAGCGATCGTTCTCCGGTTCGAACCTTAGTGGAGAAGAGGTAGGTACATCCCGCTGACGAGTTATAAATGGGACGAAACACACATCTTAGACTCGACTGCTAGCCGCTATTCATCATTATCATCAATGCCGTGAAGATCAAGGCATGCAAAATAATGTGGGGGGGGGTGGCTCTAAATGCCATCGAATTAACTACTGGGACAACTTATCTGCTCCAACAATATTTCAATGGTTATATCAGGCTGGAATTTTGACAGTCATTATAAGTGTTTAAACATCTAAACTGTGGTCAAGTGATACTAGGAGGAGGAGGAGTACCGGTTACTATTACAACTGACTGGTATACTTTAGACTATATAGGTGTTTTTGTGATAGATCACTAGGAAAACTAACATTGTATGAATGTTTAAAAAAGAATTTTTTTTCTTTCTTCCCTAATCAGCTGATCAGTGCAAATCCGTTTATTGTTGGCGATAGTACTTCAACTGAAGAGTCAAAAGGCAAATTAGGATCAATGATTGGTCGTTTAAAAGAGGTCAGTTATTGGGATGATATTAGTCTTCAGTTATGATTGGGTGGTAACAGTGATGTATGCATAAATGAAATCCTCTATTTTGTTCATTTTCTACTAAACCTCATCTCATCTATCTCAGGAAGGGAGGTTAATCACGGCGCAAATCTCTCAGGTGGGATATCACTCTTGTCTAGATTGTAGATATGCTTCGTGATTGGCTGCATAACGCTCTAATAACTAATCAAATTTATTTTAGTTACTCCCACTTGTAGGTGTTACGGTGTGGATCAACGACGCAGGATTTTTTTGAGGTTACGGTACTGTATTAATAGGCAGTAATGACTATTCGGTTAGAAACATCGAATCGTACGGCTTTATCGCCGTTAAAATCCACCATAAAGGACTGTATGAACAGCAAAGCGTGTGTGTGTGTGTGTCTACAGCGAACCAAAGGTAAAAATAAGAACTGGACAGAACTCCATGATGAGGAAGAAAGGGAACCTTACCTACCCATGAGCTGGTAAAGATACTAATATCCTAAGGTGTTAAATGAGGAACGAAATATAATCATGACGGAAATAATCAAGCAATGCTGTGCATGGTAAATAAATTTCACTACTCATTATTAGTAAGTAGTATAAAGCATTTTGCATAAAAGAGGTGCAAGTGTAACCTTTGACATTGGAACGAGGTAAGAAAGCAATTTACAACGCAGTACTATTTACTCAATGACGTTTAGAGTGTACAGTTACCATATCCATGGTGAAGTCGATATGATCATACAACTTTCTAATTTGGTTTATTCAGCCTTATTACCTTTTTTTTTTGATTACAATGGTGACTGACTGACAAAATCAATGTAAAACCTCCCACACAACTGTGTCAAAGTAAATGAAAGAGTGTGAGAGAATAGACTATTTAAAGATAAAGGCTAGTACAAATATTCAAGCCTTAGAAGGCTTCAAGAAGTGAATACATCCTTACCATTGTGACCAATTTTCAGTTATTTCACCAAGAGTCAGTCCTCAACTACTGATTCCTGACGTCCAGAGACCCCCGACGATCATGTCCAAGTTAAGGTTCACAACCTTGTCAATCGACTTACCTGTCTTGCGTAGTAACCTTCACTTGACCTTAACATTGCTCACATGATGATTTCACCAAACGCTATGCTATGCTTCGAAGACATCTGTGATCAAAACTCAGTTATCGCTTCACGTCTTCTACTTTTGGTGGTATTGTCATGCAACTGTATAACAGGACAGAACGAACTGCAGCTCAATATACACTCATCCTTCAATACATATTCGTATATCTTAACGATAGGTGCCACAGTTGACAAATCACGAACGAGACTTGTGTATAGCAGCTAAGATGCAACTTCCAGGTAGATGAAGAGGTCGACATATCCCACTACTTCAATCACTATCATTAAACTAGGAGGACTAGCAGCAGACCAGTCCTGTAGCAGCATCTTAAACTTGACAGGTGCCAGACAAATACATGTGAAACATACTGAAATTTTCGCTTAACCCTGTGCCATCAGAAGACCTGCATACTTCAAGTCGATCCAATGATCTCCAGCGAGTATGTCCATGGCCGGTTGGCCTTCAAGTTATCACTATAGCATTTGGTTTTGGTGTTGACTCGATGAACAGTGACCAACGTTATCTTCGCTAACGTAATATGAGTTATCGCATATAAACTGGCCTCATCTCTTAGTCTTAACATCTTTGTACTTTCCTTCACATAAGCCCATTGGTCTAATGAACTGGTTAATTAGGTAACAGGTTGAAATTGCCAAGTTTAATCAAGGTTCACTACTTCTCTTTTTTTTATACCTTAACATGTTATCGGTACATTTGTAATCAACAATAAGAATGTAAATCAACTTGATAAATTTCCATTTACTAGGCTTGTTGTTTGTTAGTCTATGCTACTACCCTCTGATAACTGTCTACATTGAAATGAGTCGATTGATAGTCTGAACTAGAGACTCATTGAACTTATCTCTTGTTCATTATATGTGAATATTACAAGTTAATGATAATACTGAAGCATTTTGCTAATCAGCCTTATTTTCATTGATTTTCTAGACACTTCAGAGGGAGTATTGTTAATATACTATTGTATATAGAGTTGTTAGCTGACTGAAGCATTTGATTAGAGGTATTATCTATTAAGAAGGCTATTCTCAGGTAATATTATAACTTTAGAGCTATTCTATCCCTTTGGAATTGTTGTTGTTGTTGTTGTTGGTGGTGGTGGTGGTTGTTACGTCACCCCCCCTTTTTTCTTTCTTTCTTTCAGGTGATCATCTCTTTGTAAAATTTTAAACTAAATTGAGCATTTTTAACATTGGAGAATGTATATCCTTTTCCTTTGTTCTTCTTGTTAAGAAGACATCCCACTTAGTTATTGTGCTATGAAAATATAAGGAAGGATGTATCTTTAATTACAAGCTATGGCATATGTGTGTGTGTGTGTGTGTATGTTTTCTCATCTACTGACTTGTAAAAATGGATAGTTTACAGTGGTAGACACTCTTGTGTCTTATGAAAAAAAACTTGATACTGAGTAATTATTGAAAGTGGAATGAAAATTTGAACCTCAGCGGGATTCGAACCAGCTACCACTTGGTTTATGACCCTATACCTATAAGGTAGTAGAGCACCAACTTAAAACCGCTTTAGTCGCTGGTTTGAATCCTGTGACAAACTGTCACTGTCATTTATACAAAATATACCATAAATACTAATGGTTAGTGAATGTTTTTTTTTCTTATTTAGATATTCTCATACCTTTTGTAAAAAGTTAATTGTTTGTTGTATAACGTTTTTTATTTCTGTTTCAAGATCACCTCTGGTGAAAAACTTGATGTAATTTTTGAAGTTAATGATCCTGCTGGAAATAGTTATATTCAGGTAAGCATTACTCTCTTTCTTTATTTCCTTTAAATAATAAAGTGTAAACTTGCATTGTTTTATCGTTAAGGAATAAAGAGTAGGTAGTTATCAGTTGGAGATGATAAAAATGGGATCAAAGAAACTTTAATGGATGACCAATCACGTCCAAGTATACCCTGACCAATCACATTCAAGTATACCTTGACCAATCATAGCCAATGTATCTCATATTCGACTGGTAGGATAGAGTCTTTTGATCTATCCTTCATTCACTATTGTACACACTAAGAATATGTGACTTATCAACATATGTGTAAGAGTTGTGTTAACTTACTCATTCCTGTTTAAGAGTTACCTTCCTGGGTTATATTTACCTTTCCAAATAAAACATTCATCTACTTCCATGACATTCAACCTGTAAATTATTTGAAAACAAATGTCTTGGAGGAAGGGGGGGGGTACTAATACCACTTCAATGATATCAGTCACAGCTGTAGCTATTATTACAGGTGCGGCAACAACTCAATGTGGTATCGAAATCATAGTTTTGCTTTGTAGAGTTAGATGAGATCCTATAAAAAAACATACTCCATTCTCAATTTTAAGATTTTCTCTAAAGTATCCTTGACCTGATGATTGGTCATTCTCAAGGTTATATGTCATTAAAGTTTACTTGAACGGGAAATGAATAAGTGGTATCATTGAATCACTAGGCGACTAGCCATACCTACTGTGTGTTTCGGTGGGGGTGGGGGAGGGGGTGTAGTGATGAATATGTAGTGTGTGTTGCTTATCAGAATTGGATATAAGTAGCAATATGTTGAGAGGGTGGCAGAAATCATAAGGAATTACCAGAAATGGGTAAAGATTCTGTCCCATGGGTGTATGAAGAGAAAATCAAGAGAGAAGTAGAAGAGGAAATGAAGCACATTTTGCAAATAATTATTTTAATGGAAGGTGTAATGACTACTATACTACATGTTGATAATAAACATTGTTCCCTTCGTGTCTGTCTTCTTGTTTCCTTTCAATACAACTTGTAGCCCCCTAAATCACCTTGATAGACAAATGAAGATATGAATCCACAGACCACTGGTTGAAAGTTAACTCTTACTCAATATCAATGAATGAATTGTTGAATGTGTACACATGAACAATTACAATACAAATCAATTCAAATAGTGATCAGCTTAGTTTCTATACCGTTTATCAATAGATTCCTTATAAGAAGATGTATTGGAAAGGTTTATTGAAAATCTACAAGTGTGTATGTATAGTTCATTAGTCTACACATACTTGATGTCTGGGATTCATGGGTCCCTCTTTACAACTTAGATATGAGCAACACTAATAAATAACAATTACCACCCACCGAGTCGAAGCAATACTATAAGATTGACTTTGGCATCATCAGTTGAAGAAAAATTGGAAACTTGAGAGTACTTGGACTCCTCAGCAGGGTGCACCCATGACCCCGCCAAGGGTCAAACCCAGAACCTTCAAATTCTATGGCCAGCACGTTACTAGTGATCTACCTACTGGGTCAGAATCCAATTATCCATATTGTCTTTGCAAAAAAAGTCATACATAACAACAATCGACTAGACTGTACTTGATCGATCGGATTTTTTTTCTATTTTCCTTTCTTTTATCTTTTATTTTCCTGTAGAATCTGTACGCTCCTGATCCGGATCCTGAACTGGAAGTGATTGACTATGAACGAAGTGAGGAGGACAATGATCTTTTGGGTTTAACAGATATGAAGACGGAGAATTATGAAACCACCGACAGCTGAGTCCTGTCTCTCGCTTCCTCTCAATCGACTGGACTATTTTTTACAGATATGATAACTTGTTTTGATAATAACAGTAATAATAATAAAAAAATAATAATCGTACCGCATATTTTGGTCCACAGACACTGAATATTATGCTGCCTCTCCTCCTTATTATTAATATTGATTATTTTTCTCTTGTATTCCTAGTGGAACATAGGGCTTCAGTACCACGTCGTCATTTCGCTCTCTTCTCTGCACTCTTTTCAACCTGGCTACACGACTACCAAGAAGCTCTCATTTCTTCTTCATACTATCTCCTCTATATCACCCTCACACGCCTAAATCGTCATTTCCCATTTCGCTTCCACTCGACGGCCTAACCTGGTGCGTGATGTCCCCTAACCGTCTTCTCAGTGTATGTGGAATCCGATGGAATCCATTTCCACTTTATTCTTGTGATAGCTCCTTGGTTGGTTGGTTGGTTGCCTTCCAACCAGTCAGTCAGCCAGCCAGAGTTCCTTGTTGCTTATTGTTTCTGACCATCTGATGTTCAGTGTGAGTATCGAGTGAGCGGGTGTAGGTGGCAGGTGTTGATGATGATGATGTGTGTGTGTGTGTGTAGTTTGTTGGAGATGGTTTTCGTAAGGCGCGAAGTCTGTGAATGATCACATAGAAGCACTGACTTGTATGACTGAATTAGTGTTGAAAGTGGGGATGTTGTTCACGTTTTATGCTGAGTACAGTGCAGTGCATTAGATCTCCACACTAATTTCAGATTGATGAAGGTCTGCTTTTGTTTCTTCTGATCCTGGCTTTGACATCCTTATCTGTACCGCCTGTAGTTTAAACTATGCTACCTAGGTAGATAAGTATGTAAGAGAGACCACTTCCTTTAGATTTTTCCCGTTCATGGTGATTGGTGCTTGTTGTTGTTTGGGTATCGTCATCACCTCTGTCTTCTCTACATTCACTTGAAGTCCGGTCTTCTGCCTCTTCTGTCAACTTGCTGGTTTTTGCCTGTAGATCTTCGAGTTTGAGCGACATTAGACATAAATTATCATCGGTGAAATCCAAATCGTGTAGGGTCTTTTCATTGGTCGAATAGCGTATGCCCATCTTCCCGTTCCTCAATGTTTGCTGCATGATCGAGTCGACCACAATCAGGAAGTTTATCGGTGATAGTAGGCAACTTTGTCTTGTCTTACCCCCTTTCACTTCAAAGGCATCACTGAGCTTTCCATTGTGAATAACTTGACATGTAGCGTCATCATATAGCATGTAGCTGTTGAATGAGATTGATAAAGGTTCGTGTCATTAAAACCGTAGTGTTGAGGCAGCTGCCAAATTACTTCTTGGTCGGCGCTGTCGAAGGCCTTTTCGAAGTTGAGGTAGACAGTTGACTGGCATTCTATGCTCTGTTCTATGCTGATGCGCAGCGTAGCTTTGCAATTTGATCGTCACATGATTTGTTTTTCGAGAAGCGAGCCAGCCTGTTTCGGTCGTAATTTTGAATGCAGAGTATATTTTTTGTCTCTCTAGGATGATGTGGCTTAATATTTTGCTTGTTATGGACAGAAGCATAATTCTTCGCCGGTTCTTGCAAAGACGTAGGTCTCTTCTCTTTGGGAGTTTGACGCTTCTCCTTCTTATTAGCCCAAAAAGCTTCCTTAAGTGCTAGACCGAGTACTTTGAGAAGTTGTTTCACTTAACTGCTAAATCAGCAGTCGTCTCAACTCAGTCAGCACAAAGAAATAAGAAAATGCGTCGTTGGCTGAACACACATGTTTATATTTCCATGGAAACTGCAGACTTTATATCCTGAAGGTCCTGTTTGCCAACTTCCGACAATTCTAGCGGCGATGAAATATCAAACTATACATCACAAGTGCCTCTGTAGGATTTTTTTGCGTGTGGTAGAATCACCGTGTCAACAATGTTGCAGTAGGATTGAGCCGGAGAAATGCTGTAACAGTTCATGAGGTGCGTAGGCAGCCATAGAAAACTGGGGTGAAGACTCTTGAAGAAATGCCTGAGAATCAATCATACTGGCTCAGATGAAAGTGTAAAACTCTTCACTGACCTTCCTTTTTTAAAACTACTCTGCCTTCTCATAGACTGTCAGCTGATTTTCGTATAGCGACCAATTAATAACGTAGCTGAGTTGGATTGCCTGAATTCTTTAATTCTGTTTACCCCTCAACTACCTATAGTCTTCTTCAGATAATTCTGATCGAGTTGGATAGTCATTCAACTACATACCTTAGAGAAGAATACCGAAATTGTGCTGTCAGTTACAGGCTACTCAAATTGTATCTAATTCATTCATGGTTGGTCAGTATATTCTGACAGTATGTGTGCAAGCAGAGACAGTGAGTGACATGTGGGGCAGCAGGGTGGGAGTGTTGAAATTATTGAGTGGACAGAGTGTCAGTCAGGTGGATGTATTTTCAGGGAGAATGAGTGAGAATTTCTTGAGTGGTGCTGTATACTTGGAGACAGTGTAAAGTGACCCTGGATAGATGGTGACTTGTCTCCATGTTTGTTATTCTTTTGATCGTTGAAAGTGGAGTTATGCCTAAATCAAGGTTAGATGGAGAGAGTGGCTGAAGCATATATAGAAGCGAGATGATGTTTGCAGACCATCAGTGGACTGGTTTCAAAATTGACTTATGCACAACCGAATCCATTACTAACACTGGACTTCTTGATTGATCGATGCACGATGGGAGGGAGAACAAGAACTGTCATTGTAATTTGTATGTTTCAGTTAATGCCTGAACACAGGTCACTCAGTTCCCATAAGCTCAATCACATAGCATTAAACGCACAGTTCCAGTAGCATACACTCAGTTGTACTCAAATGATAGCCAATAGGATTGTAGTACTTGTCAAGGTCATACATGGAACTGAAATAACCAATGAAAGTAGCATTAGACAGACAAGCGATATTCACGTGACTTGGCAGTCAATAAAATTTTGTTTGCATCAATTGCCTATCTAGCCAATCACAAATCATCTTCAGCAGGATACTGATTGAAATTTCAATAACCATCCCTGATGTTAGTTTTGCTATAATAATAGAGTGTATAAATTTTTTCGTGACCACAATTTGCCGAACCAGTAAATCCTGTGGTTATTGGTCACATACGTGGAATTACCTATTGAAGTCATACGACAACCCAAAACCTATGCCTTGAGACTAGATATCAGTGACTAGTAGATGCAGAGACATTTACACAAGTATCTTGTCTAAACCTGTTACTCATCATAGTTCAATGTGTATTATACCAAATTGATTTGTATAGCTGAAACGGAGATATATATATATTGCTAATTTAAAGTAGATTGTATGGGTGTCAAAGACAAAATCAACGTTGAACCTCATACTGAACTGTATCGGCTCAAGTTGCCACACACTTCACAATAGTACACAAAGAACAGGTGGATAGAAAACAAGTGATGTCATGTGTGAGAATAAAGGTGTGTGTGAATATTCAAGGTTTAGATGTCAGGGAATGAATACATCTACGCCACTGTTACCGATTATCCACCGCGTCACCAAGAGTCAGCAGTTCTCGATCACTGATTCCTATCGTCTGGCGAATCCAAATCAAGCAGTCTACATCGACTCAAACCAAGAGTAACAAACTTCATGGACTGATGCAACGAATTGTTCTGACTGGTCACTGTAAACTCTCTTGCAAAGGTATCCAACTTTAGCATGACACATCGAGGCAAGTATTGGCTCTGCAGGCGTAGTACATCTCCAAACCATTTCAGTCGACTAAACTTCACAACCTCATCATTCAACTTACTAACTTGCCTAATACTCTTCGCCTAACCTCAATGTCGCTCACACAGTGATTGTACCAAACGCGAGAAATGCTACAAAAACATTTGTGATCGAAACCCTGTAGTCACTTAATGTCTTCTGCCTTCAACAGCTATGCCTAATCCATTGATACATAGTCGGTTATCTCACCAAATGGTGCTGGAGATGACGCGAGTTAGAAAATGCCAAGCGAGCCTTCTGTATCCAAGATGAGATTTCGTCAGCAACCACACCATTCGGGCTGATACAACTTCCAAGTAAATGAAGAGGTCGGCATATTCCACCATCTCACTCCCTACCATCAAACTGGAAGACCAGTCCTAGAGCAGTATCCTACATTCGATAGGTGGGAAAAATGTGGCAAAATACTTAGATTTCTCTGAACGCCATGCATTTTGTCATCGTCTACTTAATTCAAGTCAATCGGATGATCTCCAGGGGGTAGGTCAATCCTCGTGAAGTAAGATGTAGGGTTATGTCGAAGTTGAGTAGAAACGTTGACAATGGTCACACCTGGTGCACACCACTAGTTGTCATGAATGCTGATGATAACTCTCTATACGCCGTGAAATGGCTGTGTGAGTTCGAGTAGAAACCTATGATTAGCGTCATACTCTTACTTGGTACTACCTTCACAGTCAGACACTGCCATAACACCGCACGGTTGACTGATTCAAATGCCACCTTTAGGTCGATAAATATGGAGGATGAACATTTCATCGATGCACCCTTGTACAGGTCTGAAACCTATCTGATTTGCTCTTCTCAAGCTCCAGGCAGTCGTCATATAACTACAGACCTCAAAATCTTGGACAGGGCAGTAGTCAAACTGATTCCCCCATGGTTGTCACAGGAAGACGTCTCTCCCTTCGTATAAACTGGCATGATCAGAGACCAGTCTGAAGGGACTACTTCCGATTGCTATACATTATCCAATACTTCCGTCACTTCCCGGTCGCTCACACTAGGGAAGGCTAGTTCCTCTTGGGGTGCCTTAAAAAGAAGGGATAGTGTGTGACCACAGAGGACATCTGGTTGACACCAATCACCCACAGCCTTTCAGGAAGTTTGAGGCTTTGCATTTCTACTTTCGAACCCGACTGTGAATCCCTATAGCTGAAGTGGGTGCTTTTTTTCGGGTCAGACCTTTTCTAACTCCCACTTCCCACAGAGAAGGACCAGCGTGACACCGCTAGTCATCCTGAGGAAACACCTTACTGCCATCACACCCCATCCAGCTAACAAGAGTACGACTTCACCCTTGGACCCCCATCATAGTGTGGTAGGATCTCGAGAGAATAAATATTCCACCACCATAGCTCGTTGGGTCATTGTGAAATACAAGTCCGATCACCACGTCAAGGTAGCAGCTATCGGTTGTCCGTGAGTATTGCGAACTCGTTCTTATAATTAATAACGAGATGAGAAAGATACTTGTCTGGTTTCGAAAGATTTCTTGTAAACCAGACAGACTACCGTGAAGCTTTTGTAAAGACGGTGAAAACACAAAGTGAATTTCGAATTGGTAGCTATCTACATGCTAGAATCCTAAGTTAGGACGCTTTTAGATGTATCGCAGGTCTTACAAAGACAAAAAGCACAGAGGAATTATTTACAATCAAGAGATTGTGCAATCGTTTGACAAATGAGGGTTACATACTAGTTAATTTAGTTTGTGTATGGACCTGAACTTTCGTTGGAGGTGATAAAGTAGTAAGTGAACCGGTCCGAGTTGATACATTTCAAGCTTTAGATGTCAAGAGTGAAGACATCTACGGCACTGTCACTGATTTTCAACCGTCAACCACTGATTCCTTTCGTCTTGAGAACTCTAACCAAGCAGTCTACATCACCCCCCCCCCCCCACACACACACACACACAGAGACTGGTGCCACGTCAAGACAGGCATTGGATCGACTAAGATTCACCTAGTACTCTTCGGGTGACCACAACATCGTTCACATGGTGATTCCAGCAAACTTGGGCAATGCTATAAAGACATCTATGATTATAATCCTGTCACCGCTTTACATCGTCTTCTTTTAACAGCCTAGCTTGTACTATTGATATAGAATGTAAAGCTGAGTAAATGAACTGCTCTACTTATCTACCATTTTATTTCTGGTTGTATCCATTAAATTCATACTTCCATCACAGTGTAGTAGATGACAGGGTTTATCATGTTTACTTTTCGGTTCATACTTCCTATGAAATCATTCATCATTAAATTCATATTATAAATACTCTATCCAGAAGTCTACGCTACCGTTACCCCCCATTGAGCACCTCCCAACCCCAGTAATTTTGATTTTATCCACTATCAACCAAGAAGTAATAAGGTTAAGGTAACTAAAAATCAAGAATCCTATACTCTAAGCGTTATTCAATATGATAAGGTATAGTTTGTCTTTGGTGGTTAAGTCACAGCGTGTGTTTGAAATGAATGAAATATATCCATTAGAATATGAAAGAAGGAACAAGTGTAAGTATTTCAGTCAACAGTCTCTTTTCTTACCGATTTCATTTTCAAAGCTAAACAATCGTATATTTATACATTTTTTTTAATTTTCTTCTAATATAAAGATTTGATAGTTGAAAAGAGTCTGTCAAGCATACCAGGTAACACATATGGATGGCAAGAGCTTCGGTGATGCAGAAAATATGAAGACAAACAGCCTTTTACTGTTTAGATGACTTTGAATGAGGTGGTTCTCAAGATAGCGTGATTCGTGTTCACCATGTGCTCAATTATAGCACTCCTTATCTCTCCATTGTCACCTGTTTGTAACCACTTGGGATAGATAATGCTCCAGAACCCATTTGGATAACAGTCGCATCGAACGATCTATATACCTGACTGACTCCACAAGACTAGGTGAAGTGATATATGCACACAGAAGTGGTCAGATGCAAACGTTGGTCCTTCAAGTGATCATGTGACAGGAGAATACTAGTCTCAGCGATGATGCAAAGAATGCTCTCCTTCGAAGGCTTGATATCCTGCTTTTTAGTGTTGATTTCACATTGATGAAGGCCTGTTTTGCGGTCTTCTGATTCTGACTTTGACATCGTTATCTGTGCCGCCTGTAGTTGAAAGGATGCTGCCTAGGTAAATCAGCCTATATTTTACAAAAGTATACCTTGATTGGACCTTTGAAATTAACGACTGAAAGTTCTCAACAGTACAAAAGGTACATCAACGATAATTTTATTGTCTATGGTCATCAGTATGATTTGAATTATGTTCTACAAATATTCAATAACTGCCATTCAGTAATTAGATTCACTCTTGACGTCAAAGAAAACCTTACCACCGTGTTGAAAAGGTTACTCTATATAAATGTAAACTTCATAGGTGATTCTGTCTCTGACACTGAAAAGGAGGATATTAAACGCTCTAAGGAGAACATTCTTTGCATCATCGCTGAGACTAGTATTCTCCTGTCACCCGATCACTTGAAGGACCAATGTTTGCATCTGACCACTTCTGTGTGCATATATCACTTCACCTAGTCTTGTGGAGTCAGTCAGGTATATAGATCGTTCGATGCGACTGTTATTCAAATGGGTTCGCGAGCATTATCTATCCCACGTGGTTACAAACAGGTAACAATGGAGTGCTATAATTCAACACATCTTGAACACGAATCACACTATCTCGAGAACCACCTCGTCCAAAGTCATCTAAAAACTGAAGAGAAACATTCGTATTTTCTGTATCACTGAAGCTCTTACCCTTCATATGGAGAAAGCTGAACTGTCGACACAAAAGAAGATAGTTTAACCCCACCTCCTTTCATGGTTCTAGTAATGAGTCTGTGAAATCCTTTCCACCCGGTACCATACCTTATCTTCTCATTCTTCTCTTTTGACATCAATCACTTCTTAAGTAATTTGCTACTAATTTTCCTGTCTATGCTCTCACTGATCCCAATTCAGCTTCCAATTATGTCGTCATATAACAAAACTTCTTGTCAAAACTTATTTTGATTAATATTCACTAGTCATCAGTTTTTTTTCATACTTCAATTACAGCTTCTTTATTGACACAATCCGCCCAGTGGAAGAAGGGCTACCCTGTCAAACTCCAAAATAAGGGTGACTTAAGTCTTTGTAACAACTGGCGCGTAATCATACTCCTGTTCTCAACAACCAAAATATTAAACTGCATCATTCTGCATTTCACTGATGACTTGTTTTTCTAATGTCGCACAAACTCGAACATCTACACGCGAAAACTAACAAAGTTGGCAGAAGAGGCAAGGTAGCCAAGGGACACCAGACTTCCTTTACGTGACCATAGAGAAGGCAGGTGATGAAGATACCCAGCCAACAACAACAACAACAAGCACCAATCACAACAAATGGGAGAAATCTAAACGAAGTCGGCTCTCCCACCTATCTACCTACATACTTAACTACCTACCTAGGCAGCATCGTCTCAAATACACCCGACACAGACAACTATCGAGACGTCAAAGCAAGACCAGCCTTCATTCACCTCAACTCAGTGTCCAGGTCTACTGCACTCAGCATAAAAAGTGAACAACATCCCCACTTTCAACACTAATTCAGTCATACAAGTCAGTGCTTCTATGTGATCATTCACAGACTTCGCGCCTTACGAAAACCATCTCCAACAAACTACACACACACACACACACACACATCATCATCATCAACACCTGCCACCTACACCCGCTCACTCGATACTCACACTGAACATCAGATGGTCAGAAACAATAAGCAACAAGGAACTCTGGCTGGCTGACTGACTGGCTGGAAGGCAACCAACCAACCAAGGAGCTATCACAACAACAAAGTGGAAATGGATTCCATCGGATTCCACATACACTGAGAAGACGGTTTGGGGACATCACGCACCAGGTTAGGCCGTCGAGTGGAAGCGAAATGGGAAATGACGATTTAAGCGTGTGAGGGTGATATACAGGAGATAGTGTGAGGAAGAAATGAGAGCTTCTTGGTAGTCGTGTAGCCAGACTGGAGAGAAAAGAGTGAAATGGCGACATGTTTCACTAGGAACCCAAGGGACAAGTAGTATTTATTATTGACACGGTTTGTGTTGCCTACCATGCTTCACAAACCGTTTTTAACTATCAAATCCTTACACCAGAAATAAGTGTATAAATTTGTGACTGTACAGCTTTGAAAATGAAATCGCCGCGAAAAGTGACTCTTTGATGAAGTACTTACTTGTTTCAAATGACACAATCCTAACATTATCATTTGACTATTTGAGATAGTCATAGTTTGGTAGACTAGTACTACTGGTACTGGGTGATGAGTGAAGGTGAGCTGAAAATTTCGACCGCAACCGGATTCGAACCAGGAACCCGCGGGTTACTAGCTAAATGTTCGAACAACTGAGCTATGAGGTTCAATTGCTGACAAGATTTTGGTAGTCAGGAGATAAAAATCTGGTGAACAGTCGGGCCTCGTAGCTCAGTTGGTAGAGCATCGGGTGGGAAACCTGATGGTCGGTGGTTCAGATCCGACAGCGGTCGAAATTTTTTTTATTCCACCTTCAATCATCACCCAGTATAAATTGCAACATTGTTTGGCACGGAAGTCTAGTCCCAGCTTCTCGAAGGAAATGATCAATAGTTAAATATCAAGGAGATATAAATGAATATCACCGCCCCTCCCGCTAAATGATAATGGTAATGGGGAGCAAATAAAAACAACACCTAATTATTGCATAACATTTAGAGCAGGGTTTATAATCTGTCATCCAGGTGTACCTAAAATAGCTCTTTGAATATAGTTTGATCAGATGAGACATTGAGTAATCGTTGAGCTCATCGTTCAATATTTGTGGTACTATCCCATAAAGTCTTGATCATACTTCATATAATAGTAGTCATTTGTATGTATTTATATATATATATATAACGATTCAACATAAAATTGTGTACATGTTTGTTTCACATTTCCCAGTAAAATAATGAAAGATAAGTATGATTTTGATCGAGGTGGAGGATACAACAGTTCTGATGTTTTATCAATAGTGTGGATAGTTAGTATTCAATCATCCGTTCTATTATCCACTCCATTGCTTAAATCCATAGTATCATAATGTTCTTCATCGGCATCTGACATTACAGGATCTTGTTCATAACCTTCTGTTGTTTCATATAACAAAGAGAAATCAGTTAACCGATGAATTAGACTAGAACGTGTTGTACTCTGTGGTGGATGTAGTAAACTATTCATCATTTCTTCATCTGTCCCAGAAATTCTCTCCATCACTTCACTTTCATCATCTTCATCAAAGTTAATACTTATACCAGATTGAAATGAACTAAGATGTGATCTGATTGGATGATTTATACTTTGACCAACACCACCTCCACTTACAGGTTCAGAAGTACCTTGTCGACTTGAAGTACGTGCTGAAATCGGTGGATTTGTCATGATATCTCTTAGATGAGTATTAGCACCTTTTGGATCCAATTCCATTGCCCAAGAATAATGAATCATTGCTTGTGGTGTATTACCAAGTTTTTTATATGTATGTCCAATCATTAAATAGACCATAGCTTCACGTGGTGTTAGAACAAGCAACTTTTGAAGTTCTGATAAAACTTCCTAATTAATAAGTGAATAAGACAAAGTATATGATTAAATAACACATTGAATACTGATAAGTAAAGGTTAGATACAATTCACTAAACAAGTTCCAATCCATTGATGTTTTCTGAGGGTTAATTCAACAAATGACTCTTAGTAGACATCTCATTGTTGTGGAATTATGCATGAATTGAAAGCATTCAAGAAGATAAGATGGACGACAGCCGGATTCAAATCAACGATCACCAGGTTACCGACCCAGTGTTCTACCAACTGACCTATGAAATTCGACTGTTAACCACATTTTGACTTTACTTCAATAGCAAGTGGCGTTTTGACTGACTACCATGTGAATTCATGACGCCTTACTATCGATTGATCGTATTCATACTGACTGCTCGCTGTCAAGCTTTCTCATCCCAATCCAAATCTAACTCAATTAGAGAGAGGGAGTATCGTACTGATTACCATATGATCCGGCTGCGGTCCACATTTTCATCTCACCTTCAATCATCTCCCCAGTTTCAGTAGTACTAGTCTTCCAAACTATGGCTATCTCACATAGTCAAATGATAATCAATATGATGCTTTCCCTTGCTAGTTCACTTAGATTTTAATTGGGATGAGAAGTCCTGACTAAGTAGCCAGCGTGAATACGATTAAGCGGTAGTAACGCATCACGAATTCACATGGTAGTCGGGTGATACAATCCTTGGTGATTGAAGTGAAATAAAATTCTGTTCAGCAGTCGGACCTAGAAATTCAGTTGATAGAACATAGGGTCGGTAACCCGGTGGTCGCTGGTTCGAATCCGGCTGCGGTACACATTTTCATCTCACCTTTAATCCCCCCCCCATTCGGAGTATAGCTAATAAGTGAACGACTGGAGATCGCCTGTTTCATTGATACTCGACTCAACCTCCTAGTAACATGTTCTGGGAACAGAATACAGACACCTTATTCTTGAATTCAATCACTTCAATTACCAAAATCTGTCTTGTCCACAATAGTTTATTATCATTAACCAAACTATGTATAGATTTTTCATGGAGATCAAATTTCGACCATTTTTGAAGATCACTATCACTATCACAATCATAAAATATTTAAAAAGGCATTCAAATATATACACAGTAATAGTTATCATCAACTTTGAAGATCTGTGAATACTGGATAGCTGTTTTGTCCTAGTTAACGAAACTCCTCAGCAGTATGCACCTATTATCCTACCCGGCTAGGGATTGAATCTACCACCTTCACTTCCCTCAACGAATATATTAGTCATTCACCTACTGGATCACAGTTTCAAGGTTTCTCAGTTTGCATTTGTTTCATACTTTTTAACTAGTTGTGACATCTACATTTTACAACTTCTCATCAGAACTTAAGGATACCTAATATATCACTAATGCACAATCATGTGTGCTTAGTTATGAAGATTATTATACTGAAAGATGAAACAAATGTTCAATTATTCCAGGTTTTCAATGGTTCTCTGCAACATTTAGAGCATTGTACTTTTTATAGTTGAACTAAACAAATTTCTCTACATCATATTTTGTTCCACCTTATTTGTACAACTAGATAACCTACTCTCTGACTAGTTTGTCGTTTGTTGTATGTCACGATGTAATTGGATGATTATAAAGGGGTCACTTTCTGTACTAAAACTTGAATTATTAACCCGGAAACTTAATGTCAGATTCATATTCTTGAAGAAAAGGATCTTCTTAACCAGATGGAAATGTCAGGATTACACAAAGAAAAAATAAACACCTTATACGTTGAATCCTATTCATTCACTGCCCAAGCTTTTTCAAACTATCCAGTCCACTGTTGATCAGGATAAGTTCAGGTTTAAAGCACCTTTCATAATCGGTCACTCAGGTACCTAAAACGGTTTCTACAATAATATTTTGTACAACTTTATCATATGAAACCTTCAGTAATCGCTAAGCAAAAGTCTGTGCCTGCGCTCACAACACTTCAGTGTGATCAGTTGCACTCTACACCTGTGAAACCTGACCCTTTCTGAGCTGAGGATATGCGACGACTGTGTGTTCGATCACTGTTGTCATTCAATCAGTGAAATCATCTGAAAACACCGATTTCGTAAGTTGGATATATGCTAACGCATGTCGTCCCAACAGCTTCCATACAGTTTATTGTTTGCTAGCCCCATAAGGACTGGATAGAAGAAGTGTAGGGGTGCACATGGCACTGTAGAATGAAGGAAAGTTGTATTGGGCTAGCATCCGTTGATGGATCACAACTTCCCGAGTGGGGGATCCGAGAGATTATACAGTCTAGTGGCGGCCATGCTGTAACTTCCTTCTAGTGCTTCCACTCCCCATCGCTTTATACTTTCACAATGTTGTGATACAACTTTATGTGGCATATTTCTTGGTGCCCTTGCTGTACCATGTTTGTATTCGAATAATAATAATAATAATAATTAAATAAATAAATAACCTCTTTCTTTACTGGGGTGATACTCACTGAAGAAAGTATTCAAAATGTCTTGAAAATAAAGCTACGGGCTTGTTGACAATCATAAATTAACGTGACTAACATGCTGCTTTTTGGGTTGTTATATTCAACGTTGCACAGTAATCTATCCTATAGCGCTAGGGACAATTTCATCTCGCTTATTCACTAGTGGATGAACATAAGGAAATTAAATAATTTGATTTAATTTTAAGGTTTGTGCGGATTTATTTAGCGTTTTCAGACTAAATTGACATGAATTAGAGAAAGGTAAGAAACGTTAGAGCACTGGAGGGCTGTTTCGTCCTAGTACGAGACTCTTCAGCAGTGTGCAACCCTGTCCCGCCGAGGACCGAACCCGAAAACTCCAGGTTCCGCGCTCAGCACGCTACCCTTGAGTACTAGGTCGGTATCCAATGGTTCAAAATTTCCTACTTCTGTCACTTCACGATATAGCGCGACCTCCATCTAATGCCGTCGTCGTTGATTAATTGTCTCCATCTTCGTCTAGGTTGGTCCCATCAGGCATGACTTCTCATAGGAACATCAGGAATCACCTCTTGACGTGAGTCACCAATGAGCACCAGATATATTCAACTTTGAGGTTTGTTGGAGGGGGGGGGGTTATTTAGTAATTTCAGGTTGGTATTCATGTGGACTATTACATTCCAACGTAATGGCTCAAGGGTAACCGTCTGGTGGTCACGAAAACTGAAGTGCTCCCAATTTTCCAATGTTTCTCTAACTGGTGAATATTGACTGACTTGAAAGTATAGTTGATGGCGCCCAGTTCATACTGCATCCTTTGATTGGAGTTTAACTGATTACGGTGTTTGAATTATGTATGTAAACTAGTTCATATTTTATTAATGGATAGGAGTGGAATCCAGTTTGACACGCGCTTCATCCTATTTCAGTAATACGTGCCTCTTAGTGAGCGTGACGTTGTTCCCACTAACAGTCAAGACTAGGACTAATCGTTTCAAATACCAAAGTGCTATCCATTTGGTCAGTGATTCCTTGTGCAACGGATATAGTATAGCTTGACATTTCCCAGCCCTGATTGGACTGAATCGATTGGCTTCTATTAGGATGTGGGGTGGTGAGCGGATATCTTGGTATTGCCGATATTATTAGCAGTAATATTCAAGACTATAATACTATAACCATCGCATAAGAAGTAGCTATTGTGACCAAGCAGGAACGAGATTTAGGTACACCCACCTGATGAGTTTCAAACAGAACGAAATGTATGCTAAACTGGATTTCGCTGCTAGCAACTATTCATTATTAATATAAAAAGATTGAAAATACAGGCAGTGTCGAAGCATCCGTGCAGGAGCTCATACGCCAATAGAGACCGGTCAACGACAGCATAATACAAACAAGTAACATTACATAGAACAAATCGGTTGGAGAACCATTGAAAACTTGGGAGTACTAGACAGCTATTTCCTCTTAGTATGGATGAATGATAAAATGAACACCACGAAACCTAAGGATTTCGGACTTGAGAGAGCAGGCTGATGGTCACATTCTGCTGAGAAGCATCTTACTGGGTTGAAACAACTGTCCAGTGCTCTCAGGTCATCTTCAGTTCGCGATGAATCCCTAAGAACCTTCAATTTACAAGAGGAGTGGAAGCAGTCTCAAGAACTTTATTTATCAGTGTTCTAGTAGTACAATAACTAGAACACAATATACACCAACAGAACTGTCTCATTCAGCTTCGAATTCTTCGTTAGGTACTACTTCTCGAAAAAACCCAAACAATCCTACATAAAAGTGTATGCCTACACATACACTATAGATGCGATAAAATTCATAACTTGAAGCCAGAACTATGCATATAAAAGAATGATTAAAGGTGTGTTCGCAGCACTGTTCATATATAATGAAATCATCGTGTGAAGAATGTCGGAAGTTAGGCAAAAGTGTACTAGAAGTAAACAAGGTGAAGAACTTTTACCGATTTAGCTGGCTTAGACATAAGTTGGATATGCTGAACCGTTGCCTACCTTGATATGTAAGTTTAGTGTAGTGATATTAGATTAGAAGAAGGCTAACTGTGGTCAGAAGAGGTAAATCAGTTGACGAGGTTGTGAACCTTCATCGATTGAGATGGTTGGGACACGTACTAAGTATGCCTAGTCACCGATTGCCTCGTCACACAATGTTGGCTGAGGTGGGTCCAGGCTGGAAAAAGGCTCGAGGTGGCCAGACTAAAACATGACACCAATGTATGAAGTCTCTGACTGTTGGTTTAGGCCATGTAGGACGATGCAGACTAGGTGGTTGGGGTCCACGGGACAAGAGGAACCAGTGGTTGGAGACTCTACGAGATATGGCTCAGAACCGATGTCAGTGGCGCAAATGTATCCCCACACACACATTATCCTCATCTTAACAACGCTATACCGAATCTCACCATTTTGTCACTCCTCTTCCTTTCTTCTCGTACTTTATATTTCTTTTGACTGCATTCACTTATCTTCATCCTTCACCTCACTACCTTTTTACTTGATGTGCTGATATGAGGTGTGGCAACTCGGACCGTTACGCAGTAATGCTTGGTCCTATGTTGATAATGATGATGATGATGAACTGTGGTCAGATAAAGACATGATAACAATATATAAAGATTGATGCTCTGAATTGTATAGACTGTCTGCTTACAGATTTCAAGACAAAAAGAATCAACAATTGGAGACTTTCTGTGATTTCGTCATATTTCTTAATTCATCATCAACAATAGGATAGGCTGAATCATCCAACATAGCTTAAGGACTTCATACATTGAAGCTGGTCGCCAGCTTGAACATACTTCGGTCCCAACCAATACAATCGATGAAAGTTGATAAATAAATCAACTGACTTACCTCTCCTATCTGACGACTATGTTATTTCTTAATTATCATACTGATTAGTGGTGACACATCACACACACACACACACACACTGATCCCATAAAAAAAAAAAGATTGAATATTTTGTATAGAATTGGATAACTTTAATAATCAAAAGAAAGACTATTTACTTTATATAAAACAAATAGACTTACTGAATAACGTCCAAGATGATATAGAATAGAAGCTTTATGATATCTAGCCAATGGATTATTTGATTGAATTTTACATGCTCTATTAATTAAATCCATAGCACTTCCATAACCATCATCTAATCGACCTAATCGACTGCGTAAAGCAGCAAGATTTGTTAATAATATATGTGATTGTGGAAAGAGTGCAACAGCACGAATTAAATAAATTTCAGATAAATCAAATTTCTCTTGTTTATAATAAACATTACTAATACCGAATAAAGCATTATAATGTCTTGGATCAATTCTTAAAGCATACTGAAATGCAGCTAATGCTCTATCGAATTCTTCTAAAGTTGATTGTTCATGTCCTAAAAGTGTCCAAGCATAAACACTTGTAGGTGAAATCTACAAGAAGAAAACAACAACAACAACAAAAATAACGAGATATATTTACATACATAACATTGAAGAATGCTAAAAAAACAACAGTATGTATTGTTGAGGAATCTTATACTTGAATGAAACAGCTATCAAATACTTCAAACTGAGTACTGGCCTCTTAATTGCAAAATTCTCTATTCGTCTTAAAAAACACATTACTATACTGTGCTCAAAAGAAGGGTGACTTAAGTCTTTGTAACAACAACTGGCGCGTAATCATACTCCTGTTCTCAACAACCAAAATATTAAACTGCATCATTCTGCATTTCACTGATGACTTGTTTTTCTAATGTCGCACAAACTCGAACATCTACACGCGAAAACTAACAAAGTTGGCAGAAGAGGCAAGGTAGCCAAGGGACACCAGACTTCCTTTACCTGACCATAGAGAAGGCAGGTGATGAAGATACCCAGCCAACAACAACAACAACAACAACAAGCACCAATCACAACAAATGGGAGAAATCTAAACGAAGTCGGCTCTCCCACCTATCTACCTACATACTTAACTACCTACCTAGGCAGCATCGTCTCAAATACACCCGACACAGACAACTATCGAGACGTCAAAGCAAGACCAGCCTTCATTCACCTCAACTCAGTGTCCAGGTCTACTGCACTCAGCATAAAAAGTGAACAACATCCCCACTTTCAACACTAATTCAGTCATACAAGTCAGTGCTTCTATGTCATGATTCACAGACTTCGCGCCTTACGAAAACCATCTCCAACAAACTACACACACACACACATCATCATCAACACCTGCCACCTACACCCGCTCACTCGATACTCACACTGAACATCAGATGGTCAGAAACAATAAACAACAAGGAACTCTGGCTGGCTGACTGACTGGTTGGAAGGCAACCAACCAACCAACCAAGGAGCTATCACAAGAATAAAGTGGAAATGGATTCCATCGGATTCCACATACACTGAGAAGACGGTTAGGGGACATCACGCACCAGGTTAGGCCGTCGAGTGGAAGCGAAATGGGAAATGACGATTTAAGCATGTGAGGGTGATATAGAGGAGATAGTGTGAGGAAGAAATGAGAGCTTCTGGTAGTAGTGTAGCCAGGTTGAAAAGAGTGCAGAGAAGAGAGAGAAATGACGACGTGGTACTGAAGCCCTATGTTATACTAGAAATACAAGGGGAAAATAACAGTAGTAATAATAATAATCGAAACATAGATCTTTTGAAGGTTAATACTCTTTGCATGCAAAAAGCAAAACGAAAGAAAAGGATTACTTCAAGAGACTATGGTGGTATGGCTATATGAGTACCATTTCAGTAGCAGACAGGAATCATCATATATCTATTCATGAGCCATTCATACCTTTCCTAGAAAGCTGGAACGTTTTGCTTCACTATAAATTTGCAATCCTAATTTCCCAAGTACCATGAAGTGAAGTCTCCTATTCAGAGTCCAAACTTGACATCAGACTTTTACTTTCACAGTTTTACTTTTGTAGGAGACACCGTCTGCCAGATGAAGCCTATCAATAAAACCTTTTACTAGGTGGAATACACTACACAGTCGATGAAGGTTCACAACCACACCAACTAACTTATCTCTCTTCCCTAAAACTCTACGTCTCACTATTGCGTTACGTACGCGGTGATACTACGAAACACGGTCTATGTTACGAAGGCAGCGGTGGTCAAATACCTGAAGCTTTCTCATATCTTCTCTCTTTAATGAGCATGTTCCAAAGCCATAGGGTAGAACAGAGGGAACTACAGCGCAGTACACTCTGCCTTTAATAGGCAATCGTATATCGCGGCGGCGCCATAGACGATATAAGTTAGTAAAAGCCAACCTAGCCTTTTGTATCCATGTAGAGATTTCGTCGGCCACTTAACCGCCACGGCTGGTCCGGTTTCCCAGGGAAGTCAAGTGTTCAACGCACTTAACTCTTTCACTCTACTATTAGTCACTGAAGGCCGGTCCTGGAACAACAATTTGCAATTAGGTGGCGAGAAACGCATCCCAAACATCCTCAAATCGCCACTAAAGGTATCCAGAAGACTGCATCTTATCAGCGTCTTCACCTGAAAGAACTATACCATCTGCATTGTCTAGGTCAAACAAAAATTCTCCTGTGCTTAGGTCGATCCCTGTATAGTCACATGTCGAGAGGGAGATCTCTATAAGAGCTTATTGTATGATGGAAGGATACTGACTGAATGAAGTGTGATATATAACACACAATAGAGCAAAAAACAAATAACTCACCTGCAGTGCTCGACGAAAGAATTTAATAGCAGTTTCATGTTCACCTTGTAAAGAGAAGCAATTACCTGCTACGCACCAAGGTTCAGGAGCATTACGATCAAGTTCCAATAGGTCGTGAGCTAATTGTGAAAGTTCTTGATCAGCTTGAATTTGCCATAATACTGTTGAGTAGAAATCCATTCCACAAAGCTGCCATGGTTCTAAACGACGCGCTTCATTGAATAATTTGTGAGCTGTCTGGTAATCTGCATTATCCATATGTGCACGAGCTGCCCATGCTAAAACTCGACCAGTATGAAGTTGGGAGCTTGGAAGTTTTAAAAGTAGACGGGTCGCTGAACGCCACTGATGTCTTACCAACATCTGATAAGCCTTACCCAGTTGACTTAACAAACTTAGATACTGCTGTAACGACTGTGTACGAGGATCATCTTTCTCATATGCAGCTTCAACTGATAAAGGTACTTTGTAGTGATTACTATATCCGAAAGCTGGTACATCTTCAATGACAGAAGAATGCATCGTTTTAGGGGAATTAGAGATAGGACACGAGTTGGGACAATTTACTTTAGGTTGTAGGCTAACAGAATTTTCCATGGATTCTGATGGTAAAAGTTTAGAATCTAACTTCCGGTTATGACCTCGGCTCCTCAAAAACCTATTCGATCTGCGTTGAATGCCAGAAGCTCTTGCTACAGCTGCTGCTGCCGCCACCTGAGACCTTGTCCGGGGACCTCCACTAGTAGCAAGGTCAGTAGGAATGGTATTCTCAACAGCTCGACATCCTGTAGACGTTTGTTGACTTGAAAGTGGCCTTGGTGTTGAAGAAGAAGTTAACATACCGGGACTCTGTGAAGCGGGATTGAAGTATTGTAGATTCGATCTGAGTACCAACGGAGAATCACGGATATGCCGAATGTTAGGTGAAGGATATACGCTACGTTGAGCGGCACTACGTAGAAGAGGTGGTTCAAGACGAGAACTAGGTGTATTGACCAATGGATTGGTAGACAAGTTAACACTAGATTCAAGATTTGGGGTTGTAGTAGAAACTAGATGACGGAGTGCACTGGCTGGTGAAGCAACTGACTGACGACCAGTACCAGAATGTGTATCAGGTTTTTCTGAAGCGTTAAGTGCCTTGGCTGTATCTGTAATATTTTGATTACTTTCTGATTCATTACTATGGTGATCTTTTTTGACTCCAGCAGTTGTACTATTACTACTTAAAGTACGATTTCGTTGACGAGGTATTTGAAAACAACTTATATCATTCTGACCATCATCAATCTGACTGAGCGCCAACTGCCACACTGGTAAACACTGATGATTTGCAGCTAATCGAATAGAGTTGGAAAGAATTGATTCTGGAGAAGCTGACTGATTTCCAGAAAGCCTTGAAAACACCTAGAATTTGAAGAGTTTACAAAAAAGTATATAACAAATGTTATAAAAACAATCTCCAACCAAATGATAATTTAAGCAAGATAAAACTATAATATCCAATAAAGTCAAAGATTGCAACACAACTAAAATGAATTGCAAATACTTGACAAGGAATATTGGTACAAAACATGGATTAGATATCAAAGAGAAAATTGAAAACAGGGAACCATACAATGTAGCTACTTTGAGAAAAAGTTGTGGTTCATTGGTTAAAGCCTCTCAGCTTTTCATCAGTTGGTTGTGAGTTGAAACCCCAATCTCACCTACCTTCTAAGATCTGAGCAGTCAAACAGTGTCACAACAGACGCGGTTTATTACCTACTGCATGGACATGTAGGTAGTTACCAAGTGTACTTCCATATTTTCTTTTTATTAACTTCGCAAGTATACGCAGATGACGAACCAAACATATGATGTTAACATTAATGATACTACACACCTGCCAAAGCCTTAGTGAGTGAAGTAAGGTTTACAACTGTGACCTATGAGGTGAACATTGACTTTATAGATACTAATGAACAGATAAATATGGTCAGGAGGAATCTAGAACAGAATATATGACCAGTGTTAACGTATTTTGAAGGCGAAGTCATAGTTCATCAGCCAGACAGATAAATAAATCACCATAAAACTTTGTATTATAATAAAGACAAATGTATCAGTGGAGAGAAATAAATGAAGGTGGGTAGGAATGTTTGAAATTCCAAATATATTAAAGAGTGAAAGCATCTAAGCCATAGTATATTCGACTTTCAGCCATATCCCTGATAGTCTGCAACCATTGATTCTTATTATTTTGAAGACAACAGCGAGGCAGTCTACACTTCTCTTGACTTCTCAGGTTGCGAGTCAAAGATTTCATGAACTGTGGTCTAGAGCCTGTCGAAGAGTGAAGATATGAACAATACACTCTTGTCAAGGTATGATATCTGTCTAGTTTTTTTGAGTTTGTTGTTCTTAAACTCGATTAGGTGTTGTATAACTACGCATCCTGGGATCTTGGACAGGATGTCAGTTAAACTCCTCCCTCAATGATTATCACATGAAGACTTTTCTCCCTTCCTATTAACTGGGATTATCAACGATAAATCTGACGAGAATACCTTTGATCCCAATATACTAACTTGTGCCTAGTTAACTCCACTCAGTAAAACCTGAATGGTAGCAAATCGTAAAATCTTGATGCTTTGTATCGTTTCACGTTGGATATGGGTAACTAAATGTCTTTATAGCAGGCTAAATAATACGTAAGGTTCCAGCATTAAAAGAATCGCTGCCATTTTCGGATAAATATTTAGCCATCCCCCTACATAAATGCACACGTTCTCATCTTTCAGAAGAGCACAAATAAGTTTTACTGCTGCCTGTTTTCTGGGATCAGTAAGGCACAAAGATACACGAGCCTGTGGCTAACACATCACCAAGGTACTCCAAAAACAGTGATAACTCTCCACCGTTACCCTACAGCAAAATGATCTATTCCTGTCTATCATTGGTATGATGTCAGTAAGTAACACAGTGTCTCTGTATGCTTGAAGCTATTGCTAACCAGAAAAAAAAGATTGTCAAAAGAAAATCGTAAGAGGCGATCACCGTTTTAAGTTACTCGGTATGGGATTCCGAAGATGTCTCCAACACTCAGCTTTCCCACTTGTGCGTTGAAGTCGCCTACCACCGAATATATTTGAACACTCTGCTCCATATAAAATTGACAGCTTTTCAAAAAACTGCAGTCATTGGGCACGTAGGCAGAGATTACAAGTAGGCATCCATAAGTGTGATGGTCCTTCCTAGTTCTCACACATTCAGTTGAACAGCATACAGGCGGCTGTCGAAGGGTATCCAGCCAAGAAGAGTCATTTTCGATCTATAACTCAATGGCATACCTAGATTAACGAGTCTATAACAGTTAGGTAATGAGTCTGTGCTCGCATTCGTAGAGTGAATTTTGTAGATTAAAAACATCTGCCAGGTGAGATCAAGTGGATAAGTCACACGGGTCTCAGGAACACAGAATAGTCCTACGGCCAGGTATTTGGCATAGGTTTCACACGTTAAAAACCTTAATATTAGCATGAAAGGAATGATGTTTTGCAGGCTTGGATCGTAAGAAGTGATCGCAGGGTAGGAGGGTTAGGGACTTGTAAGAGGGCTGTTATTAGTATCAAGCATTGAAAACAGGGAAGGCGACAAAGGTAAGGAAGGTAGGTTATAGCTATTTGGGTTTCGTGCACTGCCGAAAGTATCTGTGGGTGGTATTTCCCGACTGCTCATATTGTCGAAGTTGTTTCTGCAAGATACCTGACCGAAAAGATGGATTAGTTTTACGTGAACGCAAAGCCTAAGGGATATTTGTGTAAGGTTGGTCGAAATTTGAAATTTAACTGTGATGCGGTTGAGTCAAGTTAGAAAAGCTAAATCAATGGGACTGTAAGACCACAGGACAGAGTGGGACACTTTTTTCAAGATTGACCTTTTAACCTCCCCCCTCCCATAGAAAAGGCATCATCAGCACATACTGCTCGTCATTCAAGGAAAACAACCTTACTTCTGTCGCAGCCCATCCAGCCAGTATTGCGACTTCCCCCTGGGACCACCATAGTAGCATAGCTATTTACCCTATAATAGTAACTGCTTCTGTCTTACCATTATTAAGAGACGTTTCTGGAATGGTAAGACCACAAGGAACAAATTTTTTCCCCAGCAAAACCACTACATCAATGTAGCAGCTATCAGGCGAGTTTATCAGCCAACATATCTACGAGCACTCCTAGATACATTTCTGGGGACTAAATCTAACAGTTGTTGATCAATCAACATCTTGAATTCCCAGTCATTTTACTTTCCAGGTACTGAGCCCTATTTTAGTCTACAAACAGATATTTGTAATTAAATAAGCACAGTATTTATTACATTGTTTTATAAACTGGTGAACCTCAACCTAAAGTAGTAGTTAAGAAATAGCTACGATTGGAAACGGTGAGTACATGAATTCCTTATATACATAGCTAAACCTTCTTAAGGAACAAAATTAAAACTGTTTTCATATACTGCATTAATAAAAGTCCCCCAAACCACGGTTATCTCAAAAAGTCAAATAGATATTACTTTTTATCTTCAATGCATGTTTCAAAACAGTTTCAGAGGTATTCTAGACGTTGGTTTAGAAGAGAGTCTTTGAATATAGAGAACTCTCAAAACTTTAAAACACTATAACACAAACAGTGAGCAGGGTTCAAATATTGACACATTTCGCAGGAATGATGTATGTGAGGACTTCAGTCATCACAAAACCACTAGGAAGATTAAAATAGCCTATGGATTTATCATGAACAAAGGCCATTTATTCAACCTAATTTATTCAAGCTGCTTTCTAAAAGGTAGACTATCACTACTGGCACTTTTTGTTTAATTTATCTGTAGTTTCATCTACAGGTAAAATTGATAGTGATTATTCATACTTTCAAAAACGAGAGTGAACTTGCTCCACTGATCAAGCGCGATTTATATGCATAGCAGAAACAATTAACAAGATATGACCACTATAAGCCAACATAGCAGGTACATTTTACATGTTGCTAACACTAAAAAAGAGAATATTTCAACAGGAATACACGATCGTGCACTGGGTCGTTACAATTTATGCCATTCGACTGTACAAGCCTAGGTATGTGGAGTGGTGACTGACTGATAAAATCATCATAGAACCTCGCATACAAAGAACAGACAGACAGAAAAGGAGTGATATCAAAGTAGACAAAATTGGATGAGAGAACAAGCAGTTTGAAGATAAAGGTTAGTGCGAACATTCAAGCCTTAGACGTCAAGGAGTGAATACATCTGCGCCATTGTGACTGATGGATGTTCAGTCACGTCATTAAGAGTCTTCAACCACCGGTTCATTTCATCTCAAGGACCCCAACCAAGTAGTGTATATCTTCCCACACGGCTCAGAACAACAGTAAGAGGCTTCATCGACTGTTGCCAATTCTAAATCTGGCCACCCTGAACATCCTTCCGACCTAATCCAACTTCCCTAAGTACGGCACGTCGAGTTAGCGGTGACTCGGTATGCACAGTACATATTCAAGCCATTTCAGCCGATGAAGGTTCACAACATCAATCAAATTGTATGTCTTCCTTAGTACCCTACGCCTGACTTCAACATTACTCACACAGTGGTTCCAGTAAATGCGAGCATCGGTACGCAGACAACTGTGATGAAAACCCAATTGTTGCTTCATGACTTCTACCTTTAACGGCCATTTCTCACAGTCGTACAACAGGACAGAACAGAATGTAGCGCAGTGTACTCGTCCTTCTATAGATAGCCGGATATCTCGCCGGCGTCACAGGTGACGCAAATTGGCAAATGCCAAACGGGCTTTCTGTATTCCGGATGAGATCTCGTCAGCAACCAACCTCCAAGAAAGTGAAGTGGTCGACACATTCCACCACTTCGCGTCCTATCATTAAACTGAGAGTACTTGCAGCAGACCAGTTTTGCAGCATCATCTTACACTTAGAGGTGTCAGCCAAACGCATGCCAAATATACTCAGATTTCTGCTTAATGCGTTCACAACGCCCTGCATTTTGTCAGCGTCTTCACCTAGTACGATAATATTGTCTGGAAACTCCAAGTCGACCAAATGGTCTCCAGGGAGTAGATCAATCCCTGTGAAGTCAGACGTCCCTAAGGTTATGTCCATTAGTGCTTCTAAGACGTAGTTAAGCAGAAACAGTGACAATGGAAATCCCTGGTGGGCATTAGTTGTCGTATAATATAATGACAACTCTCCATACGCCGTGACGTGGCTGCGTGAGTTCTGGTAAAGAGCTTTGATTAGCTTTATATATTTGCTCGGTACTCTCTTCAGAGTCAGACATTACCACAAAACCTTAAGATTAACTGAGTCAACAGCCACCTTCAGGTCATGGAATGTGGCGAGTGTCGGCCGTTGGCCGGTAAGTATTCCTGTGTTCCAGGACCTGAATGATGCATCCACGTTAAGGTCTGAAACCAGTCTGGTTTTATCGAGTTTGCTGCTCTTGAGCTCCAGTTAGGCGTCGGACAACTATGGATCCACGGATTTTGGATACAATATTCGTAAAACTGATTCTCCCATGGTTGTCACAGTGAAACGTCTCCTTTCTTATAGACTAGGATGATCAGAGAAGTATAACAGTCCGATGTCACTACCTCCGATTTCCATACAATTCCTAGTACCTCCGCCACTCCATTCGGCAATTTCCTACTTTCATCCTTGAAAATGCCGGTGGCAAACTGTCAGGTTAAGCTGGTTTGCATCGTTTTAGGTTCGATCCAACCATCTCAACTTGAGAAAGACTTGACGGATATCTACGTTCCATTCAGGTCCCGGTTGGACGTTGGGCAACTGAAGTGTTGCTGGGAACTAGTTGAACTGTGCTTCAGTGTTCTGCTGAACGTCCTAGCCACCTGTTCTGGGAAGTAATCAGAGTCTCATTCTTTTCGGTGATGGTTTCACTAACCATCATCTTTTTCCTGGTATCCTTCAAAACTCTAACCCCCATGAACATGTTTTCAATCTATTTCTTTCTTTTTGTCAGATAACTTTCTATGACGCATGATATTCTGATTTTAATCCCAGTTTTCTTGTTATTGACTTTCATTTTAGGATAATGTCAAGTATAGTAAACTCAATAGGAGAACGATAATGTCAGATGCCACGTTATCAGCTAAATATACCAGTTTGAAAGTTGAAGATGGCGATAATGAAATAGTCTGGTAAAAAGTTATTTAAAAATACAAACTGAGGTGGGAAAAATAAGCCAAGCGAAAGGTAACTCATCTGTCAACCAAAACTGATTCGTTAGGCTTTCTAACTGATTCATCGGACTTATCCAAATCGTTAGATTCATTTGAGGGAGTCTGCTACTTGTTTACTTGAGTTTCAATCAAGATTTGAGAGTAGTATCCATCAAGAAGTAAGGTAGTCGGTTAGAAACGCAAATGCACAAATGTCTATTACCTAGTTGTACGCTCAGACTTTTGTTTCAATACAAGTAAGAAAAAACATAAAAATGAAAACCTTTGTACTGCAACTAAAAATATACCTAGTTACTTCAAAAAGAGAAATTAGATCAAACTAAGGGGTATTAGAGTTGTTATTCAGTTGCACTACTAAGTTGCAGAATCTCAAAATTAGATAAACGTATACAGATATGAACACTGTTTTCATGAAAGCTTCAGGATATTGTGGGGAATTTGAATAACATACAAAACAGAACATATCGTAAACATATTTTCGTCTGGGAAAGAGGTATGAAAAAATGCCAACTTACAGGAACACAAGCAAACATTGGGCTTTGTGGAAAAAAAGAAAGCACACCAAAGCGAGGAATTCCATTCGCATCTAAGGCCTGAGAATTAGTATGTTGCGTAAACCTTCGAGTAAGACGGTCAATAGCCTTTGGCGCTTTCGGTGACAAAGCAGAAGGTATAATCACATCCGGGGTGATAACGTCCACAGACTTTACAGAAGGTCCCAAATCATCCATGAGGCTTTTAGAGCAAAAGGAGACGAAGCTACGTTGAATATTGCGCAGGTGCTCCACATCAATGTGATATGCTTCTTGGGCAGTGCTTTCATAATGATTAGATGATAACATAGCTTGATTTGGCGCAGACTCAGAGAGTTGGGGATTCACATTTTCTCGAGCGGCTGTATCAGTTTCATCAAGACCAGAATGTAGATTGTCTAAAACAACTGCGTATGTGGGTGTAATAAGGTTCAATCCATCGGGGCATTGAAAAACGGAGGCAGGCTCTACAAACTCACCAATGTTACACAAGTTTTTAAACGCGGACCACATAAGGGGATTCACTTCAAGACATTTTTTATAGTAAATGACAGCATCACTAACTCTACCCTGGCGTTTACAAATATCTCCGAGGAGTAGCAACACGTAGCAGGACTGTTCCTCATAAAAACTAATTATTTCCTCCAATGATGTTGAAGAAAGGCCAGACAATAGAATGGCGTCTTCTGCTTCTGTGAGTGAACCGATATCAAAGTAACACCTAGCAAGCAAGTAGCTAATCAGGAGCTAGGAAAGTGCTTCAAAAACTAACCGGCTTTTTGGGGCTAAAGACTTGTCAGCGTTGAGCAGTTTTTTGACTTGTCTTGGACGACCGATTCTGTACAAACTGGTTGCCAGCATATATAAACTTTCGCTGTTATGCGTTTCAGCATACAGCCTCTCAGCTGCAAAAAGCGCATCACTGTAGGCGTAATTATGCAGGCAGGACCAAATATGAAGTACAATAGGGTCAGAAGCCAAGCTCAGTTCTCTGACCATTCTTAAGGAAGTAGCGTAAGCAATCCTAAAGCAGCGCGCTTTCTAAAAAAAACTAAGCTGTTTCTGAGTATAACCACTAATTTATGAATAATTTAAACAATGCTTATTAAAAATTAAATTTAGCTTGTTTTGTTTGAGTCAGTCAGGTCTCCTTCAGGGTCACAATGTCTCAAGCTTATGTCGCTCTGCCTTACAGGCAGAAACGAGAAAAAGATGTTATACAACATTGTCACTCATATGTGACGATGAGTGTTTGTCTGATGCTCAGATCAAGGCCTATCAAACACGACTGCAGTAAGTCATACCGTCAGTATTGCATACTTTTTAGTTGTTCACGAAACGTCGTATGCTGGTGCATTTAAGTTTTGTTTCTGATTTACATAGTTGCTCGTCCCAGTGCCTTAAGGGCTGTCTGTTGATACAGTATTCTTCCTAGATATTACAGTCATAGTTTTAGTTATATTCTCTTAAGTTCCGACCCTACACTGAATGGCATGCTAAGACCAAAGTAAGTAAAAGGCCGTTCATAGTTTCAGATTTAAGGAAAGAAGGTCAGCTGACGCATATTGAATCTTTGCAATGGCAAACACTATAAAAACACGCGGTTGTCGAAACCTCAGTTCAGACACTGTAAGTTCGTTTGGTATTTGCCAATTTGCGTCATCTCTGGCGCTGTTGAGATATCCATCAAATGACTAGTATACTGCACAGCAGTCCGCTTTGTCTTTTTATACAGCTGTGAGACATGGTGGTTGGAAATAGCGTGTATCATGAGAATACAGGTTTTCAAACGTAGGTATCTTCGTAGCTTTGCTCACGTATGGTGAAATCACCATGGGAGCACTGTCGAGGTTATGCAAGTTGTGAAGTTCCATCGATTGAGATGGCTTGGACATGTGTTCCACTTGCCTATTCCCCGCTTACCTTGACTTGCAATATTAGCTGTAGTAGGACTGTACTGGAAGAAGGCTCAAGGTAGCCAGCCGAAGACATGATACCATTAGATATCTAAGTCATGTAGGGCGGTGTAGACTGCTGTTTAAAGCCGTCGAGATAATAGGAACCTGTAGTCAGAGACTCGGTATTCTGTCTGAAAATCAGACACAATGGCGCCAGCTTTTTCACTCATTGACATCTTCAATAAACTTCATTTTTCATATTCTCTTTCCTTCTACCCATCTTTGTCTACTTGCTATCAGTCTTTTTGTCATATTCTAATCATGTCGATATAAAGTGTGGCAACTCACTTTTGTGGAAGGTTCTGCGTTGGTTTTGTTCATATACTCAACTGCTCTCGAACCTGTCTGCAAATCGTAGTTCTTAATCAACATTACGGGCCTCAACTCTGTTTATTTCTATACAGTAAGTGATGTTAACAGCTTAAAATATATTTTTTGTAGCATCAAACAAACTCGTTTTTGTCCGTAATTTTTCGCCTTTTAGTTTCAAATTTCGTAATATAAACTAATGTATTCTCATAGCTCGAACTTACAAGGATGACAACTTTTCATAAATGGAAGATGCTTCCTATGGAATAAACTGTAATTTTACTTAAAATTCAATCGTAGAATTACCACACAAAAGTTTACCTGCCTTTCCTCATTCATTCCAAATTAAATATATTGTAATGAACCGAAAGACTTACGGAAGTTCTAATTCTCGCTCTGTTTCTGATGCCTTAGGGGGTTTGAGGAATGTATAGTTACTCAACTTATCGATGGGTTACGAGTTCGAACCCGACTCTACCCGCCGATATTAGGCAGCCAGGTAATAACATTAACTTTCAAACTATAGGTGTGACCCATTGCCTGCCTATTGCATGAATATTAACTCAGTTACTCAGTGGACCAAACAGACAAAATCAAGGTAGAACCTCGCACAGAAGTGCATCAGTTCAAGTTGCCACACTTTACAGTAGTATACAAAGAACAGGCGGATAGAAAAGGAGTGATATCAAAGTAGACAAAGTTGAGTGAGAGAATAAATAATCAGCAAACATACAAGGTTTAGATGTCAAGGCGTGAATACATCTGCGCCATTGTGACCAATCAATGTTCAGCTATGTCACCAAGATTCCTCAACCACTGATTGCTTTCGTCTCAGGCACTTCAGTCAGGTAGTCTACATCTTGAAAAAGTACTCTGAACAATGGTGCAAAGGACGTATCGTACTTACAGACACTATGTAGATAGCTTCAAATAGATTGAAATACTTGTCTGTTTTACAATACTAACGCCAATAGTAATTTGTACTACTCTTTACCTATTGTCCTACAGATGTCATTATTCTCAACCTCTTCTAGTATGTAAGGCTGTCTAATTACAGTGTTCATTACAGATGGCTAACTAATACAATGTTTATACTAAACAGCAACCTGCTCAAGAAGTCTTGACATATTTGTTAGTCTGAATCTTTTGAATATCTTACACCTCTACAAGAAGAGCTAATTAAATTATATTGTAAAGGTTTCATAATCATCTATCAAGTCAGTAGATGTCTTGATTTAAAAGTTGAATAAAAGCGATTCAGTGATTGTGAAATATACTTACATGTGAAACCATGCCCTAGTTTAACATACGCGTTAAGGTCAGACGAAGGGTATTGGGCAAGTTGTACACCTTAGTCGACTGAGTTGGCTTGGACATGTACTGCGCATGACGAGCTACCGTCTACCTCAGTGTAGCATGGTAGAGAAAGTTAGATTAAGTTAAAAGATGGTCCAGGGTAGCCAGACCAATATGTGGCAGCAGTCGTGGAAGTCTGTGACTGCTCATCTGAGCTGTGCAGCGAGATATAGACTGGCTGACTGGAGTCCCGGAACTAGAAGAGTCAGTAGTTGAGGAGTCAGTGATAATGATGCACATGTATCCATTCTTTGATGTCCTCTAAAGCTTGAATGTTTTGACTTATCTTTAATTTTAGATTCTTCCTCCCATTCACCTTTGATATCAGTCTTTTCCTATCCAGTTGTTTTTTGTATACTACTGGGAAGTGTGGCAACTCGAAGCAATGCACTTCTGTAGAAGGTTGTACGTTAAGTTTGTCTGACTGTGCATTACAATGTGCAACTGTGACTCATCTGTTTATGCATTCAATTTCCAACCGATAGATCATTGGTCTGAACTCATCTTTATCTAAGCAGGTGTTAGCAGTTAAGTAGTAGTAGTAGTACCATTAATCCTCCGATTACCTACTGCACAGAAGCTCAGCTGGTTGCTGCGAGTACATTTTGATTTATCTTTTTGTATTACATTGTTTCTGTATGGTATTCTTATTTCCAGAGAATATCGTACATTTTTGGATGCAGTCAGTCGACTAGCACTATGTGGCAATGTTTGTGTAACAGAAGAAGCTGTCACAATAGGAGAGCATGGTCTACTCACTGGTGAGTCGTTGAATGCACTTCAACATGCCGGTGCAATATCTGTATATAACACATTACAACAAAATAATTGGGAATTCCCTGTATCTGAGGGTAAATATAACAAAGTTTTTTACTAGTTATCTTTCAGAAGGTGAAGTAGCTATTGTCAAGGCACATGTCTCAATTCCAGATGAATTTTTAGATTCTGAAAAACCTATTCGTTCTGATTGGCCAGCAGTTCATATTTCAGAATGTTTTGTTGAAGGTGAACGCGCTAAATTACATGGTTCCGTACGACCATTACGCACTTTTTTACCACCCACTATTGTCTTCCGTAATGCTGCAGATGTGGATGAAGAACTTGAACCTGAACTCGAGGTGAATGTGATTAATTCCGGACCAGAGGGAAGTATTGAAATAGTTCAGTCATCAAAAGGATTATCAGTCAAGAAGTTAGGCAAAGATGGTAAAACAGGTAGGTAAAATTTGGTTCTGTATTCCTTTTATCTTAATTCAAATTAATATATTTCTTCAATTTTGAAGTTTTGAGGATTAATTTACTGATTTCAACTTGGTACTCATCATGGACTAACATGAGTTTGAAAAACATTGGAAACCTGAGAGCACTGGACAACTTTTTCGTCCTAGTATGGGGTTCCTCAGCAGTGAGCACCCACGACCTATCCATGCCAGGGATTGAATCCAGAACCTTTAGGTTCCGCCACCAGCATGTTACCCTCTCGTCACTAGGTCGGAATCCAGCGGTCCATATTTCCTACTTTTATCAGTTCACGGTATAGCGCGACCTCCATCCAATACCGTCTTTAAGTAAACTGTCCTCATATTCAACTTGGTTGGCTCCACCGGTCATGACTTCTCACTGGAACTTGGGGGACCACCTGTCACAGCTAGTCACTAATGAGCACTAGATATATTCAATTTTTAGGTGTATGAGAATTTATTGGTTTCAGGTTGGAATTCATCATGGACTGAAAGTCCTGGGTTCCATGCCTGGTGGGTTCATGGGTGCACACTTCTGAGGAGTCCCGTATAACAGGTTTCCAGTGTTTCTCCAGCTGATGTGTCAATCTATAATGAATACTAGTCTGAAATTAACTTGTTTTTATTCCTGATATAAAATCTTTTTCTAATAATTTTCGCATCATGGATGGGGAAAATGATAGCCAAGTTAAAATGTAACCCAAACTCCCAGCATAATTTGTTCTAGGAGTCTGGCGCTACAATCATAATTCCTAATTGGTCAGACAAGTCATGTAGAGTCGATCGGCAGAAACTGTCTAGGCCTAGTTCTCAAACTTGTTGGCATGTGTGCAACTGTCAGGAAATTGGTATTCTCTTGATAGCTCTGATCTATTTTACTCCCCCTGATCACCAGGCGACAGCTGACCTTATGCAGGATCGAATTATGTACACCAAATGATTACCATTGGTTTGTAACCTGTATACCTGTTTAGTTCTTGGTAATTTAGCAGTTATAAGTAAATATCGATCAGTGGAAAGCACTAAGGACTAGAAAGTTACACTGGCTCCGGTAACCCACTGGTGACCATTGTTTATGGTGATAAATCTATCAAGCAATCAATTGTTGCAACTCATAACTCATTTTCCTCTCGATTTCTGTTCTCTGTAACTAACGCGACAGATTGAGCTTGTATGAACAGCGTTAGATCTGGCATTACTGCTTAATTATGCAAGTTTCCATACCTTCATTCAGCAGAGCAAGTTAAAAAAAACCCAAGGATAAGAAACAGAACTTAGGAAAAAAGTAATCAAAAGATATACAAAGGGTAAAAAACAGATAATAGAATAATAGAGAATTTCGGTATGGTTATTAAGATGAACGTAGTGTCTTGATGCATTTGCGTCAGCAAGGCGAAGGATATTATGCAAGAAAGGCAAGTCGATTGATGAGGTTGTAAACCTTAGTTGACTGAGATGGCTTGCACGTGTACTGCCCATGCCAACTCATCACCACCTACCTTTATGTGCCATACTAGGGGAAATTGGATTAGGTTGGAAGAGGGTTCAGCGTGGCTAGATCAAGACGTGGCACCAGTCGATGAAATCCCTGACTATTAGTCTGAGTGGTGTGGGGAAGATGTAGACTGCCTGGTTGGTGTCCATGAGACGAAAGGAATTAGTGATTGAGGAGTCATGGCTAAAAATCAGTCACAATGGCGGAGGTGTATTCACTCCTTGCATCTAAGGCTTGACTATTTGCACTAACCTTTATCTTCAGATTATTTATTCTCTCACCCAACTTCGTCTACTTGTCCCTTGTGTCTACTACTGTGAAGCGTAGCAACTGGAGCCAGCATCTGTTGGTTTTGGGTGAGGTTCTGCGCTGATTTTGTCACTCAGTCACTAGGATCGTTTCTGAACCATATCGCCTAAGGTCTCCAACCACCGATTTTAGTTGTTACACGAGCATCAATCAGCAAGTGTACATTTTGCTAGATGGCTTAGTCCAATAGGCAGGGACTCATGAACTGATGTCGTGTTTTAGTCTTGTCTCCGATTAACCTTTTCTAGCCTGAATTTACCTTAGCTAACAATCCATATCGGTAGAAATGGTGACCAGGTATGAGTAATGCATGCTTCAGTCATCTGATGTCAGTAAAGACTTACACTTCTTTTACTTTTGACTCTATGCGCTCAACCTCTACATCACTGACGTGGTGATGGTTCCATATGTCGACCAAGGAGTCGCTTGCAACATGCTAATTTACTAGTAATTCAAACGAGAAGAAAAAGACTCATAAGCATATCTAGACGCGAACCACTTGATGTAAGCAACTTAATTAATAGTTCACCGTAACTTCTAACGGTATGGTGTACTCCCCGGGAACTCTTTTCAGTTAGAAACACAACTATGACACCTGTCTGTCAATGTAGTTAAGCCGCACTTCGTTTAGATTTGTCTAGCAAATGTCTCGACCGACCTATCGACAACTATTACCTTGATTGGGTTAAAGTTTTTCAGTTGACTTCACTAAAATATGCATGATTTTGCACTTCCCACTTATATTATTTCACAAAGACAAGATGAGTTATTGTGATGATCGTTCCACTGAAATATTTTGCTGCTTTGTAACCTCATCACTTTTATATGTAGGCAATAAGATTGGTTACAATGCACGGTAAGTTATGAATACACAACAAAATCATCTGGCCCACATTTAAGTGTCTGTGTGTGTTACTCTTGAACGTGTTAAAGCCTGGAGGAAGTGTAACTAACCATTATACGTTAAGTTTAAAAATCCCCATTAAGTCATAAAACAAAAGATGTTTAGGGAAGAGTTACTCCATTTCAATGATATCATTCTCCAGGTGTACAATCGCATATGTATATGAAGTTCAGATTTTATTATAAATCTGAAGATGGGGAAACAGAATTACTTAATGTTTGAAATAGTAATGAGTAGAAAACTTATCAAGAGGGAACTAATATTTAGTTACTAAGTTAAATGATGTAACACGGTGAATGTAAAGAGAAATCAGAATTATTTACAGGGTAGAGGAATGTAATATGTGTGAGAAGATCTGAATGAAAAGATTTTTGAGAGTAAAAATGTTCTCATAGATTATGCCCATTGCAACTCAAGTGACTGGACAAATTTGTTTTGAATTCAAGCTTCAAAATAATAATTACCATAACTTCCGCAGTTTAAAAAAGTTTGTAGGCGTACATCTTTCATGAAGTATTCACGAACTCTATAAATGACACTGAAGTGGTCATAAAATAGAGCTGTGAAGTATCCTCCTTTCTCCTTTTTGGAACCAGGCTGGTATATGTTTGGAAAGCGAACGCTGGTTACGGTCAATAAACCTTACTTCATAGGAGCAGGTGAATTGATAAACCCATATCGAAGTAGCTTCTCCTTTATGCATAATCGAAGCATTGGGTGAGTGGAAAAAGTTTGGCAGCATAAAAAGTCTTTCTCAATGAACATTCCAGACAATTTCTTCAGTACATCTACTGATGTGTCTCTGTTGAACTGTAACTTGATGAAAAGAGGCTTCTTAGGAGGCATAGAAGTGGAACGGTTATTTGCTTTCAGTTTCATAGTTTTAGCAATAAGATGCTTAGGATACCGGTTTCCGATCAAAACACTTTTGATAAAATTAAGTTCTTCTTCTAAAGTGTCAGAACTCTGGATAGTGTGAATACTGTGGTACATAAAATGAAGTAAATTTCGTTTGGTGCTTACAGGCATCAATCTATGAAAATTCGTAAGTTATCGATTCCATATAGGTTCTCTGTAGGATAGATCATCCGAGTAATCCATTGTCTAGCCTTTTTCAACTGTACATCTAAAAAGGATATGTTGGTCACGAGAGCAACCAATTTCATGTTGACTAGTCCGAGTTCAGACCAAATTCTAACAATCATTTTTTGTAATATGGCCACGAAGTCCAAAGTTTCCTGCCGATCGCCTCCAAACTGACTAACATCCATCAATTAACGAATATGTCAAACAGATTTATGAATATAGTTTCAAAACGGTGTTGTTATACTATCAGACAACTTGATAGTAATCCACCTGAATGATTGATAGTTGTGTTTTTCGAGTCGTCATGGTTGATTGGATTGAGTCAGTAGTTCTCATATATTTGGTCAGAGAGTTGAAGCTTCATCCCACCCCACCCCGCTTGCACGTGGCAAATATCATGTATTTCGGTAGTAGCGCTGATAACTCGATGCAGAATAGTTAACTTCTTAGGCTGACTACTTCTACATCGGAGTTATGTTACGCGGTGTTTTTTTTTAAACATGTTTTCATAATTGTGATTTTTCTCAGTGTTCTATTTCTTTCTACTTTTATTATTTCATATCATCTTAAATTCTTTTTTTAACTCTAAAACAAAACAAATGTATTATGCAGTAGTATACATTCCCATTGAGGAGTACTATTTTGGACGTCAGGAGGGTAATAGTGATTATGTCGAAGAAAAAGGTGATTTTCGCTTCAAGTGTGCAGTGTGTCAGCGAATTTTCTATTCAAATACAAAATTGATGTCGCATATTCTTGGGCATGTTGATGAAACATCTCAAACTTGCTTAGAGGCAGTGGATATAACACAATGCTCTGTTTGTAATCAAGTATTTTCTTGTGCATTTGACCTGAGAGATCATATTGAAAAGGTGAGTTGAAACTTGTTTGCTTGTTTATTCACGTTACATTCTTGTGTGTGTTTGTGTCACTGCAACGTTGGATGACACGCGTTCGAATCTCAGGCAGGAAATAATTTTCGTCTAGGTTGCAAATACGCTTTACTGATGACTCCCAATACACACAAGTTAAGGGAGGCTTCCTAGCAATTGCCTTCAATCAACTAACATCTACTAATGTGCACCGTTAGGCTGAACCTAATCACTTGGTAGTCACATAGCGAAATGACCAGTAGAATTCTGTCAACACGAAGTTAATTACTCTCTCGTGACCAATCACTGTATGTAACCCCATCCTACAGGAGGTTAGTCGCAACCTGAATAAATCTATAGTCCAACGTTACTTATTCATACATGGTGAAGATTGTCATCCAATGACTGATTACATTTTTAAGCACCAGTTTTTGTGGTTTCAACTGGTATTGTTTGCTAACCTTTACCAGCCAAAGGTGATCAGCTATCGGTTGTCAGATGTCACATAGTTGTGTTTTTGCGCAATGACTTGTGTACCCCGTGGTCGATGTTCAATTGACAACAGTGACTCAATAATTCATAAGGTTATCGAATATATAGCTGGAAATATTAATTATAGATAAAGGTAATCGATAGTAACCTCCAGTCAACCATAGGTTTTGCGTCTCTTCAAACTACTGTCACAATACTGGACAGTATAAAGTTGGCTAATCAATTTGGTTGAATATAGGAAGCATTAACCATCACCATACTGTCAATCACTTGTATCTTCCTTCCATTTCACATAGTAACAAAAACTTTTTAAATTTATTTTATGCGATCTGATGGTTTCATCATTCTATTCCTCTTCTGTTTAGAAGAAACATTACTGAGTGTACTCAAGCACTGAATGAATACTTATGAACTATTCTCCTCATGAAAATTCCATTAGATGTCACTTAAGAATAAAGACCACATAGGTAACTGTATATTATGACAAACATATGTGACAAGTTAAATCCCACGAGAAACAAAACATTATTCTTGTATTACGCAACAATGAATTTTTCAGGTGCATAACCCCGTAGATGAACATATATTGAATCACTTGTTTCCGCTATTTCCTTGAGTGAAAATAATAACAAGGTGGTTTCATAAACAACGTACGCAGATTTCACATCACAGAGTTAAGTGATTCTCATCATCCCCTAAGTAGCGTGTTTCATATTTCCATTTTTATTATTGAGCTTGTTGTGATACCTCCTCTGTCTATATAGTAATATTGTTCAATGCAATCAGAAGTACATCCATCCATCCAAATCAACGTAGGATCAGGCATTACTGCGTAATGCTCCGAGTTGCCACACCTCACGTCATATCACTACATCAAGTAAACAAGACACTGAACTGAAAGATGAAGAAGAAAATTCAGTCAAAAGAAATATAGAGTACTAAAAGAGATAAAGGAAGAATGAGAAAATGGTGAGATTCGGTATAGCGTTAAGATAGATGAGGATAATGTGTGTGTGTGTGTGTGTGTGTGTGTGTGTGTGTGTGTGTGTGTGTGTGTGTTTACATCTGCGCCACTGACTTCGGTTCCCAACCTACAGTCTGCAACCACTGATTTCTCTTGTCCCATGGATCCCACCCGACTAGCCTGTATCGCCCTACATGGCTCAAACCAACAGTCAAACACTTCATACATAGGTGCCATGTTTTACTCTGGCCACCTCGGGCCGTTTTCCAGTCTGAACTTACTTCAGTCAATATTGTGTGACGAGGTAATCGGTGACTAGGCGGCCATCTCAGTCGATGAAAGTTCACAACCTCATCAACTCATTCACCTCTTCTCCCTCTCTAAAACTGTGCACCTCACTTCTGCATTACTCACATGGTGACATCACGGAAAACGGTCTATACTACGAAGGCAACGATGGTCAAACATCTGAAGCCTTTTCATGTCTTCTACCTTCAATGACCATGTTTCACAGCCATAGAGTAGAAGAGAATGGGTTGCTGTGCAGTACACGCGACCCTTAATAGACAATCGGATATCACGGCGGCGCCATAGGTAGCGTAAGTTGGCAAAAACCAACCGAGACTTTTGTATTCGTGCAGAGATTTCATTGGCCAGTGATCATTGCACCAGGGCTGATCCCACTTCCCAGGTAAGTGAAGTGGTCAACACACTCAACCACTTCACTCTCTATTGTTAGCCGTGGCACCGTTGAAGACCAATCGAGGAGCAAGAATTTGCATTTGGGTGGTGAGAAACGCATCTCAAACATTCTCCAATTGCCACTGAAAGTGTTGAGAACACTGCATGTTTATCCGCGTCTTCACCTAACAGGACTATGTCATCAAAAGTTAGTCACTGAATAACTGACTACATGCCACTGATTCGCATGCTCCACTGCGTAGACGCCAATTTTATCGATATCAGCCATTCGTGGAAAAGCGAATTATTAAAGTGAATCGTCTATTTCTGATTAAACCGATGCACAACGCAATGTCCGTCCTAGTGCTCAGTGACTAACTTTTTCACTCCAGTGAATCTTCGTTAAGTAAATTCTCAGATAAATAAGACCTTCAACACAGATGACCCGAATTCGCATAAATTATGATGAACATTAACAAAGAGGGTCATGTTTATGCTCACCACATTTTTAGTCGTCTAGACGTTTAAAAAGTGGTGTTGAACACCTTCATTCAGGTTAATGTGTTATTACCAACCCAGAGACATATATGCTCTATTGATTTACTCATGCTAGAATCCTAGCACCGAAAGTGATCAGTTTTCTAATCATGACTTCAAGAAGCTCCTTAGAGGCTGAAAGAGTCAGGAGAAACACTATTTAACGCAAGCACAATTACAAATTTAGATGATACCAATATTTCCCTGATGCTTTGCAAAGTTATGGAATTTCAAGCAAGAAGAGTTGGGTATAATATCCCTTCTCATGATTTTGAGCATTGAGATGAAAGCTGTTTGTTTTTTTTTGAAGAAAGTAGTAATAATAATAATAATAATAATAATAAAGTAAGATAAACACACCTGTACACAAATCTTCAATTGGAATACCCTTGTCATTCGATTTCACTATACTAGAAAATGCCGAAAAGTGATGCATTCATTGAAGAGTTCCTGTATGTACTATAACACAGTTAACTAGCAAGTGTTTTTGATGCCTTCTGTATCGTCTTAGAAAGTTGGGAACCACAGGTTTTGTTGATATACTCAAACAAGTATTTACACTCAGATCTAGTCTTATTATATCAATAATTATAGGACTCAAGCCGAATGGCGTTCGAAGCGAGGCTTACGGGGAGGGGTGTGTGGTAGACAATGTCACTCACCAGCGCTGATGAGTCTCAAGTAAAACAAAACTTGCGTCGTGAATTCCACTACTACCCACTATCCATCATCGAACTCTTGTTGATTATGGACTCATCTTTAAGGATCCGAAGGAAAGGGTGTTGCAGTTTGTAGCAAAGTCGTGTCTATTCTTAACCAAAATTAAAAAAAGGACTGAGAATATCGTTGTAAAATTATTCATTTTAGTGATCTCATCTTGAATGAGCTTACAAGTTTTAATTGAATCCCATCTATCAATTCCGAAATAATGGAGAATATTTGTAGCTCAGGTGGATGGTCTTGGTTGTATTATGTTCTCTGAGGAGCTGGGTTGTTTAATCGTGAAACTTTCATCGTCTTACGAGACAGCGACATCATCAGCACTGACTTCAGTATGAAGTGAGCTGTCAATATCTCTCCGTGGGTGATTTAGTAGCTTGTTCTGACGATGTGGTCTCTGATTGGTTGTTTCCTTCGATTGTTATGTCATTGATTGTATAGACTTTCCTGTTGGCTGTTCCTCTGCTTCACCTCTGACCTTCCTGTTGTTCTTCATTTTTCCTACTGATTGATAGATCGGGTCTATGTCTATACATCTATTGATTGTTGACTGACCTGAGTGCCAAGCTTCTAGGAGTTCTCTGACATTGTTTGTGTTTCCTCTGTCCAAAATTTCTACATTGTCGAAATCCAATTCATGTCCATAAGTATCCACGTGCATTGAAATGAGCAACGATTAAATGTCGTGGCGTTTAATAGCCAATTGGTGCTGATGTAGACGAAGGCGAAGAGGGCGGCCGCTTTATCCAATGTAGTGCTGACTACAGTTATTGCAGTTGATTTTGTAAATGATGCTCGGTTTGTCTTCTTTGGTTGTTGCTCCCCCTTTGGTCTGCATAATAGTGTTTGGAGGGAATTTGTCAGTTTATGAGCCACAGCAATTCCAAGTGGTCTCAGTAATCTGGTCGTGATTTCTGACACATTCTTCATGTATGGTAGGACGATGCGTCTGTTGATTTCTGTCGATGGCTTTGTAGTTGGTGATGCACGGGATAGGCGTCTTCTGATAAAGTTTCGTGGGTAGCCGTTCTTCTTTAGGGTGGACATCAAGTAATTTTCTTCTTTTCTCCTTGAAGTTGTTGTGCTGCAGTGTGTTCTCGCTCTTTTGAATAGAGTCTGCATGCAACTGATTTTGTGTGTTGTTGGGTTGTTGCTATTGTAGTTGGGATTCGGTCAGTGTGTGTTGGCTTCCTGCACACTTGGGTTTCCAGCTTTGCTGCATTTGTCCTACTGACTAAAACATCCAGGAATGGTAGTTGGTTGTTTGACTCTTTCTCCATTGTGAATTTGATGTCATTGAAAACGTTGTTGATCAAATTGTAAGTGTTTTCTATATCATCCTTTTTAATGATGACAAAAGTGTCGTCTACATAGCGAATTCAAATTTTTGGTTTGATCACAGGTAGAATAATGGCTTCCAGTCTCTGCATCACTGCTTCCGCGATTAATCCGGATATCAGTGATCCCATTGGAGTTCCTTTCATCTGTTTGTATATTATGCCGTTGAATTGGAAGTAAGTTGTCATACAAACGTCGATGAGTTCCATCAGACTTGAACATTTGAGTTTTGTGCGTTCTGTAAGGTTTTTATCTTCGTTGATCAAGAGGGATATTGTTCCCTTGGCCAATTGAGGTTCGATGGATGTGTATAGTGCTGTAGCATCGAAGGATATCATCGATATCGAAGGATATCAAGGATATCATTAACTCATCGTTTTCTATGTTAATGTTCTTGATCTTTTCTAAGAATTCTGTTGGTGACTTGATGGAATGTCCGCATGATTGGATAAGGTGTTTCAGTTTTCTCAAAAGTTCTCTTGATATGTTGTATGTTGGAGTTCCTGGAAGTGAGACTGTTGGTCTGCCGTAGAATCAAGGAAGGATAGGTCCATTCGATCTTATACGCCATTTGTCTTGCTTTGTTATTTCTTCTGCTTTGAAGAGTTTGTTCAAGGTTTTATTGATCTGGTTGTCGAACTTTTGGATAGGGTTTGTTTCAAGTGGTAGATACACATTTTCGTCTTTCAGTAATTTCTCTACCTTCTTGATATAGTCTTCTTTGTCTATGACTACTGTAGTGCGTCCTTTGTCTGCTGGAAGTATAACGATATCTTTCCTATTTTTCAGTCTTTTTATTATTTTCTGTTCTTGAGTATTCATTTGAGCATAATGTCTTCTCTGCCTGGTTAGTGGTACGATTGTTTGCCATATTTCTTGTTGAGTGGCGGCTTCATTCAATCCTGATGTTTTTGAGTGAGGATTCTAACTCAGCGAAGAATTCTGGTTTCGTGGCATCTCTAGTGTTGTAATTAAATCCTACTAAATCATTCATGGAGAGATATTGACAGCTAGTTCACTTCATACTGAAGTTAGTGATGTTTATGTCGATGTGTCGTAAGACGATGAAAACTTCACGATTAAACAATCCAGCTCCTCAGAGAACAGAATACAACCAAGGTCTATCAATTCCTATCATGATGAGGTGTTCAATTGTGACCATCAGTGTAAGTAAGTCGGTTCAGATTTATAATCAGTTTCTTATTTTCTTTTAATAATTCTTAATGTATGCTTCTCTTTGCATTTCTCTTCATAATACATGTTATCTTAGGAGCATACTGTCTTGAATAGTGATGCGAATTCGACTAATGATGAGATGAGAACTGATTCTACTGCAATACAGACTACCTCTCAATTATTAATGCAACAGTGTAATGATGATCCACTGAATGGTGGTGATACGGCTACTTCTACTGGAATAATAGCACCAAATTTAAACAATGTTTGTAATACACCAAGTTGTCGTATTTGCGGTAAATTGACTACCAGTGAAATACTCTTAGCACATCATCTACAATCAAGTCATCGTCAACGTGAAATGCCGTATGTTTGCCGTTTATGCCTTTTCAGATCATCAATGTATGAAGATATACTCGAGCATTTTAAAAAGGTTTGTTTTATTCCCTTTTTCATTCTTTTTTTGTTGTTGTCACATCTGATTGTGAGTAATTGGTTATGTTATTATTGATCTTGATGACTATCAGAGGTTTCCGATTCGAACTGACTTATCAGCTCAATGTACGTGTACTCCAGTGAGTCATACCTGTTCCCACTGAGGAGGCATGTAACCAGTACCCCTTCGCTTCAAACACCAGAGCATTATCCAGTTAGCCAGTACCGTACAATAGCCACCATATGTCAACAGAGATCTAGCAATTCAGCCCTGTATAGTACAAGTATCCTTACTGTAATAAGTTAGTATGTTTTATACGGGCTGTACATATTCCACGAGAATGAAGAGCATGATAATGTATTAACTCTGCATTCTAATCGGTCACCAATGGATAATTGATGTAGGTGTCTTGTTCTTTGTGCTCAGTTTTGTCTGTAATCTTTCGATAAAGTTCTCAGTGTGAATCATTGAGATGTACTGGTTGTCAGATAGTGTCAATCATAACCTAAATAGTGTGGTTTCGAACTTTAACACTGAGTCACACAAGTTCAAACTGTCTACAAGTTGTGATAAGTACAAAATCTAACTTTCTAATTTTTTTTTCTCTGTCAATTAACTCTTAGCTAATGAGTTCAAAATAGAATAAAAACATGCGTTTTCGATTCTACACTTAGTCACTTCCAGCATCTAATTTGTTGTACCTCTTCATGATTTATAATTATTAGGCCAATAAACAATATGAAGTTTATCATCCGAATGAAAAAGGTATATTAGTGTATGTATGCCTAGTCACCGATTGCCTGGTCACACAATGTTGGCTGAGGTGAGTTCAGGCTGGAAAAAGGCCCGAGGTGGCCAGACTAAAACATGGCACCAATGTATGAAGTTTCTGACTGTTGGTTTAGGCCATGTAGGACGATGCAGACTAGGTGGTTGGAGTCCACGGGACAAGAGGAACCAGTGGTTGGAGACCCTAGGTGATATGGCTCAGAACCGATGTCAGTGGCGCAAATGTATCCCCACACACATTATCCTCATCTTAACAACGCTATACCGAATCTCACCATTTTGTCACTCCTCTTTCCTTTCTTCTCATACTTTATATTTCTTTTGACTGCATTCACTTATCTTCATCCTTCACCTCACTACCTTTTTACTTGATGTGCTGATATGAGGTGTGGCAATTCGGACCGTTACGCAGTAATGCTTGGTCCTATGTTGATAATGATGATGATGATTAGTGTAAATTTGTCTATCATGATTGTGTAAGAATAATATAACGTAAATATAAACATGGAGGATGCTAAATGGTATAGATGCGTTAACCTACCCGTATACTTTCAGTTAAACATTCCGTTCAAACTTCTCAATATCATTTAATTAGAGGATTTCACCAACTTATTTACCCTTACATATGTTATTCCGTACACTTTCGATTCTTTAAAGAGTGGAATTACATGCAATTTGTTTATAGGGAAAAAGATAAAACGTGGTTGCAGCGATGTAGTCACTTTACTACTAAACTGTACATTCATGAATATGTATGTTACAGTGGGTAGAATGTTCCAGAATTTCATTTCTGATTAAGAAACAACACTGTTGACGTAGAACTGCATAATCTTCGACGAACTCTAGAGGAAAACGGTTTCTCGCTCACATTCATAGATAAGAATATAAAACCAAACAACCCAACTGAATGAACATATTTGGCGCCGAAAAAGATTCTTTTGTTGAATCTTCAATTCAAAAGTGATATTGCTGCATACATCATCAAGAAACGACTCAAAATCCTTAAGTAGGACATACTTCGCCGATAACATTCGGATTATTTTCTCCTGCAAGAAACATTTAACAATATAAGCGGATACATTGAACCAGATCAGCGGATGTATACCAGTTGATATGCCCCTATGGAGTTAAGTACATTGGCTGTACCATGGATGCGCTTGTAAAACGTGCCCGCAAACCCTACGCAGTCTGGCTGGCCACCATAAGGAGAACGGAAATGTATCTTCAGTTCAATTACAGAACACCTCATGAACTCAAGCCACTTAGCCCATTTTGAGAACTCATTCAAAATTCGATCAAAAACTCGAAAGGAGTAAGATCAAAGCACTAACCATCCAGAAGTTCAAACCAGCGTTATGCGTTCAAAAAATGTACATCCAACCATGGTCATCATAAAGCGTTAACTGTACATGTATTTCCATAATCCCTTGTCTATTTTCCCACTATGAGCACAACTGTGTATCAATTAACTTCCTTTAGTTACTTAATATATTTTGTCTCTTAATCAGAAATGAAATTCTGGAACATTCTACCCACTGTAACATACATATTCATGAATGTACAGTTTAGTAGTAAATAACCTTATCTAAGAAACTTGCCAACTGGCGAAAGACATTTCGACAGTGACTGGATGATGACCTATGTGTTCTTTCTGCTCCTTAAAAAATCCGTCTTTTTCATCCACAATACCAGCAGGTGGATGGAAGCATCTTCTCCATCTATCTGTTGGTATAAAGACTGCATAATATTTCCACTTGATATTCAGCTGACACAAGAAGAAGAAGAAGACAATGCAATGGAAGGTGTATTTACTTCAAACTGAATGATACCTTGAAATTCAGTCCTTTATATATCTTTTAGATGACCTTGACTAGTGTAAACAAAATAGCATACCAAGAGTGTAAAATGAATCAATCAGCGTAAAGTAATACAAATCTCAGTAGAGCTGAAAAAAGGCACAAAAGTAAGTTTTAAATTTTTGCATCAGACTCGCCTAACAATTACGCATATAACTCGTACCGGCAGTCAGCGATTTCCTGGACTTCATTTCACTGCTCTGAAGCTATCCAAGTCAACTTCACCCCATTTTGGAATAAGCACTGTCTGAATTGATTGAGATTCGCAATGTCATAATTGTTTCTCCTACTACACACAAGTGTGATACTATCAAGTAATAGCAGTTTGTTATCTTGTCGCATTTTTGCTTCCATTTATTCTTTCTGGTAGTGACGATATGACTCACTGAATTAGAGGCTCGTCTTCTAAGCATTGAACACAGAGTTCGAATCCCTCTTGCCTTACTATTTTAACCATCATATTCATTTAACAATTTTAATGGTTGATATTCATTCATTCCAGGTACACGACAGTTCAAATCATCTACTATGTACCTATTGTCTACGTATTTTTACTCCATCCGATGCACGTTCAAATATACAATCACTTTGTGGTCTATCAACTCCTGGTAGTGGTGGATTTAATAAAGTTGGTTTAGGCATGGGTATTGGACAGACTCAAGTTTATCTTCAACATTTACGAATGCATCAAATAAATCATCAACTTCGACGATGTCCAACATGTCGTTTAAACTTTACCAATAAATCAGATTATCAAGTACATCGTCGATTAGATCATAAAGCTACACAAGGTCCAGGTATTGATAAACATGATCCTCGTCGAGATTTATATGAGGTTAGTCTTTTCACTTGTGTGTGTGTGTGTTGTTAGACTTATTTCAGTGCTTTTCTCACTTGTATCGTCGTAATTGGAACTCATCAACTGGCTGCCTCTACCTGTTAGTGACATTGTTCTCAGTTAGTCTCGAATGTGACAACCATCGCTTCCAACGCTGAATGAAGCGTTATGCATTCATTCTGTTACGGTTATAATGAAACGTGATTGGAGCGATGGGTGGTACATATTGGAATCGCACTGGGAACAACTGCATTCACTTAGGAGGGAGGAACACTTAGCTGACAAAGCTCTAGTCGGATGAGACACATATGATGAACTCCATTGCTAACCATTATCTTTTATTACCACCATTTATTAGTAGATGTTGATGCAATAATACTTGTGCGTAGAAAGTGTCTGGCTTCATTACAATCATCACATCTATAGAATTTTTCTTTTATGAATCATTTCATTATAGCTTACTTTACTTGAATGACTCTTATGACCATTCTACCAGCTGCTGAAATAACCAATCAGATTTCTTCATTCTTCATGTCAAGGAAGATTTTCACAAGATGAAAAATTCTAACTGGTGATTTCAGTTGTTGTTAAGGTAGTCTTTAGACTCATTCAACTTCGGAGATATTCAAATGGACCTCTCTTTAATTTATGAAAAAACTGCTTCTCAAACAAAAATGATGAAACTTGAATGGTTCATTCAGCAGTTGGTAGAATGACCTTCAAAACGACCTCTCTGGTGTTTCTTTTAAGGCACAAGGAATATTCTTTTCCCCATCAGGTCCTACAGTTATATGTACATATTAAGGAGTTACACGTCAGTAATATAGAATTTCGCTTATCAATTTGTTAATAATATTTGTTATACAGTTGAGAAGGTCAATTGAGAAAAGTTTTGGATGTGTAAACATTTTTAATGGAATGAATTATTACTGAGATTTAATTCAATGTAGGCGTCGAGAATTGGGCCACGGTAGTTATAGAGTCAACATATACTTCCTTTGAAAGTATAACTCAGGTTATTTGATCCTGATCCTGGATCGAGAACCTTTTAGCAAGTTGATAGGAATACATTACAGAATGGAAAACGACTCATTCATATCCACTTTATAATTCATTTCAACTAGGTGGTTTCACACATAACAGAGAGTGGTCAATCTAGGTGTGTTGAAAATGAATTGATCTGCATGGTTCATAAATTCATATCTCGTTGAGTATGTCACCTCTTGATTGTACTAGAATGTATAACGGTTTTTTCTGTTAGCCATTGAAATATCCTTCATCACCATTTTAAACAATCTTATGTTTCTTTATGAATGTGTCAGGACAGCCATTTTTGATTGGTCGGTTGAGCAAGGTCATTAGTTCCTCCTCAACTGTATCTTCCAAACATATAGCTCATATTCTGTAATTTAAAGTTTCTAATAAATTGTTTTTGTACTGAAGGGGGGGGGTGGAAGAAGCTGACATACATCTTTTCGTCTTGAAAAAAGAACATCAAGGAAAGTTATCTTCACCGCTGAGTGTACTGCGTTGAATCTACTGAGTATCTTTGGCCTGTTCAAGTAAACTATTCTCTAGTTTCGATAGAAAAAGGAACGATAATATGAAACTTAGTGTCGAGCCTATTGCAACTCCAACCATTTGTCTATATAGTTCACCGTTAGAGGTACACTTGAAAAATAACTCTTGGAAAACATCGATAGACTTTTCTTCCAACTGTTCACCTATACAGTTGACTGTCTACAGAAGGACATTGGTGTTATCTTCAATGATACATCTTTCACACGATGTTTCACTAGCTAGTTGTTTGTGTAAAGGTTGGAGAATACTGACACTAGATTGTTGTGAATAAAAGATTTTTTTTCTGAAAATAATAAAAAGTAGTGTTGCAAGATTGACAGGAGCCGCCAGTGCTCAACCTGGGTGTTGTACCGTTGGGAGTAGTCGAAAAGTTGTTCGTGTGTCTGGGTAGTTGTATATGGTGAAATTTCCAACCGAATTTCGAAAGTCAGAGTGTAATACGATAATCTGGACCACCTTTGTTGCCATCGCGTCGTTAGTCTGACCGTGAGAACAGTTCTGCTCTACGCCTGTGAAATCTGGCCTCTCCGAGATGAGGATATGCGACGACTCTGTGTCTACTTGATTATCGTTGTGTCTGTAGGATTGCTCGTATCCGATGGCAACACCACGTAAGAAATTCTGAGGTACGACAGCATATGTTTGGGCGTGATAGTGATCGTCATTCAATACGTCAAGTCGTCTAGGAACACCGGCTTTAGTGGCTTAGACATATGTTACTCATGTCGTGCCAACGGCTTCATACTGTCCACTGTTTGCTAGCCCCATAGGGACTTGGTGGAAGAAGCGGATGGGTGGCCAGCGTACGATGTGGGATGAAGGATAATTGTATCGGGTTTGCATATGTTAGTGCAACACGACTCCTGGATGTGGTCCGAGAGACCTTGCAACTCAGTGCTTTAACGCGTTATGATATATGGCTCAGAATAGAAACCAGTGGCAATTATGTAAAGCAGCGTTACCGAGAGAACATATGTTCCATCACCTAAAGGATATTGTCTAGATGCCGTCTAAGAATTGCACTTTTTAGGTATTTCAGTGTATAAGTCCATGAAGTCCCCCGCATGATTATTGGTCAGATATACACTACGTAGCTGATGTCTCCGTGACTATGGATGAGGTGGATGAAAGATCGTCATAATGGCGTTGATGTATTCACTCTTCAATGCTTTCGAAGCTTGAATATTTTCACTGGCCTTCACCTTTGTTTACTTTAATATCCATCTTTTGTTTGTTCTTTATACCGTACTGAGTAGTGTAGCAAGTTCCATCGATCCACTTGTTTGTGAGGTTCCACGTTGATTTTTGTCTCGCAATTATAATCTACAATTCACTATTCTCTTAGTATTTTGATTACATACGTGTCCCTGCATCATCTTGACATGATCTTCCCAAACTTTTCATGTATCTTTTCATGTGTGTAGGATGTTGAATTCAAGCTTAGACGATAGGACTCTTCAAATATACCATTAATCTTAAATGAATAAAGCAGTTTACAACTGTTCATTTTCTTGTTCTGTATTTTGTAGGTTAACATCTGACTAATTTGGGATTTCAAGCTTTCGATTAACTCTAATGCTGGAGCCATTTTTCTGTTAAGCATTATTATTTTTATCCTTTGGGTTCCTAGTGGAATATATAGGGATTTAATAGCTCGTCACCATTTCACTCTCTTCTCTTCAGCCTCTTCTTTTTTACCTGGCTACATCACTGACTGACTGACCATATGCTTTCATTTCATCCTTACACCATCTCCTTCGTGTCACTCTCGGACGTCCAACTCGTCGTTTCCTATTTCGGTTCCACTCGACGACCTGAACTGGCGCGTCATGCCCCAAACAGTCTTCTCAGTGTATGTACAATCTAATCAATCTCCACTTTATTCTTCTGCATATTTGTTAGGTGATACCTCCTTGGTTGATTGGTTCGTTGCCTGCCTGCCTACCAGCCAGTCAGAGTTCCTTGTTGCTTATACTTATTATTGCGGCCATCAGATCTGCATCTTCCGTTTGAGCGAGCGTAGACGGCAGTTGTTCATGTGTCTGCAGGTTGTTGCAAATGCTTCGCGTAACGCGCCGAGTCTGTGAACCATTGCATAGAAGCACTGACTTGCATGACTGAATTAGTGTTGGAAATCCGGATGTTGTTCACGCTTTGAGCGGGGTGCAATGCAGTGCATTGGATCTCCACACTGATTTCGGAATAATGAAGGCTTGTCTTGCTTTTTCGATCCTGGCTTTGACATCTTCATCTGTGCCGCCTGTAGTTGAGAGGATGCTGCGAGGTAGGAGAGAGAGACTGCTTCCTTTTAGTTTCTCCTGTTAATGTTGGTTGGTGCTTGTTGTTGGTCGGATATCTTCATCACGTGCGTCTTCTCTATGTTCAACTGAAAGGAGTATTGTCTTCGCTGCCCTGCCTCTTCTGTCAACTTGTTAGTTTTCGCCTGTAGATCTTCTAGTTTGTGCGGCTTAAGATATCAGACATAAATCGTCATCGTTGGCGAAATCCAAATCGTGTAGTGTCTTTTCATCGGTCCAGTCAACGTATACCCATCTTCTCGCTCCTCACAGTTTGCTGCCTGATCCAGTCGAGTCGAGTCGAGTCGACCACAATGAGGAAGATGATGGGTGATAGTAGACAACTTTGTCTTGTCTTACACCTGTCTTCACTTCACTTCCAAGGCATCACTGAGGTATGCATTATGAATCCCTTGGCACGTAGCAACATACAGCATATAGCTGCTGAATGAGGTTGATAAAGGTTTGTGTCACTAAAACCGTAGTGTTGGAGGAGCTGGCAAACTACTTCTCGGTGGACACTGTGGAAGGCCTTTTCAAAGTGTATGAAGTTGAGGTAAAGATCCAGTTGACTGCCATTCTATGCTCTGTTCTATGATGGTGGGTAGCGTAGCGTTGCAATTTGATCGGCACATGATTTGTTTTTTGTGAAGCAAGCCAGCCTGTTCCGGTGGTAATTTTGAATGCAGAGCATATTTTTTAGTCTCTCCAGGATGATTTGGCTTAATATTTTGCTTTAGGTGGACAGTAGCATGATCCCGTGCCAGTTCTCGCATAGACTTAGGTCTCCCTTCTTTGGGAGTTTTAGTATAGGGCATATTTGACTCACCTATTGTTACACTCTCAACCTTATGGTTGAACTAACCAGTCGATCAGTGTTGTTTGCCTTGACAGGAACAGGTTTTAATAAAATCTCCTTAATCTCGTCAGATATCCCCCCCCTCTCAACCTAATTCACTTGTAATAAATCCATTTACAGCTGGAGTCATATCGAACATCGGGGAATGATGGCACTACTGCTGCTATCGCCGGAAGTCACAGCAATGAACGAAATCGTGTCCACCATGTGTCTACAGATTCTGTTCGTATAATTCGACCTCAAATAACATCAATGAATGCACCAGAGGCTGGATGTACAAAAAGTTTAACTGTCAACTTTTTCCCTGAAAATATTCAAAGTTTTGAATGTTTAGAGTGTGGTAAATGTATGGGTGATGCTGAACACATGTAAGTGTTTATTTTAGTGTGATATATTGTGTATTTTGTTTTGGTTGATGTGTATCTTACTTGTTTAATCCCCAGTTAGAGAACCGTTGCAAGGCTGGGAGCAGGTAGCTGCTCTTTGTTTAACGATTACCCGATAGACTTTTGTGGTATTGTAGAGAGAAGACTTCCAGGGAAACAAGTGTTCCAGCTAGTGTAGCTGGTTGCGTCATTGAGATATGCCAAGCCTTGACCACCATGTGTCAAGCTAGTAGGTATCGGCCACGAGCCGCTATCAATGCTTACTATCACTTTTGCTGTTTGAGTTTTTTTTATAGACGTGATAGTGGGTGTCTACCACCTTATGTAACTGCTAGTGTTAGGGCAATCTGGTTGCGGCTACCCAGTAAGCCTGTCTATTTCACTTGTATGCAAAATGAGAGTATTCTAGTAGATGTTGAATTCAAGCTTGGACGATAGGATTCTTCAAATGCACCATTAATCTTAAATAAAATAAAGCGGTCTTCAACTGTGGAGGAAGGAGAAAATGATGAGAATAATGTGTATGTACACGTCTGCACCACTGACATCGGTTTTGAGTCATATCATCACCTAGAGTCTCCAACCACTGGTCGTTTCTTTTGTCCTGCGGACCCCAACCAGGTAGCCTCCATCGCCACACATAGTTGAAATCAACAGTCAACGACTTCATACATTGACGCCATATTTTAGTCTGGCCACTCCGAGACAATTCCTAGCCTGGGTCTACTTCGGCCAACATTGTGCGATAAGGCAGACGGTGGTTAGCCATGTCCCAGTCAACATAGTCGCTAAAGGTTCACAACCTCATCAACTGTCTTACCTCTCCTGCCTAAAACTCTACGTCTGACTTCTGCATTACTCACATGGTGACACCACAAAGGCCTTCTTATGTCTTCTGCCTTTATTGGCCATGTTTCACAGCCGTAGAGTAGAACAGAGTGGACTGTAGCACAGCACTCTCGACCTTTAATGGACAATCGGATATCACGGCGGCGTCACAGGTGGCGTAAGTCGGCAAAAGCCAACCGAGACTTTTGTATTCGTGCAGAGATTTCATTGGCCAGTGATCAATGCACCAGGGCTGATCCCACTTCCCAGGTAAGTGAAGTGGTCAACACACTCAACCACTTCACTCTCTATTGTTAGCCGTGGCACCGTTGAAGACCAATCGAGGAGCAAGAATTTGCATTTGGGTGGTGAGAAACGCATCTCAAACATTCTCCAATTGCCACTGAAAGTGTTGAGAACACTGTGCATGTTTATCCGCGTCTTCACCTAACAGGACTATGTCATCTGCGTATTCTAGGTCTAACGGAAATTCTCCCGTGATTACGTGAATCTCTGTGTAGTCAGGTGACAAGAGGGACACCTCCATAAGAACGTGTGTGACAAAGTTGGATGGGAATAGAGACAGTGGGCACCCTTGATGGACACTACTTGGCGTTCACAACTCACCTAGTATGCCACCATAGGCTCTAAGACGTCTATGGTTGTTCGAGTAAAGAGCCTTCAATACGGCCCGAACCGTATACCCTAATTCGGCGTGTAAGCATAGGTAAATAAACATTAGCTAACCCAGGTTTGATCGATCACAGATTTCGTACGAATCATATCAGCGTATGCGTATGGTGCTTAGTATAGTGCTTCCTTGTGATTCAATGCTGAACAATTGGTTCAGCTTTATTGAATGTCACAGTCCATAGGCTTCGTCATATAACTACTGGGTGATGATTAAAGGTGAAATAGAAAAATTTCGACCGTGGCGGGATTCGAACCAGCGACTCGGTGCTCTACTCTAAATGAGCTACAAGCGCTGATTCGTAACCATGTTCTCATTTCATTTCAATCACAAGTATGGTTTTAACTGAATACCATGTGAATTAATGACGCTTTACTGTCACTTGATCGATCATATCCACGCAGTTATTGAATTAGAGAGGTGGGTGAGCATCATTTTTCTTTTGACTATCTGAGTAAGATGACCATAGTTTGACAGTGATGATTGAAGGTGGCAGGATTCTAACCAATGATGAGACCCAACTGTCAAATATGATTCGGGATTGATATTTCTTCACTTATTGTAACATTTTTTTTAAAAAATCTTCTATCCTTATTATGTGTTGATTTTGTTCTCTTCATTAGACAATATCTACCATGTTCAGTGTGTAGATTTGCAACATGTTGTAGGATTGGTTTTCAACGACATTATCAAAAATTGCATATCTATACAAATACATCACAGTCAATCGATGTTGATTCAGGTATGCCAATGATTCGTCAAGTTTTCTTCAATTGGAGCAATCTACAGAACAATGATAATTTTCAATGTCCTACAACAACAACTAGTACTACTACTACTAATGTGACAACTGAACAAACACCTTCTATTGTTATCTCAGGCAGTCAAGAACTACTTGTCATTAATGAGATAACAGATTTAACGCCTAATTGTCTTACCAATACATCATCAATTATGCCGAGTGATGAAATAACACTGAATAATAATAATAATAATCTATTAACTGAGAAGGCAACCTGTCAATCATTACTACCAATTCGATTAAGTTTAAATGATTGTATTATGAAGTATATGGAAAGACAATATGATTCATATCAATTCTATTGTTCACATTGTGGAGTAAATAATTTAGATGGGAATAGTTTAGCTCGACATTTAGTTGAAGAATGTGGTACATTAACAGCTACACTTAATCCACATCCCTGTCACTTAGTTACAAAATCTCAATCAGATATCGAAATAACACAACAAAAACAACAAGAAATCAATCAAAATGGTGTAAGTTTTTCTTCTAAGAAATTATCATAAATCAATAATGTCTATGAGATTAAACAATTGATGATAAAAGGATACTGTGTAGTAGAAATGTTCACTTTCATTGTTCCTATTCCAACTTGATTATGGATATAACCTTAGGTAAGTTGAATTTACTAGGTGAAGAACTGTTTAAAGGAGAAATTAGCATGTGCGTTGGCAAATGTCAATTAGTGGGATGTGTCGACTTCTTCACTTGCCAACTGGCGAGATTGTTAACTATAGGGGGTTAAAAGTAGACGATATATAGCGGTTATTATAGAGTTTTGATGATACATGTCTTCGAAGTATTACTTGTGTATTAATGGAATTAGCATATGAACAATGTTAAAGTAGTCAGGTGAATAGTATGAAACAGAACATGCAAATGGTTTAGACATTCTAAGTTACCATCTACGTTGATGTAGGATGGATTAAGTTAAAGGAGGCACAATCTGAGCTGTGTCTCACACTCCTTGATGCCTTTTAAAAAACCCAGAATTATTCACAGTTAGTCTTTATCTTCAGATTGTTTTTCTGTTCACTTATTCCTTGTATGTACTACTAAACTGTAAAGTATGAGAATACTTTAGTTAATGCACTTAGGTGTGTTGTTCTTCATCGATTTAAGTGTATCTGATTAGCCTAAACAAATTATCTTATTTCTCTTTTATTTTAGAATACGATCCTTATTGAATCAACAGAACAGAATATAGTTGTCATGAATCAACCTTCAGTATTATCTACGAATACTGAAAATGCTGATGCTGATGTTATCATGATGACAATTGATGGTGATGATGATGAACATTCATCAATACGATTAGTTGAATCAACAGATAATTCAACATCTCTATTAACTGATAATCAAATTATATCTCAAATGAATGGAACAACTACAATTGATATAACTGATGCTGGTGGTGAAGTTGTACAACAATTTATCCTACCTGATGATCTACAACTTGAAGAAGGTCAAACATTAGTAATGATTCAAGGTGAAAATGGTCAACCTCAATTAGCTATTGTTAATCAATCTGGTAGGTTATAATAATAATAATACAAAATATGATTATAATAACTGTAGATTTAATCACTGCTGATGGTTCAGAGATAATAATGCAAACTGAAGATGAACAAGATAATACCAATAATATTTTAATCTATACAAATGTAAGTGTTGATTGACTATTACACAATTCCCCTATGCATGTATGTATATATAGTTTTTATTGCGCTGTGTAACATGTATTTCTTAGCAATTGGTTACCGGTAATAGTTTAGAGGTGTCAGATGAAGTTTCACTAGATAAGTCAATTGACATGGTATTGACAAGCCAATGTCACCTACCTACCAAGGGGGGAAAAAATCAATTCGATACATCTGGTTGGGGTTGACTAAACCTGACACTGAATCAATGATGAAATCTTGCTGACACTATTATTATTATTATTATTATTAGTCCCTTGGGTTCCTAGTGGAACATAGGGCTACAGTAGCACGTCTCCAGTGACCTCTGTTCTCTGAGATCTTTTGAACCTGGTTACACGACAGCCCACAAGCTCTCATTTCCTCCTCGCACGACCTCCTCCATGTTACCCTCGGACGTCCAACTCGTCGCTTCCCTTGGGGAATCCACTCGAGTGACTGGCCTGACGCGTGATGTCCCAGTTGGCCATCTCAGTGTATGCCCAATCCATCTCCACTTCCTTCTGCATATTTGTTGAGTGATAGGTTCTCGGTTGGTTCGTTCCCAGAGCTCCTTGTTGCTTATTCTTTCTGGCCATCTGATCTTCAGTAGTGAGCGTAAGCAGTTGTTGATGAATGTCTGTAGTTTGTTGGAAATCCCTTTCGTAACGCATCAAGTCTCTGAACCATACAGAAGCACTGACTTGACGTTGGTGTTGAAAATCCGGATGTTGTTCCACATGCTGAGTGCAGAAGATCTCCACACTGGTTTGAGGCTAATGAACGCCTGACTTTGACATCCTCGTCTGTCCCGCCTGTAGTTGAAACAGTGCTTCCTAGATAGGTGAAGGAGGTTACTTCCTTTAAGTTTCTCCCATTCATGGTGATTGGAGTTTGTTGTTGTTGGTGGGGTATCTTCATCACTTCTGTCTTCTCTATATTCACTTGAAGTCCCGTCTTCGCTGCCTCTTCTACCAACTTGTTAGTTTTTGCCTGTAGATCTTGAAGTCTATGTGACATCAGGCACAAGTCATCGTTGGCGAAATCCAAGTCTTCTAGGTTCTTTTCCGCAGTCCAGCGTCTTGCTGACACTAACAGAAAGAATTCCAGCTTGACGTGTATTTTACTTTCCTCTTTAGGATAATCACCTTTAAAATTTAGATGTATATCAATTATCTGTTTCTTTTTTTAGTATGGTTGTAGACTTGTTTATGTGAAATTTCAATTAGAATGTTCCATAGGAAAAGAGTTTTTTTACTCTTTAAATATGATCAAATTTTTGCTTAACAATATTCATAGGGATCGAGAATTGATTTTCTCTTGTCAACTCTATGATCAAGAAAATGAACTACACGTTAAAGGTGAATAGTTGATTTCCAAGGTGGATACGGGGGGGGGGGAGGCGAATCCACACATGATTTCATTCATCTTTCTCTCTCTATACATTACTACTACATCGGTAAATATGAGCGTTGAGTATAACACCTTATTCATCATCTTGAAATGTATCTGTTCTCTTCACTTTTAGGATTTACAAAGTCAAACTCAACAACTTCCTGATGATGGTATCGATTTACTAAGAGGTGGAGATGAAGAGAAAGAGAATCAACAATTCATTGTTTAAAACATTATAGAATAGAATAAAAGGCAGTGTATACAATGTTTGTGTTTATTTTTGTTTCATTATGATATAATCTTTTGTATAAAACGTGTTATACAATTGCATAGTTTATTTATAGACAATGATGATTGTGTTATAGTTGTTATAAACTGAAGTCTTTCTGCTTCATTAGTATTATAATGAATAGATTGAATAATAGTTGGATAGAATTCTTTATCAGTAGTAGTAGTAGTACTGATTAATATAGAATACAGTAGATTATATTGTTGTTGTTGTCTAGATGGTAAATTAGCTAATAATAAATATAATTCAGCATATTTTCTTATTATACGCTGAGATATATATATATTCCTTTTAATGAATACTAATAATATGCATACATTAATTTCATATAATAATTTATCATTTATTAATAAATCTCTTTTATTATTTATTATTGTTATTAAATCACATGCTAATCGTAGACATGATTCTACTGTCGAATCGTCATCAACGCCAATCCCACTGAATGCTAATGATAAAGATATCTTCATATAGATATTATCATTATTAAAGTATAATTGTAATACATCATAAATAGTTTCATATTGAAATCTTTTGTCTATTCTTCCCTGAAAATAATAAAAATAAAAAATTATATAATAATAACATGACGGATTCGAACTCTGCTCCGTCTATCAAGATAAGTGTCAACACGATAGTAAACAGTAGTCTGATTTCTATTGGATTCATCAATTAGTCAAATTAAAGATATAACTACCCAAAAAGGTAATTAACAATAAATGTGAGAGACAATGAATATCAACTATGCTCTTTGTATCCTAATCATTGTCTTTTTAAATTATCTCTTTTTTCTTTGGTGTGTGGATTGTAAATATCCGACAAAATAGTCACAGGTCATAGACATTCAATAATTGGGGAATGGATGAGGCGAATATTATGTATGCAATTACAGTTGGAATATCCTGGTGAATAAGATTAACGAATGAATCACTATTTCTGCTTACTAACTCCATCTCGTCTAGATTCGTCTATTTATGTACCGCTTCGGCTATCAATCTTTCTTCATATGACCCGAAACCTTTTCCTTACCACCTTGGTTCCATATAGTTAGCTACCTCTTAACGATTAGTAAATAATCAGCAAAAAGTGTCACTTAAAGTATGTATCGTCAACACTAGGCATCAACATCAACATTGCGTATCTCCACTGTTTCTCCTGTAAATCAATGGAGAAATTCGTTAATCCTATTCACCAGGATACTCCAACTGTAATTGCATACATAATATTCGCCTCATCCATTCCCCAATTATTGAATGTCTATGACCTGTGACTATTTTGTAGGATATTTACAATCCACAGGCCATACAAACAAGAGATATACAATCTCAAACTGAATGAAATGGTGACGAGCTATTAAATCCCTATGTTCCACTAGGAACCCAAAGGATAAATAATAATAATTGCCCTAAACTGTTGTTGAGACAGTCCGTCTCCTCCCTTTGTCTTCGCGTGTCGACAGTATTATTGTTTTTGTAGTGGTGGTGGCTGACTAGTGACTACAGTAAATTCTTTGGCGCATTAGGTACGTATTGCTCGTGGACACTGCTAGGTCACAACAGATAGATAAGCGTAGAGATTACCCCTCACACACACACACACAATTTCATCAGCTCCAGTGTATTACTGATGTAGATAATAACCGTAGGAGAAGAACTTTGAGAATTCATCCTACACAAAAGAAAATTAATCCCAACACCTTGGCATATATTCATCAAGCACTAGTTTCTCTCCAAGATATTCACTTCATAACTATCGACTACATTTTATCTATTACACTTTACGAAACGGTTGACTATATCAGTATTCGGTTAAGCTAGTTAGAATGAATGTGTTATAGTTTAATAATACTGCCAGTATAGTATGACCATGCTTATAATATTCCCCCCCCCCCGCCATCTGACTTTTAATAAAAAGGTGAATGATTTGATTCCCCCTTGAACACCTTTCAACATATTTCTCTTTTCAATATAAAAGTGAAAAATAAATAAATAACAATCATACCCTTAAAATAAAATCACCTATATGCTAAATATTACTTACATGTAGTTTAAAGTGTATAATGTTGTGTATGAAACGAGTTGAAGCTTCAATCATCTCAGTAATTGATTGAGTAGTAGAATTCATTAAAATAGGCGATATTGGATGATTGATACATTCATCTATTTGTATTTCACTATAATCTATATATATTTCATTCAATAGTAGACCTTTTCTATCAAATACTATTCTTTTAGCTTGTTGAATAAGAAAATTGCTTATCTTATTGAATATATCGGATAATAAATTTAATCCAATCGATAAGTAGACAATTGAAAATGTTTTATCAACTTGATCAGAATAATAACTGAATAATAACCATTCAATAAAGTATTGTATTGATTTAAAAAAATCATCATTATTCAATTGATAAGAATTATTTAACAGATTGTTAAATATTGATAGTATACTAGAATTGATACATTCATTCATTATACATATCATCATTTCATTATTAGTAGTATATTGAAGTATACAGGTGAAAAAACGTAAGCTAACACGTAGAAATTCATGATACTATAAGGAAAGAGAAAAAACAAAAACAATAATCAAATAATTCAGCTCAATCTAAGCTGATGACGTCTATCATAAAAGCGAAGCGAGGATGCCTAACAATAGTTGTTGACCGCACAGTTCACTGAAACTGTCCCGAATGCCATTGGCCACCAGTTACAACTAGTCAATGCAGCCCAGCCCATGGACATTAGCGAAATGGTTAAGGTGACCAGACAGCTAATGGGTACAGGAGTAGCGGCAGTGGAGTTACCAGAGGTAAATAACTGGCAAGAACAAATCAACAACCTTCAGAAAGAGATAGCAGCACTGCGAATGAGCACCAACAAACAGAGTAAATGCTTCGCATGCGGGAAACCGGGACACTGGTGAAGGAATTGTCCGGAGAGGCGGAAAAGAAAACGTTTTGAACGATATAATATGAGTTCTGTTTTTCCGACTAGACTAGATATCGTAGGAGCCATAGATCGAGGTACGGTGTATGCTAGATTGCGAATAAATGACCGGGATATCGTGTGTCTCATAGATACAGGGGCGGCAGTCTCACAACACAAGACCATGTGCGCTAACTGTCCATACGATTGGGGGAAATGCACTGGATATTGCGGGCTTGTCAGATTGCGTTGTTGAGATAGGGAGCCAGAAAATTAGATTCCCATTTATTGTGACCGCGCGCCTACAACGCCCAATCCTAGGTGCCGATTTTCTGAGAAGTGGGTGCAGTGATTAACACGAGAACAGGAATTGTGGCAACGAAGTACGGGTCGTTCAACACTCAGGAAAACAGCGAGGTAGCAGAGATTGAAGTACCAAAAGCACCGTACCCAGAAACGCCAAACATAAAGAAGGTGGTTAAGAAATACGACAGATTGTTCACAGGAGATGGAGACCCCTGTGGTTATTGTGACAAGGTTCAGCATGAAATCCCAGTGACCAGTTAGGTAACGACAACATTCATCACACGGTGAATACCATGTCACTTGGAACAAGAAGTTGGGCTCCAGGTTCAGGAAATGTTAGATGAAGGTATTATTGAAGAGGCTGACAGTCCATACAGTTCTCCAGTACTTTTAGTAAGAAAGTCAAGTGGGAAATATAGATTCTGCGTGGACTTCCGGGAGTTAAATAGCACAACGCAGCTGAAGCCATGTGCCATGCCGATGGTAGCGGAGACACTGGATCGTTTGCAGAATGCGAAAGTATTTACAGTTCTGGACCTCCGCTCGGGCTACTGGCAGCTACCAATAAAAAACAGTGACAAAGAGAAAACAGCATTTATTGTGGACAAGAAGCAATTTTAATTCAAGCGAATGCCATTTGGTCTGGCAGGGGCGCCCTTTACATTTAGACGATTGATGATATTGTTGCTGAAGAATTTAGAGAACGTAGAGGTGTACGGCGATGACCTGGTGGTGTACAGCCAGACGGAGGCAGAACACATAGAATACCTTGAAGCTGTTTTGAGACGTATCGATGAGTTTGGACTCCGCATCAATAAGACAAAATCTCAAGTAGCCAAGAGGAGTGTTACGTTGCTGGGACACAAAGTTGGAAACGGCGAAATAAAACCACTACCCGAGAAAATTTTGACAGTCAGAACTATTCCAGTGGCGAATTCCAAGAGGAAACTGCGACAATTCTTGGGTAGAGCAGCATTCTACAGTCGGTTCCTCAAAAATTTCAATGAGATAGCAGCACCGTTATATAAGCTACTGGGCAACCCCAAATTTGTGTGGACGGAGGAGGCACAAAAAACATTTGATCGCATCAAAGAACTCCTAAATGACCAGGAGATGACGTTAAAACTACCAATACCTGGTAGGCCATTTATCGTGTCCACCGATGCAAGTGATTATGGAATAGGGGCAGTCCTGAGACAGACTGAAGGAGTAGTGGAGTATGCCAGCCGCGTTCTAACACTCGCAGGACAGAAATATTCTACAATGGAAAAGGAATGTCTAACGATAGTTTGGGCGCTGGATGGAGATCGTACCTCCTCGGTCAACGATTCCATATTGAAACGGACCATAAAACTACAGTGGCTTAAGACAGCAAGAAACCCCAGAGGAGGATTATCACGTTGGGTGTTACGACTGCAAGAATATGACTTCACCATCGGCTATGTGGCAGGGAAAGAAAACTGGTTGGCAGACTTCTTATCAAGATCTGACGAAGAAAATGAGCTACCTGAGATCGCATACGGCGTACGTGCAGTGGAATGGAACCCGTTAATGTATGGCAGGAAAGCATGGCTCCCGATACATAGTAAGACCTGGCCCCAACAACAGCCTTGGAACATGACAAGATTGAAAGAGGAGCGGAAACAGGCTATCAGGAATGCGGAACGAAAGCAGAAGGCTGATGCTGAAAAATCTGAGCAGAGAGAAGGAAGTAAACGGAAACCATTCGAGGTTGGAGATCAGGTGAAATGTAAAGAACGAGGATATACGTCAGGGGGTGAGTATCGCAGAAGGAAACTACTTCCGAAATGGGAAGGACCATAAATCATTACCGAGAGACGCGGTTCAATTTATACCATCAAACAAGGGAACAAAGAGTAAACGCTTTTTATCTGCATTTTATTCAACTTTGCGTAGTAATCATCTCCGATTTGAGATCAGTTCGAGAACCACTGAAAAGCTGGAAGTACTGGATACCAGCTCTTCCGTTCCAGGGTGGGACTCCTCAGCAGTACGTACTCGCCACCTCTCATTACTGATATGCTTCACGATGGATATCTCAAAGTTCTCATGAGACCAATCCAGTGACTGAGTGGTTAACGCGTTCGCCGTGTGGCTTAAATGACGTTATTCGGTACCGTAATAGGATTGATGTTGCGTACTCTTGAGGTGACCCGTATTGAGACGAAACAACCATCTGATGTTCCAACTCATGTCAGTCCACGGCGATGCGTGGTAACTTGGAAATAGTCGACAACCAACACCAGATATCGGTGATTTAAAAAGTGACTACATCTCACGCCTAACTACCTGGGTTTGGCTTCAGTCACCAAGGTTTTACCCGACTATCTTAGATATGCTTCATTAAAGATAACTGACTGTTCAGTAATATTCATTAGACCTTCAAATTTCTTGTAAACACGTTTCTCAGTTTGGTTCCGACTAACTTTGAACTTGTCTATGTCGACTAATATCCAATTTTAAGAGCAGAAATAGTCAACATTGTTTGTGTTTTATGAGCATTATATTCAACTTGACATTAGTTCGAGGAATATTGAAAACGTGGGAGAATTGGACATCATATGTTTCATCCAGTAACTGAATGGTTAACGCATTCACCATGAAACATCAATGTCTTGAGTTGGATACATAATGGGGTTGTAGGTGTATACTCTTGAGGTGATCCATAATGAGACAAAACAAGTATCCAATGCTCATAGATTCCTAACCCATGGTTAGAGCATGATGATGCGTTTTATAACATACAAATAGCCGACAACTAACGCTTGATTATAAGCAAGGTTGGATCTCATGCATAGCTAGCTAGCTACACAGTTTACCATCTATTTGAGTTACTGAAGAGGTTTACTTTGAAAGAGGTGAATCTGTTATTAAAAACAATTAGTCTCTTTTATGAATTGTGATAACACAATAGGATGAGCTATTTCATGTAACAAACATACGATGATGATTCGAACTTATGACCACCTATTGATTAAATCTGTCAAAATCAGTGAACTCATCCTTAGTATCCAGTTAGCATAATTAACATGCAATGGTGGTACCGTTTTATCTCCTGGTCCAATACACTGGTCAGTAGTTGTATGTCCTAGTCACAGGACTCAAGCTGTACAAAGCAGTCCACCCATCGTTACTTTTGCCGATAACCTTCAGATGACTTTATGATTGATATTTTCATGCCTTCTTCGCATCGTTACTACCTTCTGTTTTTCCCCATCACTTCCCAACGCCGAACTTTCTTACTCGTCGTTAACTCTCCTAACCTATCAGTAGATTTAGTATTGTCCTGGTCATCAACAAATGTATGTGATGAGCATCGCTCTCAACTGTTGTTAAGACAGTGAAAGCTTTCTATCAACGGTCCGTTTCTCTTTTTGTCTTCACGTGTCGATGGTATTGTTGTTGTTGTTGTGGTGGTGGTTGACGTTTTGATTAACGTTTAGAGTCTCTTCGTTTACCCGTTAGATTCGTATCACTCGTGGATTACTAGGTCCCATTTATCAGGCATAGCGACAACTCATGTTGGTTATTGTTAAAGTGTCTTGATAGGAAGTAAGTGGCTTAAATGAAAATCAATATTTTAAGAATCATCAACTGCTAAAATAGTTTTTCTATTTCAACTTTTATTTTACATCACTGTGTGGTGAGGAAAAACCTGATTGGACATTTCTATCCTACAATTGACCAATCAGAATAAGGTATTTAACTTTTCCTTCATGTGGTGGTTATACATGTTGATGAAAACTGTTGAACAGCATCATTTCACATCTACAACTAAACTTCAAAGTTATACTGTCTCCTACTTCTCTAGACCGTCTGCTTCATAGATTTATCAGTATTATGTGATGCAAACAAACAAAAACAATCATAGTAACTCCGAACCAACGACAAAATTATCAGAGATAATAGTAAATGCAGCAGTGCGACTGATAGTCGTATGTGGATTGATATGAAAACACAAAACGACTGTTACACTATGGTCACTATTTTTATTATTAGCCTTGATTAGTCATGTTAAACTATCCAATCGTTACAACTGTTATATACCCCAAACTTTTGCCGATAACCTTCACATGACTTTCTGATTGCTGTTTTTATGCTTTCTTAGCATGGGTAACAGCTTTTGTTCGCTCCACTAGTTCTTCTCAAGGCTGAACTCTGTGACTGGTTGTTAGCTTATCCGTCAAGATCATCCAGAAATATATGTAGATTCAGCATTCTTTCAATTGTTACTAAGAGGGCAAAAAACCTGTTTGCCCGGGGTCCATTTTCTCTTTATATATATATATATATATGCATGCAGGGATACAAAAGGCTCGGTTAGCTTTCGCCAACTTACGCCACCTGTGGTGCCGCCATGATATCCGACTATCTATTAAGGGTCGCGTGTACTGCACAACATTCTACTCTCTTCTACTCTATGGCTGTGAAACATGGTCATTGAAGGTAGAAGACATGAAAAGGCGGCATCAAGTGTTTGACCAACGTCGCCTTCGTAGTATATACCATATTCTGTAGTGTCACCATGTGAGTAATGCAGAAGTCAGGTGTAGAGTTTTAGGGAGAAGGGGTAAATCAGTTGACGAGGTTATGATCCTTCATCAATTGAGATTGTCGGCACACCTACTACGTATGCCTAGTCACCGATTACCTCGTCACACAATGTTGACCGAAATAGGTCCAGGCTGGAAAAAGGTTGAGGTGGCCAGACTAAAACATGGCACCAATGTATGAAGTCTCTGACTGTTGGTTTGATCCATGTGGTGTGATGCAGACTAGCTAGTTAGGATCCTCAGGCTGATTCTAGGTGATATAGCCGTGAACCGGTGTCAGTGGCGCAGATGTATCCCCACACATATTATCCTCATCTATCTTAACGCTATACTGAATCTCACCATTTTCTCATCCCTCATTTCTCTCTTTTAGTATTTTTATTTCATTCGACTGAATTTCGTTATCTTCATCTTGCACCCCACTACGCTTTTACTTAATGTAATGATATGACGTGAGGTATGGTAACTCGGACCGTTACTCAGTAATACCTGATGCTTGTGTTGATTTGGTGGGATGAATGGATACATATATATATATATATATATATATATATATATATATATATATATATATATATATATATATTTCATAGAACAAATGAAAATTCTTTTCTTACCTGTCCAAAATGATCAGGAAGTTGATAAAATGATGCATCAGGTAGAGATTGTTTTAAATAAGAAAATAATTTTGATAACATTGATATCGACTGTAACTTGATCGGTTTATTCTTATTCAATTGTTCAATAGACACATAACCACGATATATTTGGATGAAATTTTTCAACTAAATATTATAATTGAACAATTATAGAAAAAGATATTTTTATAATGAAAGAAGTAAAACTAATAAATAATTAACGACAATTTATAGTTAATAAGGAATTTTGTTTATTAAGATAGCGATGATCATTATGCGCTGATATCAGACTACATTATTCTATCATGCTTAACTAATGGATATCATGAAGTTCTACTGATAAGCCATGACCTGTAGAATTAGTCCTAAACGAGAGTGTAGCGGATGTTAACTGAAGATCATGGAGGATAGTTACGCAACATTATGAATTGATAGAAGTTGGAAACTGTAGATAAATGGACTATCTGGAGATTTGTACTAGTAGTAGGAGACTCCTTGGTAGTGCGAACCCATAACCCCATCCCACTAGGGACCGAACCCATGAACCTTCAGATTCCATGGCCAGTACGTTATTAGTAGGCTAGCTACTGGGTTGAAATCCAATGGTCCATTTTTTTCCAATTTCATCGTTGAGTATTTGTCCTCACAACCACCAGGTTTCTCCTAGAGCGGAGAGGTTGTAAATGCTTACTGCTGAGAAGTCTTGTACTAGGACGAAACAGCTGTTTAGTTCTCCTACCTTTCCAATTTTCCCTCCAACTGATTTCAGTCCACGATGGAATGGAAATTCGGACCGCGTCTGGATCCGAATCAGCGATCTTCGAGTTTCTAGCCCATTGCTCCACCAACTTTGCCACGAGGTCTGACTAATGACGCGTCAAGAATTCACATTTTAGTCGAGGAAACAACCCTTAGTGAAAGAAGTGAAATAAACACAGTTGGGTCTAGTAGATCATTTGTTAGAGTATCGAACCGGAAACGTGATGGCCACTGGTTTCAATCCAGCAGCGGTCTAAATTTACATTTCACTTTCAATCATCACCCAGTCTTAGTAATATTAGTCTGCCAAACAATGGCTGCTATCTCAGACAGTCAAGATGATAATTTACAATGATAAATATAGTGGTATTATGACACCGTAAACAGGTGCTTAAATTGACAAACAGACAAAGTTGGTCAAAGCTTGAAAAAGGAGATTGAGATTGCGTAGAACTGAACAATGAAAAGAATGGATAAATAAAGGAGAGTTTAAACCTAGTTGATAGAGGGGAAACAGACAGTCGACACAATGAAACCGTCCAAAGTGATTTACCGCAACCCACACGAACCTTTCCGATGAACTAGCCTTTTACATACATTTGAGACTTTCTATAGAGATTCGAATGAACAATCCGAAACTCTGTATTTAAAGGATATTTGTGGAGCATTAACCAGTAAAAACTCAGCTATAGATTTCTTCAAAATATTAGTCTCCGCGTTTTTTTCATCATATTTTTGTCACCTGTTTCACACCACTACTATATTCACAGTTAAACTTTATTTATCTACTGTCATCATCCTGCTTGTTCGAGTTCGTGCCTACTTTATCTAAATATCTTAACACCTGTGATTATATTGTCATAGACTGACATCAATTGGGGAACCTTTGAAAACCAAGGCGTAATCACTTCGGTCTAGTATGGGACTCCTCAGCTGTACACGCCAGGGATAGAGCTCACAACCTTCGTAGGCATGTACTACTGAGGGACGGGAGAGGAGATTCCAAGGACTGAAAGCTAAGACCATGAAAGGGGAAGATGTTGAATAATCTTCTTTTGTGTACACTGTTTAGGTCCCTCTATGTGGATGGCAAGAGCTTTGGCAACGTAGAAAGTGAGAGGGTTTCTTTTCACTTTACAGATGACTTTGAACGAAGAAGTGCTTGAGATAGGATGGATCGTGTTCCCGATGTGTTCAATTACAGAGCTTTTTATCGTTCCATTGTTACCTGTTTGTAACCATCTAGCATAGCGGGTCCTGAACTCTACTGGATAACAGTCACATTAAATGACCTATATACATGAGACAGCTCAATTCGCATATGCACACATAGAAGTGGTCAGATGTGAAAGTTTGTCGTCCAGTTTATAAGAAATCACTAGGTGACAGAAGAATAGTAGTCTCAGAATTGCTGGAAAGAATGTTCTCTGTCCAGAGTTTGAGTGACATCAGTACAATCACCTTTTTTATCTATGAAGCATAGTATAAATCAATTTTCAATCAGAATGTTCCATAGAAAAGAGCTTTTACTCTTACAAAATACATCGAGACTGTCTGTAGCAAGAGAGATAGGATCAGATTTCGCTAGGGATGCATAACCCACACCCAACTATGAAAATTCATCAGTTACCTATTCCACATTAGTTGTTTTTTTTTTGTGAAGTGATTTTCTTGTCAACTCTACATCAAGAAAATGAATTTTACACCTCAAAGATGAATTGAATCGCTGAATAACAGAGATTAAAAGTATCGTTCAAATATGTTTTGGTACAGTTGAAAAGTTTCGTTGATTTCAAGCCTGCCTTCTCTAAACTGGCTATAAACTAGTCTGCTTAGTAGTCAATTTAGTGGGGAGAGTGATGAGATGAGGATTGAGTATTCCAACAATCCTCTTGTAAATTTGTCATCTATTTGACAATCTGAGATGGAGCTGTTGGTTCGACAGAAGACGAGTATTACTAATACTAGGTGATGATTAAAGATGAGGTGAAAAATTCGAGTATGTTCTAAAAAAGCTAAGAAAATGTAGTCGCTGGCCAAAATTTAATAAGGTTCCTCCCTTTATCAACATTTAATCCGATCATATTTCTTTGTATACTTTTTCAATACCCATTATTAAGATTTACATTCGACAATAAAAATTTCTGTCAAGTTGATGGCATTGCTATGGAAAAAAAACCCACTTTAGGCTCTCCTATTTACCTGACATATTTATGTCACATGTGGGAAACCTAGCCAAGAACCTAGTTGATCAAAACAGTCCAGATATATCTAGAAGATATATCCACGATGTCGACTTCAATTCTAAATTGGTATGTATACAAGATGATGACTACTTGTCTCTTATGGATAAATTAAATAGTCGATAGCAGGATGAAACCATCTACAGGGAAATATTTGAACTATCATGTCGTTTGTCCAGTCCAGTCCAGTATAAACCAGTGTTAGTTAAGTGCTTATTCAGCGAATATCTACAGAGGATACTTTGGAAGACGAAAGATTAACATTGACGGAAATACTTTCGGAAAATAACTACTCTGATAACGCTACTGTGAATAAGAATTTCTATGCAATTACAGTTAACCTCGCCTGGTTAACTAGTTTACTAGTTACTAGCCTGTCCTAAGCCCGGGTAAAGAGGGAAGGTTGGGCATAGGGCTAGCAACCCTACCCCGTAAAACAAATCTAACCGCTAAAGAAACTTCAAAGCACAAACAAAATATAAAAAATGAAAACAAACTTATTCCCCGCTGGAATCGGAGAGGCGAAATGACACCAGTTGGTGAAAGCCTTCGGGAAGCCAATTGGCCGATGTGTCTACTCTCCTCTCGATAAAGCGAAAGTAAACGTGGGGACATGGAATGTCCACACCATGTTTAAACCCAGCAAGGCAGCCCAGATTGCAAATGAGATGAGAAGGTATCACATCGAAGTGCTTGGGATTCGCGAAAGCAGATGGAATGGGAGTGGACTCTCCAAACTGTCAACTGGAGAATCAATAATCTACTCCGACACTGTCACCCAGACGACAACCACGAGCACACTGAGGGAGTGGCTATCATGATGTCCCTGAAGAGCATCGAAGGCTCTCATGCAGTGGGAACCAATCTCCTCCAGGATCAGGATCATGACAGCAAGATTCAACTCAAAAGGAAGAAAGGTCACAATCATACAATGTTATGCACCTACAAATAATGCAGAGCAAGAGAAAAAGGAGGATTCTACAGACAACTTCAATCAACACTGGACAAGACGTCAGTTGGCGATATCAAAATTCTAATGGGCGACATGAATGCCAAACTGGGAGGGGACAACACGGGAAGAGAACTAACCATGGGTCGAGAGGCGCTAGGTGAAATGAATGAGAATGGAGAATTGTTTGCAGAATTCTGTGCATTCAACGATTTGGTGATTGGAGGCAGTGTGTTCAGGCACAAGGATATCCACAAAGCGACATGGATTTCACCAGATGGACACACTAAAAATCAAATCGACTTTATCTCAATCTCAAGAAAATGGAGACGCAGTCTACTTAACACAAGGTCAAGGAGAGGAGCAGATGTAGGTTCACACCACTATCTAGTGCAAGGAACCTTCCAAATCAAGTTAAAAGCCTTCAAGGAAGCTGGTGATAGACCTCAATTCAAGTACAACACTCGGAAACTGAAGGATGAAACTACAAAAGAAATCTTCACGCAGCCATCAAGACAAAATGGGAGACATCGAGCAACATCCCTGAAGAAACCTGTGTGGAAGAACACTGGAAGTCTTTGAAAGCTATGTGGAAAGAAACCTGCACAACAGTATTAGGAAGGAAGAAGAAAGAAGACAAGGAATGGATCTCGACGGATACCTGGAAGCTGATAGAGGAGAGGAGGATGGTGAAGCAGAAGATAAACCAGTGCATGGATGCTCAACGACAAGAGGAACTGAGCACAATGTATAAAACACTGGACAAAGAAGTGAAGAAGAGTGCACGCAAAGACAAAAGACACTTCTACGAAACACTGGCAAGTGAAGCAGAACAAGCTGCAAGTAAGAGAGACCTGACGACATTGTTTCAAATAACCAGGTTGCTATCAGGGAAGAGACCAACACAGATGAAACCAATAAAAGATGAAGAAGGAAATTTAATTACAAAAGAAGAGAAACAGAGGAAACGATGGGCCGACCACTTCAAGAAGCTCTTGAATCGACCACCACCTGCACTTCGTCCAGAAATACCACCTGCAGCCGCTGAATTACAAGTGAACATTAATCCCCCAACGAAAATGGAAGTCCTGAACGCCATAAAGCTACTGAAATGTGGGAAAGCAGCAGGACCAGATGGGATACCGCCAGAAGCACTGAGAACAGATGCAGAGACAACAGCGGACATGCTCACACCACTATTGCAGAAGGTGTGGAAGGAAGAGAAGGTACCTGGCCATTGATTAGAAGGGTTACCTTGTCTAACTGCCGAAGAAGGGAGACCTCAGTGCTTGCAAGAACTGGCGCGGAATCACTCTCCTGTCCACCCCAAGTAAAATATTAAGCCGCATCATCCTGGAGAGGCTTAAAGATGCACTGGATTCAAAACTGCGACCGGAACAGGCAGGCTTCACGAAGTACAAATCATGTGCAGACCAAATTGCAACGCTTCGTATCATCATAGAACAGAGTATAGAATGGCAATCAGTTCTCTACCTCAACTTCATCGACTTTAAGAAGGCCTTTGACAGGGTCGACCGAGAAGTAATTTGGAAACTGCTTCACTACTACGGAGTACCGCAAACCTTTATCCGCCTCATTCAACAACTATATGAAGATGCCACATGCCAAGTAATCCACAATGGGAAGCTCAGTGATGCCTTTGAAGTGAAGACAGGAGTGAAACAAGGTTGTCTACTATCCCCCATGATATTCCTTATTGTGGTGGACTGGATCATGCAGCAAACAGTGGGCAGCGAGAAGAGAGGGATACACTGGACGACGGAAAAGAACCTAGAAGACTTGGATTTCGCCGATGACTTATGCCTAATGTCACATAAACTTGAAGATCTGCAGGCAAAAACTAACAAGTTGATAGAAGAGGCAGCTAAGACGGGACTTCAGGTGAATATAGAGAAGACAGAAGTGATGAAGATACCGCACCACCACCATCAACAACAACAACAAACTCCAATCACCGTCAACGGGAGAAACTTGAAGGAAGTAACCTCCTTCACTTATCTAGGAAGCACTGTTTCAACTACAGGCGGGCGGACGAGGACGTCAAAGTCAGAATCGGAAAAGCAAGACAGGCGTTCATTAGCCTGAAAACAGTGTGGAGATCTTCTGCACTCAGCATGCGGAACAAGATACGGATATTCAACACCAACGTCAAGTCAGTGCTCTTGTATGGCTCAGAGACTTGGCGCGTCACGAAAGGCATTTCCAATAAACTGCAGACATTCATCAACAACTGCTTACGCTCGCTGCTGAAGATCAGATGGCCAGAAAAAATAAGCAACAAGGAGCTCTGGGAACGAACCAACCAAGAACCTATCACGCAACAAATATGCAGGAGGAAGTGGAGATGGATTGGCCATGCACTGAGAAGGCCGACTGAGGACATCACGCGTCAGGCCAGTTGCTCGAGTGGAATCCCCATGGGAAGCGACGAGTTGGACGTCCGAGGGTGACATGGAGGAGGTCGTGCGAGGAGGAAATGAGAGCTTCTGGGCTGTCGTGGGACCAGGTTCAAAAGATCTCAGAGAACAGAGGTCACTGGAGGCGTGCTACTGAAGCCCTATGTTCCACTAGGAACCCAAGGGACTAATAATAATAATAATAAATGCAATTACAGTTGGATTAATAGAAACCACAAAGCCTGTATTATTCTTCAAAACCTTTACAACATGCAGAATGATATTGTGATATCCCATTACATAGCTCAGACTCGATAGAGATCCATTCAAATCAGACCCTCTGAAACATATTTCATAGTAGGTTGACAGGCAAATTGAATCATTGGAACCAATAAACATATTGATAGCAGACATCCAAAGTTCTTCGACGATCAAGCATATTGTTGATGCAAGTCACAGGATTGAAGTGGCCACTTACTATTACACCTATTTACAAAAATATGTTGAGGATATATGCTTAAATTCGTTGAACAAGTTTCAATCACCACCATTTGTTATAATATTAAATCTACCTTGATCAAGTCAACAACTATGGGATGAAATTCGATGTATCATTATTTTTCAGTATGTTATCACTTAATCTAGTCTACCAACTTAACCCCTTTTTTTCATTATTCTCATCCCATCAATCTCTTCATAAATTGTCATATTGATAACAATAACAAATTTGTGTATGTGTGTTACCAGATTGATATTAGATATAGATTGCCTATTTGTGTAAGTCACATCGGGTTTTAAAATCAAACACGTTCCAGTATTGTTTCACCCACAAGCCTACTCCGGCCTTCTTCAGGGAAATAATCAAAATGAATCGAAAAACAAGACGGATTTCATTGCCTTCCCTTGTTCCAATCCTCTTTGTATCCTAATCATTGTCTTTTTAAATTATGATAAGTTATCATGCAGTTTGAGATTGTATATCTCTTGTTTGTATGGTGTGTGGATTGTAAATATCCGACAAAATAGTCACAGGTCATAGACATTCAATAATTGGGGAATGGATGAGGCAATTACAGTTGGAATATCCTGGTGAATAAGATTAACGAATGAATCACTATTTCTGCTTACTATTTACTAATCGCCAAGAGGCAGCTAACTGTACTCCATCTCGTCTAGATTCGTCTATTTATGTACCGCTTCGGCTATCAATCTTTCTTCATATGACCCGAAACCTTTTCCTTACCACCTTGGTTCCATATAGTTGGCTACCTCTTAACGATTAGTAAATAATCAGCAAAAAGTGTCACTTAAAGTATGTATCGTCAACACTAGGCTCAACTTCATTATATCTGCATCAACATTGCGTATCTCCACTGTTTCTCCTGTAAATCAATGGAGAAATTCGTTAATCCTATTCACCAGAATATTCCAACTGTAATTGCATACATAATATCCGCCTCATCCATTCCCCAATTATTGAATGTCTATGACCTGTGACTATTTTGTCGGATATTTACAATCCACACACCATACAAACAAGAGATAATTTAAAAAGACAATGACTAGTATACAAAGAGGATTAGGACAAGGGAAGGCGATGAAATCCATCTTGTTTTGCCATTCATTTTGATTATTTCCCTGAAGAAAACCGGAGTAAGCTTGTGTGTGAAACAATATTGGAACGTGTTTGATTTTAAAACCCGATGTGACTTACACAAATAGGCAATCTATTGTCTACCGTTTACTCATTGCACAATATTTGCCATACTGTCTACACGATCAAATCTTCATCATAGTTGATATATATATATATATATATATATATATATATATATATATATATATATATATATATATATATAATGTCTTCCACAATTCTATATTACATAACACATGCATACTGCAGATAATTTATGTTTACTTTATTCATCATGATGTTTCAACCGACTACCAAGGGATATATTCACAATGTCTTACTGTCTATATTAACCACTGCATTGATTGCCAAGCCAGGTGTTCTCAAATTAATTACCTATCAAGAATATCAATCAGATAATAAGGAATAACTCACTAGAATTGTAATGAAATACGATGTGTTCTTTATTTCTAATCGTTCATTTGTCAATTGATACAACATTGATGTGATATCCTGTGGAAATTTACTAGAATCTAACAGAATCAATAAAAAGATAGCCAATTGAAGCGAAACATATATATGCCAATAGAGACTGATCGAATCAATGATGATATGATATAAAAACAATTCTATGTACTAAAAACTATACCCATTGCACAATAAATAGCTAACATGGCTCGGTGGTGTAGTGGATAACACTGCGGTGTTTGAATCAATCACTCCCGAGTCTGAATCCCGTTTGGTGGGAACAACATCACTTCGCAATGGATAAGCAGGTACATCCAGCTGACCACCAATGAGTCCTAAATAGGACGAAATGTGTATCTGCTTATCAATACTATCATAAGAGCACAGATAATATCGAGACATTCGCAAAGTATCCCATATTCCAATAGAGATCGATCAATTCGATCCAACCAACGACAATTATACGAAAACTATAAAATAGACTAATGTAAAATTAACTTTTTAAGAAAAATAATCCATTTGTGTAACCATTAAATTTATTCTCTTTTCCCTTTCACTTTTATGTATTTATTGAATTGTCTGATGAAACTCTACTCTATCAACAATAAAAACAATTATGTTTAGTAATGACGAGTCCCAAATAGGACGAAATGCGCATCCTGGATTTCACTGCTAGCCACTGCCCATCATTACTAAACATAGTTAAAAGATAGGCCATATCGAGGTATCCGCATAGGAGCCCATATGCCAACAGAGGCTGATCAATTCGGTCCTATCAATGACGGTGTAATACAAGCAATAACACTAAAATAAAAACAATTCATGAAATGTAAGTTTCATCAGACCAAGACGTTATATCAGTCGATGAAATCTTTCACTGTCGGTTTGAGTTGTAAAGGGTGATTTAGATTGCCTAGTTTTGGGGGTCACTGAGATGAAAGGAATCATTGGTTGAAGACTATCGCCAAAACAGCTGGAAACCAGTCAGAGTGGTGCAAATGTGTTCACTCCTCAACATCTTCTATGTCTTCAGACTGTTCCTTCTCTCATACAACTTTGTCTTCTTTCATATCACTCCTTTTGTATCTACCTTGTAGTCGGTGCTACTGATAACAATGTAATGAATCAACAGCGAAAAGAGATGGACAAGGAAGAACAGGAAATGAAAGAGATTGTGCGAGAAACGGCTACAATGTTTTATGAGTAACGTACAAAGTGTCATCATAACAAACTGCCTTCTGCCTTTCATACTTTGCCAATTCCTACATGCTCGCCTATCGCTATACCACCATAATAACTATCTCACCCACCTATCCATCTCCTCCCCCACTCTGCCTCCCTCCTACACCCTGTTGACAGCGATAACTCATGCTTCGCCTCTTCATACTCGAAATATGACCAGGTCAGGTCGGGTCAGGCCAGGTCTCACGTCATACTAGTGCAGTCTTATCCTTCACATACCTACAATACATCCAACTGACGTCACTTGTTTTTTTCTCTGCACAATGCATACACACATGAGTACTTCCTGGTTGACAAGCATCCCTTGCGTATTCCTCTTGGTAAGCAGCCGTGTATGTAGGCGAATTCCTGTGTGTCTGTCTATCTATCTCCGTGTGTGTGTGTGTGTACCTTGAAATATATATATATATATATATATATATATATATACTATCTGCTCATTTCATTTCATTATGTATGTACATACACTGTCCAATTGAGGCCAAAAGACATGCTGAAAATTCTGGGTAGTATTTCGGAAATATCTTTTACAACAAAGCCATCATCATTATTACTACAAGTATTTTCATTATTATTACTATCATCATTACGATTACCACTATCATCATTTTTATTGACTATTAGCATTACTACTATGACTGTAAATCCTATCATTATGATTATCGTTATTACTCTTATGATTAGCATTATTATTATTCATCATCAATATCAACATAGGACCAAGCATTACTGCGTAACGGTCCGAGTTGCCACACCTCATACCAGCACATCAAGTAAAAAGGTAGTGAGGTGAAGGATGAAGATAAGTGAATGCAGTCGAAAGTACGAGAAGAAAGGAAAGAGGAGTGACAAAATGGTGAGGTTCGGTATAGTGTAGTTAAGATGAGGATAATGTGTGTGGGTGTACATCTGCGCCACTGACATCGGTTCTGAGCCATATCACCTAGGGTAGCCAACCACTGGTTCCTCTTGTCCCGTGGACCCCAACCACCTAGTCTGCATCGTCCTACATGGCTGCCATTATTATTATGATCAATACTATTATTACCACCGTAATTATTACTGTTGTCTTCATTATTGTTACTATTATCATTGTCACCAGTATTATTACCAATAGTATTGTCATCATTATTATTACTACTGCCATTATCATTATCGTTATTATTATTAGTAGTACTATCATCACCATCATTACTACTAGTGTCGTCATTACTATTACAATTACCATTATCATTATCTCTATTATTATTGTCATTACTAGTATTGCCAATACTATCATCGTCATTGTGATTACAATTGCCAGTATTATTATTGTTATTACTACTAGCATTATGATTTTTATCGACTTTTACCATTATCAGCATTACTATAACGCCCATCATCGTGATGATTACTATTACTATTGTCATTATTGTTACTATCATTATTAGGATTAAGATTATCCTTATCAATATTACTGTTATGATTGTCAGTACTATTATTAATACTATTAGTATCATCACCATTATTATTGTCATCCCCATTATTATTATTATTATTATTATTACCATAATAATTATGATCATCATTGTTATTATTGTCATTATTATTATTATTATTATTATTACTACCATAATGATTATTATTATTGTCATTATTGCCATCATAGCCATCATCGCTACTGTTGTTATCATTATCCTTAGACAGACAATAAACCTCGATATTTTCGTGTTGTAAACATTTTTCAAATTCAAATGATCATTTCAGCTGTGGTGTTGATATTTTCAGTCGTCAATTCATTCATCAATACCGCCGGATATGAGAATAGGTGATGAAAAAACAACATTCATATGATAAGTATCAATTCATTGATAATCAACAAGGAATAAGTAATTCTAGGTGTATATATAAAGAATACTTACCTTGTTCTGTACATAATACTTCAAAAATAGTTAATTGATTGTATAAAATATGTTCTAATGAATCCAATGTAGACTTATCATCAATCAGATAGAATAGTATTCCAATACAATAGAATAATAGACTATTGCTTGTTGGATCAATTGAAATGGAATGATTCAGAAAATACACTACACCAGATGTGATTGTATTAACTAATAGATTTGATGAGAATGATTTATGCTAGATAAAGAGATGAATGGAAGCAGAACGGAAACAGAAAAGAAATGATGAAAATAGAAAATCAAAATCAAAGTGATTATTTCTCATCAATAAGTAACATGTTAAACACACACACACACACACACAAAACTTAAAGGCTACAACATGATCTTGTATCATCATTGATCAAGATTAGAAAAAAGGAAAGGAGAAGTAGGCATATCTGTGTGCTCCATTGACATCATTTCTGAGTTATATCACTTCTGTTGTTCCGAAGATCCTAACAGGCTATTTTGTATCGTTCTACATCAATCAAATGAACAGTCAATGACTTCATACATTTTAGTCTGATGGCTACGAAGTCCTTTTTCTACTAGGACAACTCTGTATACAGAGTTGTGGATGTTATATTTACTTTCACAACGATTTATTTTTATAGTTCTCTGATTGATGTTATTCCCTCTTTCTATAGAGTGCAGAAATTGTATTCAAATTTAAACTCTTTTGTGGTACAGTGGATAACGCCTTGGTGTTTGAAGCTGTGGGTACGAAGTTCGAGTCTCAGTTGGAAACAACATCACTGACGGGGTGCAGGTACATCCAGCTGATGAGTCCCAAATGGGACGAAACGCGAATCCTGGATTCTTCTGCTAGCCACAACAATCAACCAAGTCATCATAACAGATTTTGTTGAAAAGTACAACCCATAAGCAATAAAAACTATATATTAACAGAATATATGCTACAGTGTACAATAAGACTGTCCAGATTCACATTAGATGTCCTGTTAAGTGAAGACGCTGACAGGATGCAGAGTCTTCTAAACACTTAGAGTGGGAATTTGAAAATGTTTGAGATGCGTTTCTCACCACCTAAATGCAAATCATTGCTCCTCCATTGGTCTCTAACACTACCTTGGCTAACAGTAGACAGTGTAGTGATTGAGTGTGTCGATGACTTCACTTACCTGGGAAATAGAATCAAACCTAGCCCCGTGACTCGGTGGCCGATGAAATCTCTACATGCATACAAAAGGCTCAGTTGGCTTTCTCCAACTTACTCCACCTATGGTGCCGCCGTGATATCCGACTATCTATTAAGGGTCGCGTGTACTGCACACCAGTCCCCTCTGTTCTACTCTATGCCTGTGAAACATGGTCATAGAAGGTGGAAGACATGAGAAGGCGGCATCAAGTGTTTGACAACCGTTGCCTTCGTAGTATAGACCATATTCTGTAGTGTCACCATGTGAGTAATGCAGCAGTTAGGTGTAGAGTTTTAGAGAGGGAGAAGAGGTGAATAAGTTGACGAGGTTATGATCCTTCATCAATTGAGATTGTCGGCACACCTACTACGTATGCCTAGTAACCGATTACCTCGTCACACAATGTTGACCAAAGTAGGTCCAGGCTGGAAACACCAAGGCGTTATCCACTATGCCACGGAGGAACGATAGCCTTTTTTGTACAACGCATAGTAGTTATTACTATTTATTGACATACTTGTTATTCTCTGTTGTTTTGTTACTAGCCACAAGCAACCAATTTATCGTCCGCATACATAAATAATGTAAAAGATTGATGTCCAATCATAAGCGGTAAGTAGTTTAGCTTAAAATATTACCCCCTCCCCCCCCCCCCCAAAAAAAGAGAGGAAAAAAAGAAAGGAAGAACATTAATATGAAATATATTTATTGATACTGGATAACAATTTCAGATGAAATGAAACTCGACGTCACAGTAACCACCTGCAAGCTGGTAGTCTGACCAACTGAGATAAGAAACGCATATCCTAACTTCACTACAATCACCAAGGATTATATATATTCAGTGATTCTGATAAACCAAAATCTCTGGTGATTTGGTTGAAGGTTCGGTAAGCAACTGGCGCACGTAGCTTAGTTCATAGAGTATCAATCCAACAATCTGAAAAGATTGGAGGTTTAAATCCTGCAGCTCAATCGATTATCATTCCATCTGTAATCATCATCACCATGGGGGCAAACAAAAACCAAGTTTTAGACGATATCAAGGAGTGAATACATCAGGTATGTAATCAAAAAAAGTCAATCTTCAACCAGTAATTCGTATTATCGTAAAGATTTCAACCAGGTAACTGTGCCAAGTCTTGGTCTGGTCATCATGAACCTTCCTTCCAGACTATCTCAGTGTTATTGCTTGTATTATACCTTCCTTCATTGGACCGAATTGATCGATCTCTATTGATATATAGGCTCCTGCGCGAATAATATGTACTATATATATTTAAGAACACAGGCAATATCGAGACATCTGCACAGGAGCCTATATGTCAATAGAGATAGAACAATTCGGTGCAATCAACGATGGCATAATACAACCAATAACACTGAGATAGTCTGGAAGAAAGTTCATGATGACCAGACCAAGACATGGTACAGTTACCTGGTTGAAATCTTTACGATAATACGAATTACTGGTTGAAGATTGACTTTTTTGATTACATAGCTAATGTATTCACTCCTTGACATCGTCTAAACCTTGGTTTTCAGATTGCTGGATTGGTACTGTATGAATTCAATATACGCATACTTTCATAGATCGTTGAATATCTCTGCTACTATAGGGGATATTGGTGATCCCATTGCTACTCCTTCTGTTTGTCTGTATATCTTTCCCTGAAACTTGAAGACTGTCGAGGTTAAGCATAACTGCACTCCTAACATGATTTCATCAACCGATGCCTTGGTTCTTTGAGTAAGTTGTGAGTTAGTATCTAGTTGATTTCTGACTGCCTCCAGTGCCATATTGATTGATATTTTAGTATAAAGACTTGTTACGTCAAAACTAATCATTTTTTCATTCTCTTCTATGTGTAGGTCATTAAGTTTTTGTTTCAACTCGTAAGAATTTACTAGCCTAGAGTTGGAACGGTCTCTAAAAGGACGTAATACTGATGCTAAATACTTTGATATCTCATATGTTGGTGTGTTCCGGAAGTCAACTATCGGCCTAATGGGATAACCTGCTTTATGAACCTTAATAGTACCATAAATTCTGCTAGGATTATTAGTTTTTGGCGTTAAAGTAAACCATTCGGACTTACCTAGAGATGACTTCAGTCGGCGTATCAGATCTGTTGTAGATTTCTTAATTTTATTCACGACAGTATCTATAGGCGTCTTAATCTCTTCATATGGCCCTGTTTGGATATGTTCATCCATTTTTTTTTTTAAGATAATCCGATTTTTCGATAACTACTGTTGAGTTACCTTTGTCAGATTTAGCAATTACTATACTATTATCCTTTCGTAGATTGTTTAAAGCTGAATTTTCCAGTTTCGTTAAGTTTCGCTGTGTTTTCTTTTGTTTTTTAGTGCTAATGCACACTGCACTCTAACCTGTTCAGCAGTTGTCACATCTATCGAGGTTAATGCTACTTCTATGCTAGGTGATGACAACTTCTGGTTTTAGATGTTGAAGTTTAATCCCTTTTTCAAGTACTTTCATCTCAGCTGAACTTAAGGCTTTCAAGGAGAGATTGACTACGCAATCAATCTCTCTCCTTGTTGAATATCTCATCAGTTAGTGGGACAAATGATACAAGTTGGTAATATACAAAATGATACTTTTTATATTCAAGTTACTGTCATATAACTAAGTGTAACTATCACTCTTTTTTTTATTTTTTCTCTTACCTCTAATATAGTTTGAAGAAGTTGAAGTGAACAATGACGCAATACAATCATTTCATCAGTATAATATTTATCATCAATATCATCACCACGATGTATAGTGGATAATAATGAATTCAATACAAAATGAGTTAACAGTTCATCATTATTATGACAAGATATATGTATATAATATCGTTGAATACATGATAATAATGTTTGAAATAAAATAAGCAATTGTGGATAGATTGTTGTTGAAAGTAATCTTTGTGCTTCCCATTGAATAATATTATAATTACTATTTATTATATTAATAATAATCATTTGTTGTATTCTATTCACAATTTTTAATAGACAATTTGATATAGACTGAGCAAAATCAATAAATGGTATTATACCAGATGCATTTTCATATAATACATCTTCACTGATTGATGATAAAATGAAGACTAACACTTCTATTACCTAGATTGTTCCAAGAAAAAGATAAATAACAAGTGAGAAGAGAAAAAAAGTTGTCAGTATCATTTACAAAAGTGATTATGATTTATTTAGTAACATCATCATCATCAACCCAGAGAAAAAGCATCACTGCGTAACCGTCCAAGTTGCTACACCTCATGTCATATCATTACATCAGGTAAACACCACATTGAACTGAAAGATGAAAAAAAAAATTCAGTCGAAAGTAATATACAGTACTAAAAGAGATAAAGTAAGAATGACATGATGGTGAGATTAGGTATAGCGTTAAGATAGATAAGGATAACGTGTGTGGGAATACATGGGCGCCACTGATATCGGTTCACAGCCATGCCACCTAGAGTTTCCAACCACTGGTTCCTTTTGTCTCACAGACCCTAACTAGCTAGTCTGCGTCACACCACATGGATCAAACCAACAGTCAGAGACTTCATACATTGGTGCCATATTTTAGTCTGGCCACCTTGGGCCGTTTTCCAGCCTGGACCTATTTCGGTCAACATTATGCGACGAGGTAATCGGTTACTAGGCATATGTAGTAGGTGTGCCGACAATCTCAATTGATGAAGGATCATAACCTCGTCAACTTATTCACCTCTTCTCCCTCTCTAAAACTCTACACCTAACTGCTGCATTACTCACATGGTGACACCACAGAATATGGTCTATACTACGAAGGCAACGGTTGTCAAACACTTGATGCCGCCTTCTCATGTCTTCTACCTTCTATGACCATGTTTCACAGGCATAGAGTAGAACAGAGTGGATTGTTGTGCAGTACACGCGACCCTTAATAGATAGTCGGATATCACGGCGGCACCATAGGTGGAGTAAGTTGGAGAAAGCCAACTGAGCCTTTTGTATGCATGTAGAGATTTCATCGGCCACCGAGTCACGGGGCTAGGTTTGATTCTATTTCCCAGGTAAGTGAAGTCATCGACACACTCAATCACTACACTGTCTACTGTTAGCCAAGGTAGTGTTAGAGACCAATGGAGGAGCAATGATTTGCATTTAGGTGGTGAGAAACGCATCTCAAACATTTTCAAATTCCCACTCTAAGTGTTTAGAAGACTCTGCATCCTGTCAGCATCTTCACCTAACAGAACTATGTCATCTGTGTATCTCTGGGTCTAACGAAAATTCTCCTGTGTAGTAACACAGTTTGGTTCAGGAGGTTTCGATTGATCTGTCATCCATTTCTGTATGACCTGTCGATCCGCTAGTAACTGCATGTTGAATGATATCGATTGCTATATATATATATAACAGTGCATTGTTGTTGTCGTCAGGTGAATGACTGCACACTGATAAGGAGTCGTATTTTGTGATGAAACATTTGTCCAGTGCTCTCACAATTCTAATATTCCTTTTAGCTAATATCAATTGATAAGAAATACACTTGATTATGAATATATAGATATATATTAAACAAATATACATACTTGCCAATTAGACATGAATTCTTCATTAGTACAATTATTTACAATTTGATCAAGTTGATTAGGTGTATACAAGAACCAATCATTTAGATTCATATACCTAAATGTTGTCAGAAAACTTTCAGCTAAATCTTGTCGAAATTTTAACCATCGACTTCTATCATCAACATTCCAAATAGATAAGTATTGGTTGATATCATTCGGATAATGAGACTGGAGTTTGAAAGAAACAAAAAAAAAGGGGGGGGGGAATGAATATACGCAGATATACATATACAATTTGCATAATCACTGTACAATAATAATACAGTTAGACTTGATCAAACTCCTCCCACCTCTATTCACAGATAGACTCCTCTATGCGGACGTCTCGATACTGCCCACCAACAACTTCCATAAGTCAAAAAGGCTGTAGGTAACCTGAAACGAAGAAGGGCAGCAGAAACAGACCAACTAATTCCTGAAGTATAAAACTATGATGGTAGAGTGCTCTTAGCCAGGTTGAAGGAAGTACTAACCAGTATGTGGGAATCAAATACGATCCTCTTAGACTGCTCTACATCACTGATCATTCGAGTCTTGAAGAAACGAGAGAAGTCGTCTTGTGATAACCACAAAGGAATCAGCCTGATGAACATAGTGTCTAAGATTCTAGCTTTTATAATTTTTCGACATCTGGGTGGAGCTAAGGAACAGCAAGTCCGAGAAAACCAGGCAGGTTTTACACCCGCCTGCTGGTGTGTCGACCAGATATTCACTCTGCACCAGGTTTGGGAACAGACACACTTATCGACGCCCGACAACAACTGTACTTCTCGACCTGAAGGGAGTATTCGACTCCGTTGACCGGAAAGTTCTATGCCCGTGTCTTTCACTGAAAGGCATGCCGAGTAAGTATATCACCTTGTTGAAGGCTCTCTACTCAAACACTTGTGTGCAGGTTACAGCCTATGGTGAGATGTGCAGGGAGCTGCACTTGTCAGGTGATATCCGTCAAAGGTGCTCACTCTCTCTACTCTTATTCAATTTTACCACAAAAAAACAAATCATGTGCCGATCAAATTGCAACGCTACGCTACCCACCATCATAGAACAGAGCATAGAATGGCAGTCAACTGGATCTTTACCTCAACTTCATACACTTTGAAAAGGCCTTCCACAGTGTCCACCGAGAAGTAGTTTGCCAGCTCCTCCAACACTACGGTTTTAGTGACACAAACCTTTATCAACCTCATTCAGCAGCTATATGCTGTATGTTGCTACATGCCAAGGGATTCATAATGCATACCTCAGTGATGCCTTGGAAGTGAAGTGAAGACAGGTGTAAGACAAGACAAAGTTGTCTACTATCACCCATCATCTTCCTCATTGTGGTCGACTCGACTCGACTCGACTGGATCAGGCAGCAAACTGTGAGGAGCGAGAAGATGGGTATACGTTGACTGGACCGATGAAAAGACACTACACGATTTGGATTTCGCCAACGATGACGATTTATGTCTGATATCTTAAGCCGCACAAACTAGAAGATCTACAGGCGAAAACTAACAAGTTGACAGAAGAGGCAGGGCAGCGAAGACAGTACTCCCTCCAGTTGAACACAGAGAAGATACAGGTGATGATGATGCCCAACCACCACCACCACCACCAACAACAACAACAACAACAAGCTCCAATCACTATCAACGGGAGAAACTTAAGGAAGTTGCCTCTTTCACTTACCTACCTACCCAGACAGCATCGTTCCAACTACAAGCGGCAAAGGCACAAACGAGGATTTCAAAGCCAGCCACGATCAGAAAGACAGCAAGACAGGCGTCCATTAATCTGAAATCAGTGTGAAGATCGACTGCACTCAGCATAAAGTGTGAACAACATCCGGATTTTCAACACTAATTCAGTCAAGACAGTGCTTCTATATGCTTCAGAAACTTGGGGCGTCACAAAAAGGATTTCAAACAAACTACAGACATACATCATCAACAGCTGCCACCTACGCTCACTCAATACTGAAGATCAGATGGTCAGAAAGGATAATCAACAAGGAACTTTGGCTGGTAACGAACCAACCGAGCAAGAAGCTATCACTCAACAAATATGCAGAAGAAAAAAGTGGAGATGGATTTGATTGGGCATACATTGAGAAGACCCTTTGGGGATATCACGCGTCAGGTTGGGTCGTCGAGTGGAATCCGCATGGGAAACAAGGAGTTGGTTGTCCAAGCGTAACATGGAGATCGTGAGAGGAAGAAATGAAAGCTTCTGGGTAGTCGTGGAGCCAGGTTCAAAAGACTGCTGGGAACAGAGTGCACTGGAGACGTGCAACTGAAGCCCTATGTTCCACTAGGAACCTAAGCGACAAATAATAATACAAAAATAGAGTAACTTTGAAGTTTAGTTGTAGACATGAAATGATGCTGTTCAACAGTTTTCATCAACATGTATAACCACTACATGAAGGAAAAGTTAAATACCTTATTCTGATTGGTCAACTGTAGGATAGAAATGTCCAATCAGGTTTTTCCTCACCACACAGTGATGTAAAATAAAAGTTGAAATAGAAAAACTATTTTAGCAGTTGATGATTCTTAAAATATTGATTTTCATTTAAGCCACTTACTTCCTATCAAGACACTTTAACAATAACCAACATGAGTTGTCGCTATGCCTGATAAATGGGACCTAGTAATCCACGAGTGATACGAATCTAACGGGTAAACGAAGAGACTCTAAACGTTAATCAAAACGTCAACCACCACCACAACAACAACAACAATACCATCGACACGTGAAGACAAAAAGAGAAAACGGACCGTTGATAGAAAGCTTTCACTGTCTTAACAACAGTTGAGAGCGATGCTCATCACATACATTTGTTGATGACCAGGACAATACTAAATCTACTGATAGGTTAGGAGAGTTAACGACGAGTAAGAAAGTTCGGCGTTGGGAAGTGATGGGGAAAAACAGAAGGTAGTAACGATGCGAAGAAGGCATGAAAATATCAATCATAAAGTCATCTGAAGGTTATCGGCAAAAGTAATGATGGGTGATTAGACTGACCAGTGTATTGGACTAGGAGATAAAACGGAACCTCAATTGCATGTTGATTACGCTAACTGGATACTAAGGATGAGTTCACTGATTTTGACAGATTTGACCAATAGGCGGTCACAAGTTCGAACCATAGTCGCATATTTCTTAGATACACTACATCTTCTATTTACGTCATCTAAATCTCAGGGACACTCTTCCAAAGTAAACAGATAGTATAGATGATCAAGGGATAAGACAGACAAACATAAAATGAAATTCATGTATACACGTAAAACTTGGGCGTTGTAGTAGAATGTAATTCCCTTTACATTGATTTATTCGATGTATCACACACATATAGTTGAGCTTCTGTCTAAATCCTTTGTCCAACTCATGTTGACCTACGACGTATTTGACCTCGCAATCATTGCAGGTGATTTGATAAACTAAATTATTATATTAAGCTAGTTTCCAAGCAAGTTTACTGGATTAAATACCACTCTAATCACAACCTGTTTTATTGACGAATCCTCGGAACGCCTCCAACATGCCTTCTTTGTAGTGGAACACAGTAGAGACTTTGAAACTATGCACAAGGATTCTGATATACCGACAGAAGTTAGGTAAATAGGAAACTCAGACAAACAACTATGAATAGTTGGATTATTTCACTTAGGAGCGATTTTATAGAATTACTGTATACCTTAACACGAGAGATTTGTATTGACGCCTTATATAACTTCTGTACATTGTAATATGCTCCCAGTCAAAAGAAATCAGCTCAACTCCGTCTGGTATGTGTAATATCGCTCATCTAATCCCATGAGTTCTACCATATACTGTGACCACATATCATCCAGTTGTACGTATGCCTAACTCAAAGCGGAAATTTACACAAAATAAGAATGAAGAGTACCAGTTCAGTCTTCTATTAAACCAAAGATTGATTACTTACCTTGATAAATGCGCATTGGTTAAACGCTGCGTGTATACGCTTAACTACATCATCGCATGATTTAACATCCTGATCAGGATAATCAACTGAATTAGAAGAGCACGTGACAGTTGTAGCGGTGATGGTATTAGACGTAGTGGTAGTGATTGACGCCTCATGCATATTCAACCATATTTGTAGACCAATATCACTGACATCTTCATTGTATGGATAGTGACCAGTTAATGAAAAGGTTAACAGAAGCATATCAAAGAATTCATGAATATTTTCATTACTATCACCCAATTTATGTCTGGATCTATCAAGTCGATGAATAAGATAATCCATCTAAAAGAGAATATATATATGTATAACCGAGTGATAATGATGATCATAAAATAACTATAAATAAATGTAAATATATGATAAGAAGCTGCCTAAATAAAAATCAACATTTTACGAAACATCCACCATTAAAATAGAAGTTTTTCTATTTCAACTTTTATTTCACTTTACTGTGTGGTCAAGAAAAATCTGATTGGAAAATTCCATCGCATAGTTGACCAATCAGAAGAAGCTATTTAACTTTTGTATATAAAGGATGGATTTCTGTTGACTAGAGTTTTACTAACAGTCACAGGTTGATATTTGCCTATTAATTTTTGCAATGACATTCGACTTCATCGATCAACAAGCCGTTAGGCAATGTCTCTTACTGAAAGGAGTACCGAACAAGTACATCACCTCGGTGACTTGTGTACATCGAATGGTGTCCATCAACCATCCCTAAACTCTCCATTCATATTCAATTCAAAGAGGTATTGACTTAATTACAGGAGGATTTTTGGTAGAACTAGAATACGCAGATGATATAGTCTTGTTCGGTGAAGACACTGATAAGATGCAGTTTTCCGGACTCCATGAATAGCAATTTCAGAATGCTTGCAATGTGCTTTTCGCCATCCAAATGCAATTTGTTGCTCCAAGACTGGTCTTTAACGATGCCCTAATTAATAATAGACAGTGAAGTGGTTGAGTGCGTGCAATACCTCACTAACCTGGGAAATTGGATCAGCCCTGGTGTATTGATCAGTGACTGACAGGAATCTCTAAGCGGATAGAAGAAGCTTCGTTGGCTTTCGTCAACTTACGCTATCTTTGGCAGCGCTACGATATTCGATTACCTACTAAGAGTCAAATGTACTGTGCTGCAATCCGCTCTGTTCTACTGTATAGCAGTGAAAAATGACCATTAAAGGTAGAGGACATGAGAAGGCTTCCGATGTTCGGCCACTGTTACCTTCGTGGTGTAACCATGTGAGAAATCCAGAAGTCAGATATAGAATTTTAGGTGGGATTGTGAACGTCCATCGACTGAAATGGCTGGGACATATGCTGCGAATGCCTAGCCACCGTCAGCCTTGTCGCACAATGTTGTCCAAAGTAGGTTCAGGCTGGAAAAGACCTCGCGGCTGCTAGACTAAAACACGGCCTCAATGCATGAAGTCCATAGCTGTTCGTTTCAGCTACATAGGGCGATGCAGACTAGGCAGTTGGGTTCCGCAGGACAACAGAAACCAGTGGTTGGAGACTCCAAGTGATGATATGACTCATAATGGATGTAAGTGGAGCAGATGTTCACACATATTCTCCCCATTTAACTTCAACTAAAAGCGAAAGTTACCTTCTTCTTTCATCCTCCATTTTACTGCCTTGTTACTTGATGTGCTCAGATGAAATACGGCTACTGGAACCATGACGCAGTAATCCCTGGTGCACCTGTGTGCTATCCATGGTGACTGACTATGGGTGATTTTACCTACTTTTCAACATTTACTTTCGATTATCTTGAGAACTTCCATCAAGTAGTCTACACCTGTGTGAACTGTAATCAATTTCAGGTAAGAATGAGAATACACCCTAGTTGAAAGCAAACGAATGTCAGCATACTTTGATAGTGAAATGAATTATAACAATAACAACACACACACACACACCGGACGGGGAACAGAGACGTACCTGTTTATCTGATAAGATCGATAAAAGTAGTGCTGTTTTACTCAATGCTTCATATCCTTTAAATTCATTCCATGGAGTATGCTTCTGTACATCAACTGAATGCAATTCCACAAGGTGTTGTAAAGCAGATTTGAATTGAATTAATTCACTGATATGAAAGTCTAACAGAAACGCTGTATCTCTATCCGAACTATAAAAATCCACAGAAAGAAATAAAAGTGATGAAATTAACTAAAACTATTTATTGAGTGAATTAGTAACCCAATAGGTAGACTACACAATAAAAACAATCTTATACGTCGACTACTCAGTAGGGAGAAGAGTCGGTGATAACGATGACAATTGATAGACAAACAAAATCAATGTAGAACCTCACACACACACACACACACACACACACACACACACACACACACACACACACACACAAGTGTATCACTTCAAGTTGCAACACTTCACAGCAGTAAATAGAGGATAAGTCGACAGAATAAGAGTGATACAGAGAATAAGCAAGTCAAAGGAGTGAATGAATACACCTGCGCTACAGTCACCAATTTTCAGCTAACCCATTAAGTTAGTCCTCGACCACTGATTCTTATCATCTTGAGGACTCCCAATGATGACTAGTGGATTTAAAAACAACTGAGAAAGCTTTGAGATTTTGACTAATGGATGAAATTGTCACATGTAAACACCGAAATACAAGGGAACAAGACAAAGAAAACAAATTGTAGAAAGTTATAAAAGTAAACAAAAAAGAATTATATCATCTAAAGGTTATAACTATCAGAAAGTCAGCATATCTATATTATATAGTCTAGACGAACAATCAAAGGCTTCATGCACTCAGATCCTATTTAGTCCGGCTGCGCAGCCTAAACCTACTTCAGTCAACATTGAATGAACAGAGAAAATCATGCCTATGCATAAACACAAGCCCCATCCATATGAGTCGATATAGGCTAATAATCTTACCAACTAACTAGCCAGTTTTAACTAAAACTCTATGTTTCACTTCTGCATTATCTACATGGTGATTCTTAAGTGCCTGGTCTATGTTAGGAAAGCAACAATCGTCGAATACCTGGGTCCATTTCATGTTCTGTACCTTTAGCACACAGTAGAACGGAGTGTAGCACCATGAAGTACTCTTAACCCTCAAAAAACATTCGGATATCACACTAACACAATAGATGGAGTAAGCAGAGCCTTTTGTATCATGTAGAGATTTCGACTGATACCACTTCTCAAGTAGGCGAAGTGATCAACACACCGAATCGCTTCACTTTCCATTGTTAAACATGGGTACTCAAAAAAAAAAAAAATAATAATAATAATAATAATAATAATTCTCCGACGCCTGAGTGGAGCTCGGGAACAGCAAGCCCGAGAAAACCAGGCAGGCTTTAGACCTGGCCGTGGATGTATCGACCAAATATTCACACTGCGCCAGGTCCTGGAACATAGGCATGCTTACAGACGCCCGACAATAGCTGTATTTCTCGACCTGAAGGCGGCATTTGACTCCGTTGATCGAGAAGTCTTATGGCAGTGTCTGTCACTGAAAGGCGTGCCTAGTAAGTACATCACCTTATTGAAAGCTCTCTACTCGAACACTTGTGGGCATGTTAGAGCCTATGGTGAGTTGTCCAGGGAGCTATACTCATCAAGTGGTGTCCGTCAAGGATGCCCACTATCCCCATTCTTATTTAATTTTATCATAGATATTCTTATGGAGGTTTCCCTCTCGTCACCTAATTACAAAGACGTTGACCGGACCACAGGTGAATTTTCCTTAGATCTAGAATATGCAGATGACATAGTCCTGTTAGGTGAAGACGCTGACAAGATGCAGAGTCTTCTGAACACTTTGAGTGGGAATTTGAGAATGTTTGGGATGCGATTTTCACCACCCAAATGCAAATTTTTGCTCCAGGACTGGTCTTCAGCGGTACCGCGGTTAACAATAGAGAGTGAAGTGGTTGAGTGTGTTGACCACTTCACTTACCTGGGAAGTAGGATCAACTCCGGTGGGTTAGTTGCCGATGAGATTTCTGCACGGATACAAAAGGCTCGATTGGCTTTTGCCAATTTGCGCCACCTATGGCGCCGCCGTGATATTCGTTTGTCTATTAAGGGTCGCGTGTACTGCACAGCAGTCCGCTCTGTTCTACTGTATGGCTGTGAAACATGGCCATTGAAAGTGGAAGACATGAGAAGGTTACAGGTATTTGACCACCGTTGCCTTCGTAGTATAGGACGTATTCCGTGGTGTCACCATGTGAGTAATGCAGAAGTTAGGTGTAGAGTTTTAGGGAGAAGAGGTAAGTCAGTCGACGAGGTTGTGAACCTTCATCGACTGAGATGGTTGGGACACGTACTACGTATGCCTAGTCACCGATTGCCTCGTCACACAATGTTGGCTGAGGTGGGTTCAGGCTGGAAAAAGGCCCGAGGTGGCCAGACTAAAACATGGCACCAATGTATGAAGTCTCTGACTGTTGGTTTAAGCCATGTAGGACGATGCAGACTAGGTGGTTGGGGTCCACGGGACAAGAGGAACCAGTGGTTGGAGACCCTAGGTGATATGGCTCAGAACCGAAGTCAGTGGCGCAGATGTATACACACATTATCCTCATCTTAACAACGCTATACCGAATCTCACTATTTTGTCACTCCTCTTTCCTTTCTTCTCATACTTTATATTTCTTTTGACTGCATTCACTTATCTTCATCCTTCACCTCACTACCTTTTTACTTGATGTGCTGATATGAGGTGTGGCAACTCGGACCGTTACGCAGTAATGCCTGGTCCTATGTTGATAATGATGATGACTCAAAAAAACAACCAATTGACATTTGAGTGCTAAAAAAACACATCCTGAACATTTTGACATTGTCATTCTAGGTGTTCAAAAGATTCTGCATCTTCACAGCTATCATTTGCATAATTAACATCGCCTATGGCAACATCAACACCTGTGAAGTTAGACAAGAAGAAGACTATAACATGAATAATACACAACGCACACACATATTCACTAACACTTTGAAGTCTTCTAAAGCTTGAATGTTTTGATAAACCCTAATTTTCAATTAAATTTTCTCTCCTCCCATACAGCTGTCTACTTCAATACCACTCTATTCATCCATATGATCTTTACATACTACTGGGAAGTATGGAAACTTGGGGTGATGTACTTATGTGAGAAGTTCATACACTAATCTTCTCAGTTTGGTTGCATGATATTCCTGATTGTGTTGTGGTCGACTGCATCATACAACAAACAGTCGGCAGCGAGGAGAGGGGGATACGCCAGCTGGACCACAAACAACATCCTAGAAAACTTGGATTTCACCGATGATGACTTGTGTCTAATGTCTTGTGGCACAAACTCGAAGATCTACAGGCAAAAACTAACAGGCTGACAGAAGAGGCAGGGCAGCGAAGACAGGACTTCAAGTGAATATACAGAAGACAGAGGTGATACCCAACCAACAACACCACCAACAACAACAAACTCCAGTCACCACCAACGGAAGGAACATAATCGAAGTAGCCTCCTTCACCTATCTAGGAAGCACTGTCTCAACTACAGGTGGCACAGGCACAGACAAAGACGTCAAAGTCAGCCATGATCAGAAAGACTGCAAGACAGGCGTTCATTAACCTGAGACCAGTGTGGACATCTTCTGCACTGCACTCGTCACTCAGCACGTGGAACAACATCCAGATTTCCAACACCAACTCAGTCAAGACAGTGCTTCTACATGCTTCAGAAACTTGACGTGTTACGAAAGGGATTTCCAACAAACTACAGTCATTCATCAACAACTGCCACCTACACTGGCTCGTTACTGAAACTCAGCTCAGATGGATTGCCAAAATAATAAGAATAAGCAACAAGGAACTCTGGCTGGCTGGTGACGAACCAACTGACCAAGAAGTTACCGCTCAACAAATATGCACTAGAAGGAAGTGTAGATGGATTGGATTGGGCATACAGTGAGAAGACCTACTGGGGACATCAAGTGTCAAGCCAATTACTCGAGTGGAACCCAGATGGGAAGCGACCAGCTGGGCGTCTGAGTTGAGGGTGACATGGAGGAGATCGTGTGAAGAGGAAATGAGAGCTTGTGAGCTGTCGTGGAGCAAGGTTCGAAAGATTTCAGAGAACAGAATGCACTGGAGACGTGCTACTGAAGCCCTATGTTCCATTAGGAACCTAAGGGACAAATAATAATAATAATGCTACTTTTTCTTCTAGATGAATATTTTACGGCAAAGCGTAGTAACAATGATTGGAAAAAGCATGAAAACATACTGCCTTTACCTAATTCGAGCGTATGGCGATCAGTAGATCTTGTGTACAAATTTCTTTGTGATATCACACACGCATCACAGCTCATGACCTAAGTTGTCAACCTACCTCTGCATCAATTAACTTCATAGTTGTTGTATCAACCGAAAACTGGAAATCATGGGTCACCTTAGCTACATATTGTCCTTGGTCGTATATTATTTTACTTATTTTGAAAGGCATTTTATTCACGACCTAAGTGGTAACATTATTCAATACCTAGCTCAGTTCAACATTTTTCGACTGAACCACTCCCTCCGCCCTCCGCACTTCATCCATTTACGTATCATATACTAGTTCGGAAATAATCACTGCATGTTCAGTGAAATCATACCATACCAATTTCTGTGCTTGAAATTAATTGGTTGCTTCGTTTTCATACATCATGGTCTGTTGAATATATTTATAGACCAATCAGATCGCTTAGAATATACACAGATGTGCTTCAAAGGGCTGAATTATGGTGACTCATAGCGTAGGTGAGTGGATTGAATATAACCAACTGGGTAATTATATTCTAGGCGAATCACGTGCAAGGTCAGCGTTAAGACTGAGTGAGTAGATGTCACGTGAGAATTAGACGATTGCAATCATACAAGGTTATACCAATAGTAATAAGTGAACTGCCTAGTCCGGTGGATATACACTTACTTTAATCCACTGCCATCTGATTCAAATATAGCGATTAGGCAGTTGACTCCAGCTAAATACAAATGTTCCGAGTGATGCATTGAAGCGTAGACTGTGTGTATAAGATCTAAATAATTGATAGCTGCTGAATTACTCGTCACAAAGTTAGATATCCATAATCCACATGTATGAATAGCTTGTGTACAAATCGTCTCTCGGTGTACATCACTAATGAGTCGCTAAAATAATAAAATGAACAATAAAAATTAATCGAAAGATAGGCAGCGTGATGATGATGAACAAAACAGAAATCCAACATTTCGACCAATTTTTTTTGATTAATGTTGTACTTGGGATGATCAAAAGGATTAAATTAGCATTCATAACTGCTAAAAAGAAATTTTTCTCACAGTTACTGGTCAACTTTTGTTTTTTGGTATCAAAAAGTATTGAGGTGGTAGGCGGAACAGTCACTGCTTGCACCCACTTCATAAGCATATTCATGTATTCCCTATCGAATCACTCAGCTACTACTACACAAGGCAACTCAATTATCTTATACAATTCAGTTGCAGCCATACCTAACATATAAGCTTATCAGATGACAATGCAGAGTGATGAAAGATGAAGAATTGGTCAAAAGCAGTAGGAAGTACCCCCCCTCCTCCTCCTCCTCAAGAAAAGGAAGGAGAAATAAGAAAATACTGAATTCAGTATAGTGATTATGTTGAGGATAATATGTGGGTACCTTTGCGCTACTGACATCAATTTTGAGCCATATCGCCTAGAATTTTCAACCGTTAGTCGTTTCTGTTGTCATATGGATCCTAATCGGGAAGTGTACATGCCACGTTTTAGTATAGCCACCCCTACCCATTTTTTCTAGCCTAAACCTACTTCATATTACTGATGGATAGTGGCTAGCAGTAGAATTCAGCTTGACGCGCGTTTTGTCCCATTTGGGACTAATCAGCCGGATGTACCTGTCCACCAGTCAGTGGTATTATTTAATTTTGGTGCTATATTTTGTAGGTCTTCATCATTGATTGGACCAAAATGATTGTCCACTAATGGCAGCATATTGACTCCTGTGAGGATGCCTCGATATTGCACGAAATATATGTGATAGATTTCACTGTTTGCCCACCAATACAAAACACCCCTTCCATAGTAAATTACCGATCTGAAATGAGTACATAATCCCTTGAAGTGAACCCAAGAAGATATATGATGATGAATGACATGTCATTGGAAGGGAATGAATACTAATCACACTGTCCTAGAGTATCGCTGAATAAAATATCTTGGATAAATGAATCCGTGAATTGATGGTTTTCCACTTTCCAAACGGTTAAATTAAAAGAACTCGATGTTAGACACTGTTCTACGAGTTGTTTTTCGATGAAATGCAATTGTCGTTTGTCATGTAAGATACCCTCACCTCTTAACCACCAGTGGATCGGCGCCTCAAACCCCACTCCAACTATCAAAGTTTGGGAAGTCACAGAGTCAGTGAATGATCTGGGAATTTGTCACACCTCATATCATCAGCACATCAAGTAAAGTCAGGCAGAATCTTCAGCCCTTACGAATATATACACAAATAGACCGTACAAATATCTACTCGATTCGTAGGTTGCTTATGGGACCATGAAATTGCAGATACGCCCTGCTGACAAAGGCCAGTAGACACGATATCTTCGTCAGGTATGGCTTTCTACTGATTGCCTATAACAACATGACTTCGGCAATGGCGAATCACGATTATGAGTCTACTAGCTTGGCAGCAACATTGCAAAATTCGTCTATCGAGTTCGGTAGTAACTGTGATTCTCTAAACTCAATAACCTGAGCAATTGACTATCAACCAACACAGAGTCCCTCGAACATTAAGTGTAGCTCATGGTGAGCAACTGTTATATGAGTCGAAAAGTGGAAAACGCCAATCGTCATAGATAAGTGTTGTGATTGGTCGCATTACTTTATTTATTTTAAAAGTCATTCTATGTATAACCACTACATCGGTGACCTTATTGCATAGTTCGGTTGAAGAGCTGTCGATCGACTCCTCACTCAATACTGTATGGCTTGTAGTTCGGAAGTTGTGCATGATCCCACATTCCGCACCTGAAATTATACCGAACAGGGCAGGCACTGTGAGAAGAATCACGCTCAAGGTCGACGTTAAGAATGAATCAGCAGAATCACGTGAAACAGACAACCACACACCGGAAGTTAAAGCAAACTGAGTACAGGTTTAACTCAGGAATAAATATGTTATCATTTTATTATTTCTCCCTTGAATTCCTAGTGGAACATATGGCTTCAGTAGCACGTCTCCATCCCACTCTGTTCTCGGAAATCTTTTCAACCTGGCTCCACAACAGCCCACAACCTCTCATTTTCTCCTCACACGACCTTCTCCATGTCACCCTCACCTCGAACACCCAACTCGTTGCTTCCCATCGAGGTTCCACTCGACGACTTGGCCTGGCGCGTGATGTCCCCAGTCGGCCTTCTCACTGTATGCCCAATCCAATCCATCTCCACTTCCTTCCACTGCATACTTGTTGAGCGATAGCTTCTTGGTCAGCTGGTTCATCACCAGCCAACCAGCCAGAGTTCCTTGTTGCTTATTCTTATTATTTTGGCAATCCATCTGAGCTGAGTTTCAGTAACGAGCCAGTGTAGGTGGCAGCTGTTGATGAATGTCTGTAGTTTGTTGGAAATCCTTTTCCTAGTGGAACACGTCAAGTTTCTGAAGCATGTAGAAGCACTGTCTTGACTGAGTTGGTGTTGAAAATCCGGATGTTGTTCACACTTTATGCTGAGTGCAGAAGATGTCCACACTGGTTTCAGGTTAATGAACGCATGTCTTGCTGTCTTTCTGATCGTGGCTGACTTTGACGTCTTTGTCTGTGCCTGTGCCGCCTGTAGTTGAAACGATGCTGTCTAGGTAGGTAGGTAGGTGAGTGAAAGAGACTATTTCCTTCAAGTTTCTCACATTGATAGTGATTGGAGCTCGTTGCTGTTGGTGGTGGTGATGTTGTTGGTTGGGCATCATCAGCACCTGTGTCTTTTCTGTGTTCAACTGAAAGGAGTACTGTCTGTGCTGCCCTGCCTCTTCTGTCAGCCTGTTAGTTTTTGCCTGTAGATCGAGTTTGTGCCACAAGACATTAGACACAAGTCATCATCATTGGCGAAATCCAAATCGTGTAGTGTCTTTTCCGTGGTCCAACCAACGTATCCCCCTCTTCTCGCTCCTCATGGTTTGTTGCATGATCGGGTCGAGTCGAGTCGATCACAATGAGGAAGATGATGAGTGATAGTAGACAACTTTGTCTTGTCTTACTCCTCTCTTCATCTCACTTCACTTCACTTCGAAGGCATCACTGAGCTTCCCATTGTGAATTACTTGGCATGTGGAGTCTTCATATAATTGTTGAATGAGGTTGATAAAGATTTGTGGTATTCCGTAGTGTTCAAGCAGTTTGCAAATTACTTGTCAGTCGACGCTGTCGAAGGCGTTTTCAAAGTCGATGAAGTTGAGGTAGAGGGGTATATATATATATATATATATATATATATATATATATATATATATACTAGCCAGACCTAAGCCCGGGTAAAGAGGGAAGGTAAAACAAATCTAACCGCTAAAGAAACTACAAAACACGAAGAAAATATAAAAAATAAAAACAATATTATTCCTCGCTGGAATCGGAGAGGCGAAATGACACCAGTTGGTGAAAGCCTTCGGGAAGCCAATTGGCCGATGTGTCTACTCTCCTCTCGATAAAGCGAAAGTAAACGTGGGGACATGGAATGTCCGCACCATGTTTGAACCCAGTAAGGCAGCCCAGATTGCAAATGAGATGAGAAGGTATCACATCGAAGTGCTTGGGATTTGCGAAAGCAGATGGAATGGGAGTGGACTCTCCAAACTGTCAACTGGAGAATCAATAATCTACTCCGACACTGTCACCCAGACGACAACCACGAGCACACTGAGTTATGGAGTGGTTATCATGATGTCCTCAAGAGCATCGAAGGCTCTCATGCAGTGGGAACCAATCTCCTCCAGGATCAGGATCATGACAGCAAGATTCAACTCAAAAGGAAGAAAGGTCACAATCATACAATGCTATGCACCTACAAATAATGCAGAGCAAGAGAAAAAGGAGGAATTCTACAGACAACTTCAATCAACACTGGACAAGACGTCAGTTGGCGATATCAAAATTCTAATGGGCGACATGAATGCCAAACTGGGAGGGGACAACACGGGAAGAGAACTAACCATGGGTCGAGAGGCGCTAGGTGAAATGAATGAGAATGGAGAATTGTTTGCAGAATTCTGTGCATTCAACGATTTGGTGATTGGAGGCAGTGTGTTCAGGCACAAGGATATCCACAAAGCGACATGGATTTCACCAGACAACAGATGGACACACTAAAAATCAAATCGACTTTATCTCAATCTCAAGAAAATGGAGACGCAGTCTACTTAACACAAGGTCAAGGAGAGGAGCAGATGTAGGTTCACACCACTCACTATCTAGTGCGAGGAACCTTCCAAATCAAGTTAAAAGCCTTCAAGGAAACTGGTGATAGACCTCAACTCAAGTACAACACTCGGAAACTGAAGGATGAAACTACAAAAGAAATCTCCACGCAGCCATCAAGACAAAATGGGAGATATCCAGAGACATCCTGAAGAAGCCTGTGTGGAAGAACACTGGAAGTCTTTGAAAGCTATGTGGAAAGAAACCTGCACAACAGTATTAGGAAGGAAGAAGAAAGAAGACAAGGAATGGATCTCGACGGATACCTGGAAGCTGATAGAGCAGGGAGAGGAGGATGGTGAAGCAGAAGATAAACCAGTGCATGGATGCTCAACGACAAGAGGAACTGAGCACAATGTATAAAACACTGGACAAAGAAGTGAAGAAGAGTGCACGCAAAGACAAAAGACACTTCTACGAAACACTGGCAAGTGAAGCAGAACAAGCTGCAAGTAAGAGAGACCTGACGACATTGTTTCAAATAACCAGGTTGCTATCAGGGAAGAGACCAACACAGATGAAACCAATAAAAGATGAAGAAGGAAATTTAATTACAAAAGAAGAGAAACAGAGGGAACGATGGGCCGACCACTTCAAGAAGCTCTTGAATCGACCACCACCAGCACCTGCACTTCGTCCAGAAATACCACCTGCAGCCGCTGAATTACAAGTGAACATAAATCCCCCAACGAAAATGGAAGTCCTGAACGCCATAAAGCTACTGAAATGTGGGAAAGCAGCTGGACCAGATGGGATACCGCCAGAAGCACTGAGAACAGATGCAGAGACAACAGCGGACATGCTCACACCACTATTGCAGAAGGTGTGGAAGGAAGAGAAGGTACCTGCCCATTGATTAGAAGGGTTAACTTGTCAAACTGCCGAAGAAGGGAGACCTCAGTGTTTGCAAGAACTGGCGCGGAATCACTCTCCTGTCCACCCCAAGTAAAATATTAAGCCGCATCATCCTGGAGAGGCTTAAAGATGCACTGGATTCAAAACTGCGACCGGAACAGGCAGGCTTCACGAAGTACAAATCATGTGCAGACCAAATTGCAACGCTTCGTATCATCATAGAACAGAGTATAGAATGGCAATCAGTTCTCTACCTCAACTTCATCGACTTTAAGAAGGCCTTTGACAGCGTCGACCGAGAAGTAATTTGGAAACTGCTTCAATACTACGGAGTACCGCAAACCTTTATCCGCCTCATTCAACAACTATATGAAGATGCCACATGCCAAGTAATCCACAATGGGAAGCTCAGTGATGCTTTGAAGTGAAGACAGGAGTGAAACAAGGCTGTCTACTATCCCCCATGATATTCCTTATTGTGGTGGACTGGATCATGCAGCAAACAGTGGGGAGCGAGAAGAGGGGATACACTGGACGACGGAAAAGAACCTAGAAGACTTGGATTTCGCCGATGACTTGTGCCTGATGTCACATAAACTTGAAGAATAAGCAACAAGGAACTCTGGGAACGAACCAACCAAGAACCTATCACGCAACAAACATGCTGGAGGAAGTGGAGATGGATTGGCCATGCACTGAGAAGGCCGACTGAGGACATCACGCGTCAGGCCAGTCACCCGAGTGGAATCCCCATGGGAAGCGACGAGTTGGACGTCCAAGGGTGACATGGAGGAGGTCGTGCGAGGAGGAAATGAGAGCTTTTGGGCTGTCGTGGAACCAGGTTCAAAAGATCTCAGAGAACAGAGGTCACTGAAGACGTGCTACTGAAGCCCTATGTTCCACTAGGAACCCAAGGGACTAACAATAATAATAATAATAACAATTACAATATATATATATATATATATATATATATATAATACCAACAACAATAGCAAAACTGTGAACTAAATAGTAGAGATCTATTGAAATTCCGCCATGTGTAGCACTTTAGTTAGTAGAAGTAATACCGAGAAACTGGAAACTCGAGTGAACACAAAGTCGACACACACACACACACATATCAAACCCTCAGCCATAATAGCAATAAACCAACTCAGTGCAAAATCAGTTGCTTGCAGACTTTATTCAAAACGGTAGGGGCAAACTGAAGCTCAATAACACGAAAAAACAAAGAAAACTACTGAATGTTTATGCCCGTTTATCATTAGGTAGAAAGTCACCCACGGAAATTAGCAAAACGGCTCAATCTATCATGCATAGAGAGTATATTGGAAATAAACAAATTCCCTACAGTCCATAGTATGTAGCCTAAAGGTGGAACAGTCAAAGATACAAACAATATGAGAATCTATATAGAAGCATGACATTCAGACCAGTCCAACAGTCAGTAGATGTATAGACACACAACTAATCTATCAACCAATAAGAAAAATGATAAACGTCAGAAACGTCAGAGATCAGGCAAAGAGAAAATCAATAGAAAAAGCTATGCAGTCAGTGAAAGACCAATCAAAAGAAGCCATAAGCCATTTCGATATATACACCTACCTACGAAAAGTTGAGCAATACCCATTAGAAGAGGCTGAAGATTTTGAAAACTTATATATATTATTTAATTAAACTCATAGGCACAGTGGTGCAGATGTTAACCACTATCTGACGTCCTCTAAAACTTGAATATATTCACACTAAACTTTATCTTCAGATTGTTTATTCTCTCACACTACTTTATCTACTTTAATATCATGTCTTCTCTATCTACCTTGTAGTGGTTACTACTGATAACAGTGCATATAAGTAGTATATGTTGAGAGGTGGGATGAAGTCGTAGGCAATTACAAGCGATGAGAAAATATTCTGCACAGAGAAAGGCGAAATATCAGATAGGCGTATCAACAGGAGAACGAGATGGACAAGGAAGGGAGGGAATGAAAGAAATTGTGCGAGAAACGGATATTTCAATGAAAAAGTCATACTACCATAATAAACTTTTTCTACGATTCATCCTCTCCCCTTTCCCTACATTTGGTGTTGCTGCTTACCGACATGGTGGAGATTCCATGGCCTTCAGTGTTCTAGGATAGAGACATTAAGGTCTTTCTCAGGGATTTCAAGTCGGTCGCGGGATTGGTGGGTATCCGAGATCAAGGAGAGAAGGTCGTGGTGCTTGGAACATTGCTGAGAGGTCGAACAAAAATGACATATTACGACGTCGATAGGTAGGAGAGTTGGGAACCAGTGGCTGAACGAATGGAGGCACAGTTGGACAGCCCAGCGGAGAGGGAGCTGGCGATGCAGCAGTTCAGGAGCACAAAACTTGGACTAGACGAAGATCCGATGGTATTAGCCGCCAAAGTTGACAAATCTCCTTCGCTGACCACCTCTTACTCTCGATAAGGACTCTCAAGCACACTTCAACGAGTATCGCAAATACTATTGTCCAGCACCTATGACTAGTGAAAGCAGCCCAACCCATGGATATTAAGTGAGCTGGTGAAGGTGACCAGATAGCTGCTGGGTACAAAAGTAGCTGTGGTGGAGTAACCAAACGTAAATAATTTTAGCAAACAAATAGATAACCTTCAGGAGGAGATGATTGCACTTCAACTGAGTTTTTATCCGTCGCTTGTAATTGCCTATCACTACTTCCGACCTCATAACATATACTACTTATATGCATTCTTATCAGTAGTACCCATCACAACCAGTTCTTCGTGTACTACTGTGAAGTGAGTGTGTCAACTTGAGTCAAGAAAATATACACCTCAGAATGGCTATAATTATGAGTACGTTTCATATAGAAACATGATAAGCTGAGTTTTTACAGTTATATAACCATCTTTAATTGATAACCTGTAAATCGGGAAGATTCGAAACTTGATATCACAACCACACAAAGGGTTATTACTGAGCAATAAGATGAAGCAATTTTTGAACTGACAATTAAACGTTATATTATATTATTATTATTTATCCCTTGAGTTCCTAGTGGAACATAGGGCTTCAGTAGCACGTCTCCAGTGCATTCTGTTCTCCGCTACCTTTTGAACCTTGCTCCACAACAGCCCAGAAGCTCTCATTTCCTCCTCACACGATCTCCTTCATGTCACCCTCACCTCGGACGCCCAACTGGTCGCTTCCCATCTAGGTTCAACTCGATGGCGTGGCGTCCCCAGTCTGCCTTCTCAGGGTATGGCCCAATCCATCTCCACTTCCTTATGCGTATTTGCTGAGTGATAGGTTCTTGTTTAAACGTTATATACACAATAGTTATTGGTTCCTAAAAATTGATTATTCAGTTCACTTTGATTTGAGTTACAATAGGTATATCAAAACACTCATCAAGATGCTGTAGATACGATGTAATTTGATTGAGTCAAAGAATAAGATGAAGTTTGCGCTCCTGAACTGATTGACTGACGATGACGAAATCAACGTAGAACTACACCTTGCACACAAGTGCATCAGTTCAAGTGGCCACACTACAGTAGTATACTAAAAAAACAAGTGGATGCAGAAAGACCAATGTCATGAGACAGTCCTCAACCACTTATATGTATCATTTCAGGGACCCAAACCAGGACGTCTACATAGCCCCCCACACGGCTCAGATCAACAGTAAGGGATTCCATCAAAGTCTTGATCTGGCCCACCCTGAATCCTAGTATCGTACATCGCAGTAGGCGGTTACTCGGCAAGCACAGCACATGTCCAAACACTCTCAAGTTTACAACCTCATCAATCAACTTACCTGTTTTGCCTAGTACCCTTTGCCAAACTTTAACAATGCTCACAGTGATTCCACCAAATGTGAACAATTCTACGAAGACATCTATGATCAAAAGTTTGTAATCACTCTATGTTGTTTACTTTTAACAGCCAAGTCTGATAGGCATATAACAGGATAGAATGGAATACTCTCCTTGAATCCACTAACATCTATCCATATTAAATGTACAAAATTTGAAGTATTTCACCTACCTTTAGTATATTTTTGACCAAAAGTTCATCAGAATGAATACCCTCTGTAATATTGCATTTTATACTATGACTTAATTTCAATGATGACAATGATAATGTAAACTCTTCACTAATAAGGGATAGAAGAAGTAATATATTTTCATTGATTTGTTCAGTATGAATTGAGTTAACTAAACATTCTTCGACTGTTTCATCCGATACTGATAATAAATCAGTAGTATTAAAAGATGAATCACCTGAATATAAAGAAAGAATGAAAACAAGATGAAACAATATCACTATTCATTTTGCGTATGACTTAATAGATAAGATTACTAGATAGCTAGCTGAGTTCAACAACTTTTGATTGACCCTCCACCTCCCCCCCCTGACTTCATCCATTCATGTATCACTTATAGTAAATAGTTCCAAAAAATAATCACTGCATATTCAGTGGTATCAATCCTATAATTTTAGACGTAGTATTCATCATTGACTGACATCAGTTAGGGAACCATTGAGTCTGGGAGCACTGGACAGCTGTTTCATCCAACTGGTATCGGACTCCTTAGCGGTACGCACCTACGACCCGGCTAGGGATTGAACCCAGGAGCTTCAAGTTTCACGGCGAAAACGTTAACCATTCAACCACTGGGTCAGTCGGTTTCCAGTGGTTCACAATTTCCAACTTCTGTCAATTCACGACAATAGCGTGACTGTTACCCAAGGTCTTCAGTTAGCATCCACTTCACTTCCAACTAATTGACCCCACAGGTCACGTGTCGTGAATCGACAGAAGTTGGAAATTGTGAACCACTGGAAACCGACCCAGTGGTTGAATGGTTAACGCGTTCGCCTTGAAACCTGAAACTCCTGAGTTTCATTCCTAGTTGGGTCGTAGGTGCGTACTGTTGAGGAGTCCCCTACTGGGAAGAAACAGCTTTCCAATGCTCCCAGACTTTCAATGGTTCCCCAACTGATGTCAGTCCATGATGAATACTACGTTTAAATTAAAAATCCCCATTCATCTCAGAAATACACTGATCTTATTATTGTCCATTATACCAATTTTTGTGCTTGAAATTGATTGCTTGCTTCGTTTTCATACGTCACGGTCTGTTGTGGTTAAATAATTTCCATATTAATATAAGTGTAAAACTTGGGCACTGTGCTCCGGTGTAATTCCAAATTACTCTGTTTATTAGAAATATTATACACAGTGAAGGAACAGTAGCATTTATTGGATAACGTACTTTTCGGACATAATTTATTCTTTATATTCATATCACCAGGTAACTCCACAACTTTGAGATAGTCTTTATATATTCCTAATTCTTTCTCTTCTTCTCTGCGATGATAAGGGTAGTAGAATTTTCCATATGTCTGGGATAGGTGCAGAATCCTTTCTATTCCCATATGTATTTGGTGTTGATTCGATGGACAAAGATTCAGTCGGTTATCAATCTCTCCCTCCACCCAAGTTAGTTCTCAATACTGTCGCCCTATCCCCCCCCTACTGTGTGACTGATTGTGTGTCATTCCATGCACAGCTATAGCCGAGTTTCTCTCTACATTTCTTATCTTATTACGATCTACTAATCTTGATTTAACTTAACGTTTTTGTACTCTGTTATTCTAATCGATCCTGCCTGGTCGATTGACTGCTTTGACCTATGTACTTGACCTCGCAATCATTGCAAGGGATCTGGTAAACCAGATTACTCCTCTCAATTGCATCGATAGAATCTTTTAACCTACAAAGCTTGTTTCTAAGTGAGTTTGTTGTTTTGATTGCCACTTTGATCCCAGACAGCCTTATTGAGAATTCTTCGTAGTGCTTCTGAGGTGCCTTCCTTGTATGGTAACATAGCAGAGGCTTTGAATTCTCTCTTAACCCTGTCGCCGTTATTACCACCGTTAGTAGTGGGATTATTATTAATAGCATCAGTATTATTATTACTACTACCACTGCTAATATTTTTCTTTCGATTTCTTATGAATTTATTTATAAATATTGGTGGGTTATTATTGAGACGTAGGGTATTCTTGATGTGTCCAATTTCTTTTCGCAGATTTTCCGGTTCACTAGTAACCTTTTCGGTCTATCACCTAAGCATTTAACTAGGCCTACTTTAACTGAAAGGGGGTGGGAGAATTCGAAGTCTAAGTAGCGATTCGAATGGGTAGGTTGTGGTTAAATAATTTGGATATATTTATAGACCAATCAGATCGCTTAGAATGTGCTTCAAAGGGCTGAATTATGGTGACTCTTAGCGTAGGTGAGTGGATTGAATATAACCAACTGGGTAATTATATTCTAGGCGAATCACGTGCAAGGTCAGCGTTAAGACTGAGTGGACAAAATCAGATAGACCAGACAATTTACAACTAGACAAAAAACTATGAGTTACCCACTAGGCAGATGAGTGAAGTGGCCAACACACTCAACCATTACACTCACTCTTTACTGTTAGCTGTGCAACCTTTGAACACCAATCCTGGAGCAATAATTTGCGTTTGGTTAGTGAGAAACGCATCCCAAACATTCTCAAATTCCCACCCGAAGTGTTCAGTAGACTCTGAATCTTGTCAGCGTTTTCATCTAACAGGACCATGTCATCTGTGTATTCTAGATCTAGCGAAAATTCTCCTGTGATTAGGTCAGACTCTGTGCAATAAGGTGACGAGAGGGAGACCTCTAAAGGAATATCTATGATGAAATTAAATAAGAATGGAGACAGTGGGCATCCTTGACGAACACCACTCGATGAGCATAGCTCCCTGGACATCTCACCATAAGCTCTAACACGCCCACAAGTGTTCGAATAGAGAACCTTCAATGTGGTGATGTGTACTTACTCGGCACGCCTTTCAGTGAGAGACACTACCATGAGACTTCTCGATCAACGGAACTCTTTTTCAATGCGATATTCAAAAATGGGAAGTACATCCCTTTTAGTGCGCCAGTAGTGATTTAGGCGGCATATTAAATTTTACCATTTGAGTTGTCTGATGTGAAGGCAATACCAAATTAAAATGGTCATGCATTGTATCGCATAAAGCGGAATTTATCTTCATTAAACAATATACGCAAATGACTTCTCGACCATATCGTAAAATGATAGAGAGAAAATCAAAGTAGAGAATGAGTATGTAGACGACTGACTGACGAAATTAACGCACACAGGTGCATCCGTTTCAGTTCCTACACTTCACAGAAGTACACATAGAACAGGTGGATAGAATAGGAGTGATATGAAAGGAGACAAAGTTGTGTGACAGAATAAACAAACTCAAGATAAAGGTTAGTGTGAATATTCAAGCCTTAGAAAATGTCAAGGAAGGAATACATCTGCGCCAATGTGACTGGTTTTTAGCTGTGATTCCTCTCGTTTTAGGTACCTCAACCAGGTTGTCTACATCTCCCCACGTGGCTTAGATCAACAGTCAGTGACTTCATCGACCCTCTACCATCCTAATCCGACATCCCTTAACATGGCATGGCCCGAGGTGGCCAGACTAAAACATGACACCAATGTATGAAGTCTCTGACTGTTGGTTTAAGCCATGTAGGACGATGCAGACTAGGTGGTTGGGGTCCACGGGACAAGAGGAACCAGTGCTTGGAGACCCTAGGTGATATGGCTCAGAACCGAAGTCAGTGGCGCAGATGTATACACACATTATCCTCATCTTAACAACGCTATACCGAATCTCACTATTTTGTCACTCCTCTTTCCTTTCTTTTCGTACTTTATATTTCTTTTGACTGCATTCACTTATCTTCATCCTTCACCTCACTACCTTTTTACTTGATGTGCTGATATGAGGTGTGGCGATTCGGACCGTTACGCAGTAATGCCTGGTCCTATGTTGATAATGATGATGATGATGGCATGTCGAGGAAGGCGGTGGCTCAGCATGCACAGTGCATGTGCAAACCTTCACAAGCGACTAACGTTCACAATCTCGTCACTCCACTTGCCTATCTCGCCCAGTACCCATCGCTTGACCTCAACACTGCTCATACGGTGATTCCATCAAAACGTAACCAATAGCTACAAAGACATCTATGATCATAAACCCTGCAACTACTTCATCTCGTCCACTTTTAACAGACATATCTCATAGTATGTACGCGAACTCCTAGTATAAACAACATAATCAATAAAATCTGGCAATGAATATGCATCGAACAATATGGTGAACGAAGAATGCGATATATATATATATATATATATATATATATATATATATATATATATATATATATATAAGTCATCAGTTACAGAAGGTATCAACTTTAAGGAGCAAATCCTCTTCTGCTAACTTCAGCCTAGTCAATAGGTGGTCATAAACGATTACGCATACAGCGCGATTCCTATGTGCCGTGTTGATTCGCGTTATATATTCGTCTTATTTAAAACGTGAATAAATATAGGTGGATTGATATAGAAAAGCCATGAATTTCGATAACTGAGATCTTAAAATACATCACTTCGAAAAAGCATATAGCTTAGTGAGAAAAAAAACAACTAACAATCATGTAGAATGAAAAAGGTTTTCTGAACCAGTAAACAACAACAAGATTACAAGTCAAGGTTCTAAAATACATAAGTATTAAAAGTTTGCTCAATATCATCACACAACCAGAAATAAGGAATATCCCTCGCCATTCCGGCCTAAAAGGAAGAATGAGCCTTTTGAGAGAAACAACGAAATGCCTACTTCAGGTTGGGATTCATCATGGACTGACATTAGTTGGAGAAGCATTGAAAGCCTAGAAGCACTGGACAGCTATTTCATTCCACTAGTATGGAACTCCTCAGTAGTGCGCACCCATGACCCCGTGACACCAGGGATCGAATCCAGAACCTCCTCATGTTCGACTTTGTCGACCCTATTGGAACTTCACGAGTCATCTTTCGAAGCCAGTCACCAATGAGCTCTGGGTTAACTTTAAAATCAATTAATAAGTCTCCAAAAACCTCTAGATAGAATTAATCTGGCGCTCATTGGTGACTAGCTTGGACAGGTGATTCCTGAAGTTCCAATAGGAAGTCATGACCAGTGGAGCCAATCAGGTCGAACATGAGGACAATTACTTAACGATGACATTGGATGTATGTCATATAGAAGTAGGAAGTATGAACCGTTTGATTCCAACCCAGTGGGGTTCCATGACAATGTACTGGCCACGGAACCTAAAGGCACTGGATCCGACCCCTGGCGGGAGAGCGTCGTAGGTCCGCACTCT